GTATCTTAAGAAACTTATAGAAAAGTAAACAAGACCATTTCTTGTAAGAAAAAGCGAGTTATACAAAGGAAGTTGATATCAGGACTTCCATCTTGAAACAAGTCCCTTTTCGTCGCGTAAAATGGAAATTAAGTTAGCGGCGGATTACAACCTCGATACCCTGCATATTATTAGGGTCTTTCACAGGAAAGCTGTTTTAGCCGGCGCAAACGGCTAATACCAGGAGAAAACTGGAAAAAGGTCATCTTAATCTAACGTTCGCCTATATCGTTGCCAGATTTGTATGATTTGTACAGAGAGAATTGGAGATAGGCATGGTTTCATCTTTATTGCCTAAGACTCTAAACTGTCAGTTTTCGGTGTTTTATGATGAATAAATGGCTGAAATAACCCTGGAACCCTGTTGTAAAAATCTTACAAAGCATTTTCGGTACCGAGTCATTAAATGAGTATGGTTAAGGTTTCACAAGTGTTAATCTGCCACATGAAAACAAGTGCGCTCCCAGTAACTATTGCAATAAAACGTAATTTGGACAAATTTCCTCATCAAAAATAGAAAAAGCAAGCCACATTAAAATATTGGATAACATTTTCTTGTTTAAATAGGGTTGTCTTTTCTTAGGTTTCTCGTCGTAACTGACAGCAGTTTAGTGAGGACTCCAACTAAAATCATAACATTTCAGGCGTTATTCCTCAGCAATGACAGATTCTTTGATTTGACGTTTTTAGCAGTCTCATCGTACATTATTAATGTTTCTTTTTCATGATATCAAATGCTGATAATAGTTATTTTCACCTTTGTTATCCACTCTAGTTAAATAATTATGATAACTTGCGGTAAGTCTATTGTCAATCAGCAATAATTAACATGTTCGTGTCGAATCATTTCTACACATAGAAAATATATAAATACCCAAGGGAAAAGGCGCTATAACCAGAGTGTGAAGTGTGCATAGAACCAAAGAATAACCTGTCGAGACCAGATAAAAAGGGATGAACTTAAAGGCTGTAGTTGTGATAGTTGCCATTCTAATTGTGGCCTCAGGAATGCGGGAGAGTGATGCTGCGGTACCATGGAGCACCTCGAAAGGAAGAAGTATCAAGAAAGTTAAGAGCGTCGCTCTCAATAAGGTAACTGCCTGATTTTCACGATGATTCACGTATTTTTACTGTTTACTGCCCAGCTGCCCTTTCAAAAGAATTTCCACATAGGTGGGAAAAAGAAAAATGTCCTTATTGACCAAACGTATACCTAAAGGTACTGAAAATGGAGTAAAGGCATTCAACAAACTTAAAATGCGTTTGTAACAACACATATTCAACGCGTTTCGTGAAAGACTTCGAAGTGAAAATACATCTAAATCAAGTTATTAATGTAAGATAACCTTTATCCGAAATATATTCCCTAAGATTAACGTCGTCAAGGACCAATAACCATTTTTATGTTTCCGCTTTAAAAGAGACTTTCGCTTCAACGGAAAAAACGTTATCTCTGCTGTTCCTAGGAGCAAAGCTACCGTCGAACGCTGTGTGAGGCCGCACGATATCTGGATTGCGATTATCAAGCACAGGAAGACGATTGACGTAGGACACTGGCGATGTCGACAAGTTACTACCGTCATGATACTTTACGAATTTATCGGAAATAATACTATGTAAACTTATGAGTAAACTGATCAGTGTTACAATAAACTGGGAAATCATGTGCATTCTGTCGAGTTTGTGTCAACTTTGATTTACAAAAAACAAGAACTTCCATGAACTATTTAAGTCTTCACATAAAGCTTTAGGTAACTCACGCTCTCTAGCTCAAAAAAATAAAAGCATCATCTTTTTTCAATCTGTGGCCGTGTATTTAAAATCAATTCGGTTGGACATAAGGCGATACAGATGGGGAAGCATCGGCCAATATGATAACATTACCAAACATAGGGGAATGTAGATGCATCTGTCGTCAACCCTAACGAAAGGGGTGGAAGTTTGTTTAGTTATATTTCTATCTATCCACCTATTTAACAATGGGGAAAGCTGCTACATCAGCGACCCATTTAATTTACTTCACCCTTTTCGTTTTGTGTTATTGCTGTTCTAGTGAATTTAGTAAATGCGCGTAATCGTCATTCGTTTAACGTGTGCTTTCGAGTGCTGTAGTGGAGTAAAATCCTTGGTAAAATTTGCCGAATTCATGTTTTCGTGACTCATTACGCGGTCCTTCGAATGAAATTGAGAAACAAAGAAAACAGTTTGGGGGACAAAAGAAATGAAAAAGGGTATTGCTATTGTCTGCTTATCAGTATGGGTGGATATGTTTCGGTCAGTAATTTTGTTGTTATCTCTCCAGTATAGTTTGATTATGAATTCATTACCACTCACTTTTTCCTATCAGATCATCTATTTAAAAACCGATTGCATGAGACATTAGGAGCAGACATAAGCATGTATTTTTTAAGTAGCACATCCAATCATTCGACTCAGAGCTTCTCTGCACATCAGAATCATGAGGTTTTGGTTCTCAATCGAAGAGTAATAAGCGATCAGTCAACAGTGGTAGAATTAGCCATTGTCCCATACTTTGTTCTCTTAGTAAACAAATAAGATCGCTGTTATTTTAGAGTTAATTAGTTCATAGTCAGCACCCTCGATAAATCTAATGAGGAGCAATCCAGAACGAGAGAAATGTAAACTTCTGTACCAACTTGGGAGCTGCTGTGCATTAATGATCCATGCAGTTGAATTTTCAAATTATCACTTTTTCGCGTTAGAAAAGGAAAAAGTGTTACCCTGTTTTTTTAGCGTTTTGAAAATAGTTACTTAGCGAGGGTTTCTTCTCCATATTTTACTAAACCAAGCCAGTTGAAAGTCAATCAAACCACGTGCTAGGTTAATTAGAGAAAACTGCACATCAAACAGACAGAATATTAGTCTTCGGATAATTTCATTCACCACCCTTAGAAATCAAAGTTAAAACAGTTATAATTCAATAATAGGAAATATAAGAACTCAATCCAGCTAAATGTCTTACTCAAAGTTATTTTAAATTGATTAGTAAAGTGTCCACAGCAGTAATGACGTGTCGTGTGGACAGGTGCAAGCTCCAATCAATGATTGTGTCACGTTTCAGTGTGTAATGTTATTAGGGCCGAGAAAATTTAGGCGGCTCTCCTGCAGACAACTAGCGAAATGTATTATCATTTTTGTTATGAAACAGCTCCCGTATTTAAATGCAAAAATGATTGTTAATTGAGTTATTTCGGAAGGTAGCAGAACTGACCTCCGCATTAAAGTGTCCTCGTGCCTAAGGGAACTAGAGATAAGATTCTCTAGAGAAGTACAGTTCAATACCTTGCGGAATACTGATTGGAAAGATAGCTGTTAATGAGGTTTTTCTTTCCCATTTTGTGCCAGAGTTTCAATATACTGATTATACTACAGAAGCAACAAGCAACCGCAAACCTTTTGTGTATTGAAGTCATTCATTCATCGCAAGCTTCGTAACCGTAGGCACCTAATAATTGGAATCGTTGTTTGTCTTCATAACGACCGCACTATCACGAATCCAACGGGCTTGCGGCTATTGCATGAAATACTTATCTATCGGTCTTTGGATGCCACGCAAGAAAAGCGGGCATCTGTTGACGAGAAATAGTCCCGAAGAAAAAAACACTAAACTTATAAAGAATGCTGATAATAGGATATTAACCCTTTAATTTTCTTAACAATTTTAACAGCTGCCCTGGGCACCCTTTGTAAAATGTTTTGAACTTATAAAGCTGTTATCATTACTGTCTTATAAAGTGTTCCTGTTGTTAAAAACGTACCTTAACAGATTTTGATGAGAATTGCTTCAAAACCTAAAGCGTTTTTGTTTTCTGACTTAAACTTAGATTTGGCCTTCAATTTATAGGAAACCGTGTGGTAAGAGAGGTACGTTTGTAATGGCATACTAGAAAAATAAAAAAACAAAGAAAAATATCAAAGATGTCATCCTCTGTTGTGTTTCTGGTACAATTGACACAATGTTTCTAGTATAAATTCAATGAACGCACTCAGGAAAGATGATTCTGGCAGCACGGTTCCTAACACGTCGGAAAAAAAAACTTTCCTCAACCCACGTGACGTTCTTAGTCTTAGATACGTTTTTACTGAACGTGGCCATTTGTAAGAAGTTTGTGGCTGAGTAGCACACTTCCATGTTTACGTTTATATTTGTGTTTGCTGTTAGCTAGCTGTATCGCGTGTGAGTTAATGCAGGTTTCGTCAGTACAGGAATGTTGACATTGGACCATAAACTGGATATTCTCAATGAGTATATTGGATATACTCATTATGTTGTACAATATGCACATTTTGAGGGTCTTTTACGGCTAGCGGTTAATTTTACTCCGTCTCAGTTAAAGAAAAATCTTTGAGGTTTACTTTTTTCACGACTAAGGGCTAAAATATATCAATTTTTACGCCGAACGGCTACATTTTTTTTCGTTTTACGGCGAACGGTTAACCCCTTTGAGACTCTCAAATTTTGTGATAGTGTGCTTGAAAATTGTTTTAGAAAACACCCAAAAATTAAATTAGCTAATTTTTCTCACTTTTTTTCACTTGGGTAATACCCAGGTATCTTGTGAGCTAATTAGGCTGCGAAGAGTTGTGAAATTAGCGGCTACTTTTACCGGTAGTTCCCTCTTCAAAATCCACCTAAAAACTATTGCCCTGACCCGACGATCGATTTAAAAGACACCCACATAGGACCGCGCTCAAATACGTGTTACTTGCATATGGCGAAAGTTTGAGATCTTGGTAACTGGGCTGAAATGTTCCCCATAAGCGTGCTCTAGCTCATTTAGACGTGGACAGGGAAGAGGAGGCAAAACTCGCTTTCACTAACTAAGTGCCTTTTGACATGCGCAGTGAACTTGAACATTGTTTTGCCGCCATCATTCGAATCGCAACGACTTCGGAATTACTCATTATTCATACAACTAGGTGTTTGTTTTCAGACTCACATGAATTTTTCCTCTCATAGTGCTACTGGCAAAGTTAATGAGCCAAATCAGGGTTTCAAAAGTCGCCTAGCGCTTGATGACAAAGTTTACAAATCGGCGTCTGAAGCTCTAGAAGCTTACATCGCTCAATTTGAAGGAGGCCGAAGCTCTACGACTTATCGACGGCGTCCTTCCGACCTACTTTCTCCGACGCCGAAATTTTACTTTATGGATGTACAGGAAAGATACCTAAGAAGTTCTCCTAGTAAATCGCCAGCGAGAAAAGTGGATGAACTTTTAGCGTGGGTGAACAATGCCTATGCAAAAGACTTATCTAGTAAAGTAACACCGTTTGGATACAGAACTACTACAAGAGTGCCTCGATCTTCAGGTAAGCTGTTCAGTCTCAATTCACATCGAGTAAGATGAGAAATATCACTGATTTTCGGTGGTTGTTCCGATTCACCGTTACCAACTTTAACTGTTCATCGGCGAAGTCTGCCTGAAAAATTGATTTTACGGTAAATGAGCATAAAGTTGTAGGCAGCGGGCGTCCGCGTCCTAGGCAACCTTCTCTTGCCACTCGATTATGAATTCCTACGAGCAGAATTTAAGATTTCTGGTATTTTGAGTCAGTTTAACCATTCATTTCCCGCAGCGATTAGGTTATATCTCAAACATGGAAGATGTTCAACTGTTCTGGAGAGTGAAAAGTGTATGAATTTTAAGATGTTCTTTTTGGGATCTTACAAGATTCTACAACAAATATGCGGTTTATCGTTTGAACGCTTGAGTAAACAGATAATGAAGCAGTACAGTCAAAAATTACTCTCATGCTGAAGCAATCGGAGCTATTCAAGATTAGAATAGCGGTAAAATTATCACAAGAATATGACAAAGAAAATAAGCCTTATGGCCTGAACGTCTTCGATCTCAGGTCAGGTAATTAATTAGGTGAAGATAAATTATTAAGCACGGACGCGAACCCAAACAATGAACCAAAAACAATTCAAGTCACATCTCCTTGTAGTTTTGTTTTTGACTTCTAAATATTTCATCGAAGAGTAGTGAAATAGGTATACTGTTAGATCAGGGTAAATCTGCGTTATTGGGATTTGTTACAGGTTTGGAAATTATAGTTAGCTGCTTTTAATTGCTTAGTGGAGAAATGATATGTGCTAATGATCGCCGACACTTTTTTTTTTGTATATTGGTATGCGAATGACATACTGACCAGACGTGAAAAGAAAATCTTTTGTTATAAGATGTCAAATTCAGAATAACAGTTGAGTTACAGTTTAGTTCAGAATTACAGTTGAGGATTTTATTTGTAAAGACTATCACTGTATGTGTACACAAAACTTGCACAAAGGTGACGTAAGACGTGTTCTTTTTCTAGCTCTATCTACAAGCAAGCAGCTATGTTGTAACATCCTCCCTTACAGAATGCGTGTGCACCCTCTCAATTTCTGTTGCTGTAGCAGTTAGTCATTATCTTATCTTCTTGATTAAGGGATGTCCTCAGCAAAATCAGAAGACAGCCAGAGAATTTTTGATGAAAAACTAACATTTCGACATACAATGTGTAAACACACACAGTAGTAGTATTGAACAATACCACTTGAAAGAATCCATAATTAGGGTTCCCAGAGAATCCTTTTGAAACTGCAAGTTCTCTTAATTTCAGCTTTAGAAGGGGGTGTTGTTTGGTTGTGGATATGGTGGTGTAACAGTCAGCATGCCTTGGATCAAAAAAACCTGGTTGATTTTTTTTATTTTTGGTTTGTGTGTTTTTGTTTTTGCTTTTTTTTTTAACACCCTATTAAGAAAGTTCAGTTCCATATTCTATTTAGAGCACATAATCTAAAGTTAGTGTTTGGTGCGGAGGTAAGGGTCAATGTCTGTTGTGTCTCTTCTTATGTCACCATTACTCTAAGTTTTTTCTCCATCATGGAACATTAGTGGATCATGGCCATCTGTGGGCAAAATACTAAGAAATGCTACAAGGTTAACAGTGAGGGACCACTCACTGCCTTGTTGCATTGTCTGTCGTTAGCTCCTCGGTCATTTCAAGTTGAACCATTAAGGCTATTCATAAGGTTTTAAATCTTCTTACCATCTTCTATAGCATACAGTGTGGGAGTGGCCAACACTTGAGAGTGATTCAGGACAAGGGCATTTTAGATGTTCCAAAGAGGCAAAACCCTCTGATCCTTAGTGCATTTAAATTTTCATGAGAAAAAGCTTTTTTGCTATTATATTGCATTACCTTTTGCTTTAACAAAGAAACCTATAGCCTCCTAATGTGAACCTGATCCTTGCAGAACTGATTGTCATGCAGATAAAGCTAAATTAAGTTCTCAGAAAAAACATGTACCTTGAATTTCTTTGAGATACACACCCTCCCCCCTCCCAAAAAAAAAAAGAAAGAAGAAAGAAAAAGATACAGTAAGGGAAATTGACATACAGGACAGCACTGCTTAAAAGTAAGTTGAGAGTCCCTCATACCCCTAAGGCCTAATAACCTGGAATCTCTCTCTGTCAGTCATTTTCTCTTGCTGTTTCTTGTGGTTTGCCTGTATTTTATGAGCCAATAATGAATAAATGAACCCATGGCACAAAAATTGATCAAAATTTTTAGAATTAAAAACAGAAAATAAGAGAAAAAATAAGGTGAGGATGGGATAAAAATTGTAAAGCGCAAGAAAAGGAAGGCTGTTTACAACGTGGAATTCGGAACCATATTAGAAACCTGAAGGAAAGACAAAAAGATGACATACCCAGGGATACACATCAACTTTTAAGATAGTGGGACCTTTAACATATACTTCAACATATACAGAGCCTGAGGCAATGCAATTAATTGCACACTTACAAGAATTTCTAAAAAATAAAGTTTTATCTGTTGAATTAAAAAATTGATTTCACTTAAGACCACACCGAGTTTTCAGCCCTTTTATCCATGACAAAAGCAATATGATCAAATGCACCTCACAAATTTATGCATGAAGGATATAATGATGATTATTGCATTACTGTACATTATTTTGTTATTTTTTATGGGTGCTTTGTGTACATCATTTCTTTTTCAATTGCAAAACTACACAAAATATTCTTCATCCTATGTAAAAATTTGCCAATTAAATTTATGGTTGAACCTGTATCGAGTGGCACAATTTTAAGCAATGACCCTGTATTAGGCAGTTGGTTGTTGGTGCTGAAATTTTTTCCCCTTAATGTGCTGTAGTTTACAACTCTATTATGCAAGCACGCTCACCCTTGACTGAGTCCCAACAGCCTTTTTTTATTGTCTTTCATCTGTATTGAACAGGAACAGGAACCACTCAAATAAAACTTAGTCTAAGTGTCAAGTCAAATTATTTCATGTTTATATCCAGAAATCAATGTTAGCACTTTAATTTCAAATGTCCTCATTGTGCAGCAGATTATCTTTCTTTTTAGGGCTGTTGGGACAAAAGGTTTTTTTTAAAAATTATGTTTGACTCCTAATTTATGGAACCTGTAACCTGTATTTAATGGTCAACCTGTGTAAAGTGGTAATCCTGCTATTCCTTGTGGTTTGACTGTAATTATAAAGTACTGCAATGCATGTATTTGTAGAGCCTCAGCAATTGAAGGAATTTGTCAATGCTGCATTATAGCATGTGAAAAAATGTTTGGTGTATTATTAATTGTTTATCATTCATTCCTTGTTATTTCATTCAGATGAAGAAAATATGAACCCTCAGCCTGGACCTGGTCACCACTCCTACATTGGCAATGATGATGAAATTTCTACTCTCCCTTCCCCTAGTTCATCAGTAGTTGACCTAGATAGTAATGCTGGTACTGTGGAAACAGAGGTTTTGTTAAGCAGTTATAAAGGAAGTAAAACTGCAGCTCCAGGTACACTATCAGGTGAATAATGCAGAGTTCAAAATCATCTTTTCTATGGGGGGTCAAATAGCAACTGGGCACCTTTCTTTAGCCACAAAATGGAAAAATTTGGTTGTCAAAAAGTTTGATTTACAAAACGTTTACCTCTCAACCAAATACAAAAATGTCAGATTGCTAATATAATTATGTTATAAGATGAGAGAGTACAGTCAAATAAAATTATTATTATTATAACTATTATACATTGTATCTTTCAGGAAACCACAAATGAAATATTGATTTTGGGTTGAGATGAAATCAATTTCTTTAGTGTAGGATCAGAACATTGAAAAGATGGCAAGTCAGCAGGGGGCTGGTGATTTGCCTGTAAATTATACTAGTCACTACTCAATTTTCAGTTGCAGTTGCAACAAGCTGGTCACAACTTTGCACCTTGAAATTGTTATACAATTTTGTCTATTCACCAACCAGATGTACATGTATTAAGGCATTTATGATTTTTGTTGATAAACTCTTAGCTAAACCATTAAAATAACATGCTATTTGTAGATGTTCAGCTCACATGAGAGGAGTCATGTAGAAACAGATACTGTGCACCAGATGACCTTCAAGTGTTTTAAATTGATTGCGCACTCTCTTGTAGGGATATTGTTTTTGTTAGAAGAGTTCTTCTTAAAAGCTTGAAAAATGTTACCATTCTACTCTCTTCAAAAGTAGGAAAAAGGAAATCAAACTTGCTGCACCATACACTTTTCTTTAATATTATTGACTCTTAGTGGATTTCAATCTTTTCTTTTATTAGGATCATATTCCAGCAAGGTATTACCAGTGACATCTCCAAAAACTGCCTCATGGAAAACCCATTCTCAATCTGGTAAAACAGAATATCCCAGTTGGGTTTCCAGCCTAGGGAAGGAGTACCCCAGCTGGGTAGAGGACCTTGATACCACTACAACAGAGAACAAAGTGAAGTACAGGTATTTGATATCTTATACGCACTACCTACCTTGCTCTATGAACTACCTACCTTGCTCTATGCACTACCTACCTTGCTCTATGCACTACTTACCTTGCTCTATGCACTACCTACCTTGCTCTATGCACTACTTACCTTGCTCTATGCACTATCTACCTTGCTCTATGCACTACTTACCTTGCTCTATGCACTATCTACCTTGCTCTATGCACTACTTACCTTGCTCTATGCACTATCTACCTTGCTCTATGCACTACCTACCTTGCTCTATGCACTACCTACCTTGCTCTATGCACTATCTACCTTGCTCTATGCACTACCTACCTTGCTCTATGCACTACCTACCTTGCTCTATGCACTACCTACCTTGCTCTATGCACTACCTACCTTGCTCTATGCACTACTTACCTTGCTCTATGCACTATCTACCTTGCTCTATGCACTACTTACCTTGCTCTATGCACTATCTACCTTGCTCTATGCACTACTTACCTTGCTCTATGCACTATCTACCTTGCTCTATGCACTACCTACTTTGCTCTATGCACTATCTACCTTGCTCTATGCACTACCTACCTTGCTCTATGCACTACCTACCTTGCTCTATGCACTACCTACCTTGCTCTATGCACTACCTACCTTGCTCTATGCACTACCTACCTTGCTCTATGCACTACCTACCTTGCTCTATGCACTACCTACCTTGCTCTATGCACTACTTACCTTGCTCTATGCACTATCTACCTTGCTCTATGCACTACCTACAGTACTTTGCTCTAAGCACTGCCTTCCTTGCTCAGTATTTTCACGCATGAACATTCAATTTGTTCATAGACTTGGGAAGATTGCAAAAATGTGTAGATGGGGTCACTAGTTACACAACGTTCATGTACACGCACATTCTCCTGACAAATGTTCATCTTGCAGACCTACAGAATTGATTTTCCCTTTCTGCTCTTTTTACGGATTTATTTTGTATAGCTTTTTATTAAGAATAGAAATTTCTCCTGTTTCCAGATCGTGATTTTTTTAATGAGCAATTTATGAATTGAAAGATAGATTGTGTTCCCATGGTAATCAAATATATTAACATGGCGTTTGGCTTTCTATTGAGGCCTTTATCTCCGATGATATGATTGGAAAAAAATTTTTTGGTTTCGAATTTTGTCTGCAGCAACTGAAAAGCTCACAAAGAGAACTTACACGAGCTTAACAGGGTAATTAAGTATTATTGACTGAGCTGATAAGGTAAATTGGCCACCGTAAAGAGTTTTAAAGCTGACGTTTCAGCTTTAAAAGTCTTATCGGAAGCCAATTTACGTTATCAACTCCGTTGATGATACTTAACAACACAGTTATACTCTCCCACCGACGCTGCCCCACAGTTTCTTTAGAAACTTACCCCTTTTACACGAGCTTAGTTTACTGCATTTGTATCGCGTACGTTTACAACTCGTTAAGAATTAATTGAAGTCCTCTTGCCCCAATTTTTTTCTTTAACCTTATGGTCGGTTAGATTTATCGTTTGCCCTTGTTGTATGATAATTTGTTTTAGCCCTGACGAGAAATACTCCTCCAGCACCTCCTCTCCATCAGGAACATTTGTGAGAAAAAAACCGTTTGGACGTTCATCACAGTCCAAATCAGCTCTTAAATTATCAGATCTACAGTGTAGCAGACTCAAAGACCCATCAAGAGTAAATAAAGCAGAGAGTAATATAAACGGAACTGACTGGAACGATGGAGCAAGTACTGACACAGACATGCTGCTTTCTCAGTCAGTGTATGGACCGAACCCGGTCAATATGGGCGGAAACTTCCACAGCTCATTATACCAAGACAAAAAGGTTGCGCGACTGAAAAAAGAATCCACGAAAAAGCTCAGAAAAAGCACTGGGAAGATTAAATCCAGAGAACAGTCAACAGTATCTCCAAGGAGGTCGAAAAGTCTGACTCTTTCACCTACAAAGTCTCTACGCTTTTCTGCGAGCAATGAATATTCAGAAGGTAAAGAAGGCACTCTTCTTAGAATGGCTGTCCCGAGGGATTCCTCACCAGGCAGGAGTCCCTTCACCTCTCTACCGTCAAGATACAGCATACCTCTACAGAATGAGAGATATGCGGGCTCATCTGCAGAGTCTGCACTTCACAGTACCTCACCAAAAATGACACGGAAGTACGTATCGCCGCCTGTTGTGACACGGTATTCAAAGCTGCCTGTCAAAAAAGAGGAAGTAACGTTACCATTAACGGCAAGGAGAGAGCCTTCTACTAGCCCTAGCTCTGCAACATCTCTATCGCGTGTGAGAATCCCACTGAAGACAGACTCTCCATCCAGAAATGAGGAAAGCGATGTAGAATCTGAGGACACGGACAGGGAGATGCGTAAATCACCAACAGGAATTAAAATGGAAAAGATGTACAGAGATCCTAATACTATGTATCCTTGGAAAACGATGATTCAGAGTTCTAAATCTCGAGACAGTGCCGCGGCTGATCCAAAGCCACAGTATTATTCTACACCCAAAATCTCAACAGGCAGGAATCTTCAAAAGCCATTTGGCTCTTCACTTAAGCATCCATATTCTAGCAGAACTTCTTATGGTGGCCTGCGTGGCGACCAAAGAGTGGTGTTTTCTGAACCCAGTGGGCAGCGAGATGGAAGGGAAGCTAGAGCGCAGGAGGAGTACAAATCGCCTAATAAACCTGTTTTCGCTGGTTCAAGTTACCGGTCTAGAGATGAGAAGCTTGCAAAGTCTGCTCCTGATACAAGATACCGCAAGCCCCCTATTCCTACCAGGAGTAGTGGAGGGAAGTTGAGCCACCGACGAAGCAAAACTGTTCCAGATTTACGACGGGTTGCCATGAGGTCAGCTTCAAGGCCAAGAAGTTCACGTCGTAGTCTTGATGATGACGTTGTCAGTGTAAATACAGTGGACACTGAGACGCTTATCACCCACCCACCCATGCCTCTGTTTGATGTTAGTCCTTCACTTACTACTGTCTCAGACAGTGACACATTAGTCGAGTCTGAAACAGAGACAGACACACACATGGGTGTTGTCGAAAGGAGTCAAATGAGCCTACCTCATATTGCTGATGTGTCTGACAAGTTTTCCCCAACAAGTGTGTTTGCTTCGACAAATCCTCATGCTGCAGTAAGAGAAGAACTCCCTCAAAGATTTCACTTATGGAAGCTGTAAGTTTTGTTTCTGCCATTTTTGTATGCATGGGTTTGAAAAAAGGCCTCAGGTAGTGATCATACATGTACTTTAAATGCTCCCTACTCGTAGACAAGTAGCAACAAATCAGGCATATATAAATATCTTATGAAGAAGTTGGCTGTTTAGTTCTGAACGCTAAGGTGATGAGCAAGTAAATTTTGGGCCCTAATTATCTACCATCTTTGAATTGTATGTAAGGATTCATGATCAACACTACCTTTATATGTAATATTATGTGTGTTGAATCCTGCACAGAGATGAAGACATCAAAACTCCAGACAGTTTCATAACAAGGCGCTTTACAAATCCGAAGTCTGGAATCATTTCGTCATTTCTTGACGACTGTTTGAGCGTTGATAGCGAAGACAAAACAATGAAAGTGAGTTTACAAACCCTAATTCGACCTACAAATGTACTTACATGTGGCCTGTGTGTGGAGCCTGCGTGCGCAGCCGCGGAAACAAGCAGAGGATGGAGGGTAGAAGTTTGTCTTCTAACAGCTTTGGAGCCTTCCATTTTGTCGTAGAGATGACTGGGTAATCATCTGAGTAAAGATTCTCGAATAGCAAATTACAGGAATTATGAGTTGCATGTACCTGGCCTAGGAAGGACGCTGAATTAAAATCAGTTTTTTCTACGAGTGATGAACTACAGGTGCATTTATGTTCAGCTTTGTGAGAAATCCGGTGACCATGCGATTGTCCTTAACAGTAATTCTTAACTAACTTAGTTAATATGTGTGTGCGTGTGTGTGTGTGTACGTGTGCGCGGTCAAAGTTAATTACCATAAGTCCATATTGTAATTCTAATATAAGATTAGTTATTTTAAGTGAGAAAGCCTGACTTGTTATAAGCCTCGTGGTTTCTTTCAGGTTTTCTCGCCATTTATTTTCTGTCATCAATTTTCTTCATTTTTTTTTTTCCATGTGTAAATGTCGTATATGGCAAATAAATATTGTATATTGTATTGTTGTCCTTTTTGAAAATCCTTTCAGGAACCGAACGGTACTTCTACCAGTGCTGGGGGTGCTATGAGACTCAGTGGAAAGGAAGCTGCCCCAGGCCCAGTGGAAGCCTTAAAACAAATGCTTTTTACCATGCAGGACATGGCGCATCACGAAACACTCAATAATGAAGATTCAAGCTATTATAAGGTAACCTTATAAAGAGATGTGGGAACATAGGGTAATGGTACTAGTGCAAGGGTTTTGTGCACTGCAGTTTAAGATTTTAAGTTACTAGATGTTGCTGACAAGTAACTGGTGTTGTTCGTTATCGACATGAGAGTCGATCTGTACACAGGCGGTCTAAGCTCCAGCTGTGAGATGATCATCTTGCGAAATAAGAGTCATGGTGAAATTATAAGAGTTTGTATGGGAATATTTACGACCGCTCTTAGGAATTAAAAAAAAATAAGTCAAATCCTCAATGAAATTACCTCATCTTACTTTCATAGTGCATCGCTTGTTATCTGACCGCTTACTATGTTAAAAAGAACCCATTTTAGCGAGATATCCATTTCTAGGTTTACTACATAAGAGAAGCCAAAGTCTGCACACGCCCGATCCGAGAAGCGAAAAATCCAAGCTCAAAATGACTGGGCAGCCACAATCCAACGCAGAATCCAAGCAAATATACTGCAGTTTCATTTCAATTCACTACAAACTCAATCTTCCTGGTGAAAAACGACGCTAATTTTGTTTCAGTTTGCTTCAAAAGTTTCCAGTTTAGACGTTTTTAACGGCTCGCTTACACACGACCGTTGAAACCAGCTTGGTAACCCTGCCTCCTTTGCAAACTGTGCCTCGCCGGGGACCACGCCGTCACGGGTGCTAAGTGATATGATTCAAGTAACGCTAAATCGACGATTATCGCAGATTGAGAGAGTTATCACTAAATTACCAAATACGAAACAAAAGGAGCTGAAACAAAGAAACTTGACGGAATATAAACGGAGAGGTTGCAAACATTTGCTCCATGTTCTCTTGTAGCGTTCGTTCGCTACTGTTTTTGGTTTAAGACTTTCAACTGTTCTAGTAGGCTCAAGACTGATGTTCACTTTTTTTCATAGAGCCCCTCCAGTATGGATTTCAAGTCCAAAGTTATAAAAGATTCTCTATCTTCAGGTAATGTTGATCCCGTTCAATAAAGACCCAGTTATGATCTCATTAGAGAGTATTCAAACGATTGTTTCATGAAGGTGAACACTTAAGCCTAAACGTGCACGTATAGAGTGCTTGTGGAGGCACAAGGATCGTGGTGAAATTATCCAAAGTTTATGTGCGTTGCAAAGAACTCTGTCTTTCGACTTGACCTTTATCTTGACAATTTCTGGTGGGTTGCTATTTTTACAGATGACCAAAGTGAAAGAGATGCTGACATAATGCGCGGGGAGGTATCTTTACAAAGGTATGTTAAAAAAGTCTCTCATTCACTCATCTCGTTCATTCAGCTTCCTCATAACTTGCAAGTCTCTTCATTTGCGCTGAAAAGCTTTTTGGGATGGCTAATATGTGCTCCCAGTTAAAGGAAGTTTTCGCGAAACGTTGATTTCGCGAACTTCGTGATTAAAAAGAAAGTCGCACACTTTAATCAGTTGACGTGAATTGTCTTGTAAACACCTTTACGGAAACATTAAGCGATTCAACTGTAAAGGAATGGGTCAATTACCGTCTATTGATCCATAATAAAACCATTCATACGGAAACATTAAGCGATTCAACTGTAAAGGAATGGGTCAATTACCGTCTATTGATCCATAATAAAACCATTCATAAACATCATCAGTATATGTCTCCAAAGGACTTTTTTCCTTGAGAGCCCATAGTAAGGAATTTTTCAATTTAAATGCATACCTCCGTCATATGTCGTAAGACCACTAGTTCACGTGTGAGCATAAACTACTTGCAGTTTATGTGAAACTGCTTTGTTGTTGCGGTCGACGTATTCTCTTGCAGCTGCGTTTTCGTCTTTGATATCGATTGTCTATCGATCGTTTTCTCGTTTTTCGTGCCAAGAGGATTCGAATGTGCTACGTGTGGAAAAATCTCCGGATGTGTGTTTGTACAAGGAGCCTAATGCTTACAACGATGCAAGACAAAATATGTAGAAAACGAAAATGAATTACAGCATTGAGTAAGAAATTTTAGTGAAGCGCCGTGTAACTGGCTATCCACCTTAAAACATTGGAATTGTCATGCGAATCAAAGTTTTTACTTAATGTGCTACTTGGCGTTGGTAAGAAAACGTTAGTTTTGTTCAGTTTTTTATCACTGTCCAACCTCCACAGGGCCTATCATCATCTGGAAAGACTCAAGAGGCTTGTGGGAAAGGAAGATGATCGTTCGTCAATTAGCTCCGCTAATTAGATGGCAGGCATCTTGGAATTTCAATGCTTTTATTGAAGATCATTCAACTATATCACTCATTAGACATTTTTAATCACCATTCTTTGTTTTCGTTTTGACATTTCTGTAAGTTATTACAACTGTCATAGTGTCAAGCTCTGTTCGACATTCATTTGCTCTAAAAGAATCGAATGAACTTGCGAGTTGTTATGTCTAAGTATTTATAGCTTGATTTTTAATGAAAATTTCATGCTTTTTATCGCACTATTGTGCGCTATTTTATTGGTTTGCGCTTTGTTATTTTTTTTTATCAAATACAAAACTTGTTTTGAACGCATGTGAGCCACCTTGAACCAAATTAAATCCAATTTACCTAAAATGTCATAGATAACGTGTGAACGTGGCAATTTTCATCAACTGGAAAGTTGAAAGCTACATAATCTACGCATGCGCACAAAAATTACAGCTTTTTTTTTTCCACACCACCCGTTTTTGGGGAAGGTGAAGAGTGACACACCGAAAAGATGAAAAGATAATGTAAGATCGATAGTCAAATTGTGGAAATCCTGAAAAAAGATCAAACTCTTGTATAGTTGTTTTTCAAAACTCCAGTGAGAAGTCAGGTTTGTTGAAGAAGATTAGATGAACCCACTACACACTTTGTTTTAACAGGCTGGAAGAACTGAGGTTTCAGTCAATGCTCGGGTTCTCTTCTGTAAACCTTAATTTGCAGTGAAGGGTCGGGTTCCTTGGAGACATTTTAGACCTGACGTCCACCTTATCATAATCATTAACTGATATCTCTTAATTACGCTACGGGAATCAGATCAGGGAACAGATTTTGTCAACACAACACCAAAATAAACACGGACTTATTAAATGATATTTTGATTAAAAAAAAGATTTTAAGAAAGTGATTTTACTGAAATATTTTTCATAGGCTTTATAGAAGTTATAGGGTTAAATATATATAGGGATATTTATATATTAGCTTATACTTATTGCAAATTTATTATGCGACTTGGTGAATTAATATAATTGTTTCAAAATAATGAAGTGTGTTCTCTTTTGGCAATGTTCTATGAATACTTAGTAGAAACCTTTTAACCTTCAAATGAACATTATTCTGTGGAGCTGAGTAGGATGAGGGATTGGTATCATTTTTTGTTACACGTCACACTGTAACGAGGCCGGTAAGTGTTACACTCGTATGAAGTACACGTTTGCCTTGGTACGTGCCATTTCACTCACCAATTTATCGCTCCACACGCCTACTTTCATACCCTACATAAGGTAAGAAAAGGGACAATTTTGAACCAAGCATATTTAATAGACCACTACTTGCACTCCCACTGCCCTTTCATGAGCATACGGGCTTAGCGTAGCTTCTTCCACATTTTAACCGAAAACGAGGCTTTGAACAGTCACTTAAGCATTAACTCTCAAAGTTCCTCTAAGACATCATATAATGGTCTTACAACGAATTATGGTGAAACGCATATGACGATCTCAAGAAAAGATTTTGGACTGGAAACTCATCCTCTTGTTTCCACGTCAGGAACACACCGCGCATACCTTTTTATGGTTGAACTTAATAAAGAAATAAATTTTCTTCTCGAGTGCAAGTATGATGACTTTGTTATCAATTGGATAAAATAGGTACGGGCCAAACCAAAAGTAAGAAAAAAGGAGATGAACAGTACAAACTGTGCAAAACTGACTAACATTTAGATTCACCTGGGTTTCAAACTTTTATTTGTTGACAGTCCATTGGTCTCTAACTTCTGTTACTTGAACATTATTTCTTAACTTAAAAATACACTCTGTTCATAGCTTACTTAGAATTGCAATAATCAAAATCAATATGTAGTAAAGTGTAATTTATACAGTCGGCATGATACTAGACAGTCATAAGGTCGTCCAATGTTGACTTATCTTGACAAAAGTCACTCAGTTAATCTGGTAACTTTTCAAATCATTAATTATCTCTCTTGCAACCCCAGACCCCTGGTGGACACTCGGCTTTAGCAGCTAATTCATCTTTTTTCTCATCATCTTCCTTTTCCTTTTTCTCAGGGACCTCGTTTCGTTTGCAGCCCCAGACCCCTGGTGGACAATCTTCAATCTGATCTTTCTTACAGCCCCAGACCCCTGGTGGACAATCTTCTTCGATCTGATCTTTCTTACAGCCCCAGACCCCAGGAGGACAATCATTTTCGACCGAGTCTTTCTTACAACCCCAGACCCCTGGTGGGCATCCTTCTTCGCCTAACTCTTCCTTTTTTATTTCTCTTTTGCATCCCCACACTCCGGGGGGACAATCTTCATCATTATTGCTTTTTACTGACCGCGTAGATCTTCCTTTTGACTTAAACCAATTTTTGACAGAGGCAAATAGACCTCGTTTGCAGCCCCAGACTCCAGGTGGGCAGTCTTCGTCGTTGCTTCTCTTGATTTCGAAGTTCCGCTTACAGCCCCACACACCGGGGGGACAGTCTTCATCCAGTTCCTCGATGACGTTCTTCTTGCATCCCCAAACTCCTGGAGGACAATCGTCTTCGGCTCTCTTGTTCTCTGTTTCCGAGCGCTTACATCCCCAGACTCCTGGGGGGCAGTCACCCTCCCACGCCCTTTTTCTTCTCAGTGGATTACTGGTTGCTTCGTGCGAAAGGGCAACGATCGTGATCACGGCAAATATGGTCCAACTCATTTTTCTAAAAAAGAAACGCACCACGTAACTTAGAAAAATTGCACAAGACACTCGCCTCAAGAAATAGTGTCTGAGAAACACAGAAATAAATGATTCGCCGCATGAATACTCGTTTTAGCTATTGTTTAAAAGAAATTTTGTTCAGTCATTTAGTAAAACCCTCCCATTAAAGGTCCATCCGTAGGGTAAGCGTCTACTTTTATCCCACATGCCAAATTTTTCTAAGTCAAGTGAGACCCCTTCTGAGACTTGTTGATTGAAACTATCACCTATTGTTTCAAATATCCTGTAAGCGACTTCTTCTCCTCACTCTTGGGTGTCAAGTGGGTGAGAAGATTACTTTCATTCCGATTCTGCTTTAAAAAGCAGCTTCTGTTCATGAATGACAAAAGTTCAGATCTTTAACGGTCTTTCCTTTTGTAAGCAACCACATGCATGCCTAAATGTGGCACCAAGGGTGGTCGCCTATGAAACTGAGCTTCAACTGTATTTCAGTAAAAAGCATTCGGGATGTCAGTTCGCAAATGGTTGTAGACAGCTCTGAAAACTCGAACACGTTGTAAAATTTATACGTCCAACAGACATGAGAAAAAGCAAAACAAAACCCAGTATTAGAAAAATAACATCCGTAATGAACAGTCACACCAACTAGAGAATGAAAGAAGTGAGGAGGTGAAGAGAGTGAAAGAAGTGCATATAAACTTTTTCTTTTCAAGTACAGAAATGATTTCTAACTGACGAGGCAGGTGTAGGTGGAGTGAACTTGCGGTTTTTAACCGAGATACACAATTCTTTTGACATTTTGCCGACACAGAATTCTCCGAATAGAGGTGAATGTGTGATACATCCTGGAAAAGGAGGAACTTTTTAAGTCTGCAAAACCTACAGCCTCTCAAGGAACATTAAAAAGAGGTTGCATTACGGAGAGTGTTCATTATTTGAGAGAAATCACTGAAGAAAAACCACAAGATGACTTTTTGTCACATGGCCACGAAAGAGAAAGTGACTGATATCACTTATGACAAAAAAGTAAGCTAAAAGCTTTTGCACAATGGATGTGATACATTGAAACACATTGGATGCTAAGAAAAATTATTTTTAAAGGCTTAAACGCCATCCCAATGTTAAAAAAAATAATATAGGAAATTGTGTTGAAAAAATTGAACTGAGAATTAGTAGTTTTCATAAAACTTATAATGGCCGCCACATTTCATGGACAAAAGTCAATTCGCGTGTCTATTGTTAATGTGAAGATATTTCTCTTTGTTTTGACCTCCTCACTTAAGCCGATACAAAAAAATGAAAGGATGCATAAACAAAGCCATTGGAGTAATAAAAAAATACCAAACACAGATGTCAAAACACTCACATCTACAGAAAAACCAAACCTCTCTTCATGGATCTGGATGAAAAGATTATTTTCTCAGGATAAAACAAGAAAAAAAAAAAGAGAGAGACGATGTGCCTTAATTCTCATAGAAACTGTCCATAGACCATGACAAACAACATTGACAAATTAAGGTTTCCTAACCGATAGTAATATATCTGTGGTGTTACTATCCTCAACTTACTTCTCAAATGTCTTTGACAGAAAATCGTCTCCTTTGTTGAGAGGTTCTTACTAAGGCGAGTCGTGGAGTTCGTCCGTCGAAAGCGTCCTATTTGGCGAAATGTTTGTCAACGATTTATATCCTTATGTAAGAATTTGATGAATTCCCCCGTTGCGCGTCATACACATTTAGCCTGAGTCTGTAAAACAAAAGATTTTAACGAAGTTTTAATTTTGTCGGTGTTTTTCAGAGTCATGATTGGTTTAGTGCAGTGGGCGGCGGTTTAGAGCTAATTGAAAAAGACAAAAACAATTACAAGCTACTAAAATCCGAATACATGCCAATTAGCAGGCTAATTCCATGGCAAAGAAACTATCATGAGATTTTTATCGACATCTTAGGGTAACCCGCTGATAAGGCAAGTGGAAGATGCTTCTTTATCAAACTCAGAAACATATTTTACGAGTTCCCTTTTGAATTCCGTGCCTACTCACTTTGCCTCAATATAATCACAGAAGATTAAATTTCGACATCTTAATTGCGTTCTCACAAAGACCCTTCTTCATGACATATGATGACCGCAGGTAGTGCAGAAATTCACTGATGACAATTCGAAATAACCAAGAACACTTCGAAAATTTTTCATCTATTTTCATACGATTTACACCTGTTAGTTTTACACAAGCTTCTTTTGCCTCTCGTTTTCAAAATTTTCTTCTTTCCTTAGGAAACAGGTGTTTTTCACCTATGTGTTTAGATCAATTTTCCTCACAATAGTTTTCATGGCTGAGGCAAACTATATTTGTTGGTTTCTGCGGTTAAGATTAAGATACTGACGTATATCATAGCTGCGATTAGATTTAAAAGCTTTAAGACCTTTGGTGACTTTCTCTGACAGCAAAACCAATATTCTGTCAAAACTGAATACTTTTACTAAGGTTGAATAAAACGTGTTTGCCTTGTCGGTTTGACTGAAGATGCCTGCGTTGACGCTTTACCAAAGTAAGGAAAGTCTGTTTCCCAATAATTCATCTCGTGCAAACCGGATGCGTTTTTACATAAAACCCGCATTCCAAGGATGAATCAGCAGCTGAAACTTTCCGATTTCTAAAATTAGTAGGATTTTTCCAAAATTTATTGTGCTGTATATCGTTTGTTTTGGAACCTTTCATATCGCCTTAATCCAGAACCACAAAATGACATAAATGCGTTGTTGGTAGAGGCCGCAAGCAAAAAAAATCTCTTGTTCGGGAGATTGTAGAAAATATTACATCTTAAACACGATACCAACCAGTTCAAACAGAAAAGAAGATTCGACACCTGAACTAAACCTGAATTACTTTGAACGGGATGACCAATCTAAATTTATGATAAGAGATTTGAACGCCGCTTTTTAATCATGCGATCAAATTTACATACAAAAAGTCGTCACTTTCATTAAACCAACCTTTCAGTATCAAGACTTCTTCTCGCGTAATCAATGAAGTTAAAAGATAGTGTATGAGCGCGAGAAATGAATGAATGAGACATGGACAGGTTTCGAGACGTTAAGGTGTGAATAGGAATAGTTGGTGAACATAAACTAACAGCTTACAGCTGTTAAGAAAAGCACTAAGAATGCAACCCTCTCCACAGGAAACGGATAAGTAACAACTGTACTGAAAACTTAAGGCATCTTTAAACTCCACAAAAATGCTTTGAAAACCTACACATATATCGCTCGTAAGTATCCAACTTCAACTGAAAGTATCACGACTACTGCTGAGTAACTACGACAAGCTTTTTGGTTGAAATGGCTTGCCGTGACAGGCAACCAAACAGAAAGAAATTTCGCTCTTTTTTTTAAAAGTATAATAAGCGGAATACCCAATTACAATTACCGTGAGTCCTATTCTGGAAAAATAAAGTCGCTTATCTCCTTTCCAAATTTTAATATCTATATTAAAAAATACTATCTTCAAAATTTTTCACTTCACCCTACGTTGCTAGACAAAGCCCTAAATCTTAAGTGAATTCTCATGCCCCTTCTCTTACCTAACACAGATACAACAATTACAGAAAATTCTAGAGTAGGTTTGTTTTTTTTATCTTTGGTGCTTTATTATTTTGCCTTCCAAACTTGAAAGCTACGAGAAGAAAGTAAGATCTGCATCTCTCGGGAAAAGGTCCGGCACTGAATGACCAGGAAGTGTAACAGCGCCTTTGTACCGAAAAAAAAGGAACAACAAACACCAATGTGTCCCTATAATGTGTCATTTTAGTGCAGAAGCCTGCTAAAACAAACTCTTACACTAAAATTATGATTTTAATCTTCATTTCTACATACAACGGAATCAAAAAGTTTTTTTTTTAAAGTTTGTTAGGAGTACTTCCATTCTCGAATGCCAAGAGAAAAGGGAACAAAACCGCTCGAAGTATTAGTGGGATGATTTGCTTAATTTCAAATCGGTGATTTTGATCCAAATGATGTTTCATTTGTTCTCGAAAAAAAAAAATGCACAAGCGACTGATGTCGTTAAGCCGGCCTTACCTTATGTAATGCTGCAGAAGCCTTCCTGGGCGGACTTATTCCCGGATCGATGCTATTCATAGAGTGAGCAGAGCATACTAATCCAACTTAGTATTTATATACTTCATCATGTTACTTAAAGCGCGCGTGGTCGGTCACATCTCAGCCAACAAAGGTTCCATTTTAAGACAACTTATCATTAACAAGGTCTGTAGAAAATTAGCGTCAATAAAAATGGACACTACTTAGATCATGAGAAAACCCTTGTTCTATAATTTCAAAACCACAGTTTCTGTCGCGATAATATTGCTTTTTTAGGCTTGATATCCTATGCAAACAAAGTTTGTTAGGACAAGTTTCAAGGTATCATAATTTTTGAGCAAGGGGGAAGACCTTTTATCGTAAAATTTCTTTTTGAAAGGGGAAGACCTTTGATCGTAAAATTTATTTTCGAAAACATCCCCTAAATAAAGTGTGCGCTCTATGTCATATAACATTCCTAAGTTTTCATACGGCTTTCGTGTTTAGGCAAGACTGAATTTGGCCGATAAGCCAAAGACAACTGTAATCAAAACAGACATGTTTCATTATCATTGATTTTTTTTCTCTACCTTAACACAAAGTATTTGCAAGAAACGTGGTGTAAACAGTTATGACCCTCGTGGGTAGCTCAACTATCCGGCAAAATGAAAACATCAGAAAGAAAGCACCACACAAAAAAAAAGGAAAAAAAAGTGCAAATTATTTCTCCTAAAAGAGGAAATTCAATGAAAAATCTCTTCTTCTACGAGGAATGAAAACAATGGCCAATCACTTACGATCGCTTATCAGTCAGCCATGGAAACATCCTTCATCGTCGTGGGTGAAAAAATGTGAAGTAAACAAACTTTGATTCTGGTGTAAAATTACTATCTGGTGGACACTATTATTGCACAATCCTGAACCACAAAAAGGGGCACCGACATAGAGTGTGTGGGGCATTGATATTTGACTCAACCACACGAAATTTCTTCACTTGATTCGTAATTCAGTAAACTTTTCATTCAAGTTAAGAGAAGAGAAGCGAAATTCCTAGCAACACGAAAAAAACAATCAAAAGCTCTGTACCATTAATTTCGTAAGGAATTTTACAAAAAGGTTATGGACCTCACCATCTTTGATTTTTTGGTTGTTTGTTTTGTTTTTTATATTTTTATTGGTATTTTCATACAGAAATCTGTTTGTTGTATCGCACATCCTTTTAGGATGAGATGATGTTAGGGCGTTTACTGATTCAAACGTCAATCGAAAGAAAGAAACGAAAAAAAAAAAAAGAATTAAAAAACGGCTCAGTTAGTAAAGTGAAGCAGAAGGTTCGTCTACTTACAATTTGTACAATGGGGCAATGACCAATAAAATAAAAATGTTTAAGGTTACATCAATTTTATTGCTTTTGGTGATCAAGAAATCGCACCGATATAATCGCCAACACAGCAGAACAATATGGTAAGTTGATTGATTTAAAAGCTGTTCTCTATCACTTGCTTTGCTCGGTTCCAAAACACTTCAACCCTCTTCAACAAATTGAACACAACTTTTTTGCTTGTCGATGAGTTGGAAATCAAACGCATTTAAATGTTTTTCTCGGAGGTATTGTATCTCGTAGATAATGACTAAAACACCACACGCTTACCACGAGTGACATACGTGTAAGATACGGCTAAATACGAGTCACATCAAATACACACGACTAAAATTTTTCTTCCTTTTTTGTTCTTAAAATGCTTGAAGAGTCATTTTCGGAAACGCAGTCGCCATGTTTTGAATTTTACGCGCGAACGTACGCGCACGCAACTCATAGGGCCTTTTTTTTTCGGTTTTCGATTCTAACTCAAAGCCTGCCTTAACCTTTTTTTCTCGGGAGGAGGAGCGTGGGCTCATTTCCACCTAATAATCTGAAAATCGACCAAACCTCGGGAACTTTTCCTCGCTGTGCTTTGTCGCATATCATTTTCCTTTTTTTAAAAGATTATGCGGCAAGCAAAAAGGGTAGCCCAGTAAATTATTAGTTTAGCTATCATAGTCATCTGGTTTCATTCTCACCATGCAAAACTTTTGAAAAGTTGACAGAAATAGAGAAACAGAGTACTTTTTAAAGTCTTGAGCTGTTGAGCCAAGCGAGTTGGCATTGTCAAGCGATCTGACGCTTATAAGACCTCAAGATTATTCGCGAACGAAAAAACGCTTGTACATGCACAGGCAGCCCAAGCCCCAGCTGCGAGATGTTCATCTTGCGAAATAAGAGTCATTGCGAAATTGTAAGAGTTTGTATGGGAATAATTACGACCGCAGTCAAATTCTCAACAGAAGTACTTCACCTTACTTCAGGCAGTGCATCGCTTGTTATCTGACCGTTTACTATGTTGAAAAGAACCCATTTTAGCGAGTTATAAATTTCTAGGTTTTCTACGTACATAAAATAAGCTCAATGTTGCACATTGGCATCAATAAACTGTTTAAGAATCATGGATACTACGTGACGGTGTGGTCCCCGGCGAGGCGCAGTTTGCAAAGGAGGCAGGGCTACAAGGCTGATTTTCAACGGTCGTTTTGTTGTGCGCGGGCCGTTAGAGAGACGACTGAATTATAAATTTTTTGAAGCAAACTGTGGCTAAGCGTCGGTTTCACCGGGAGGATTGTGTTTGTAGTGAATGGAGATGAAATTAAAGTGTATGTGCTTGGATTGTGCGTTAGAGTTGTGGCAGCCCGGTCATTCTGAGCTTGGATTTTTTTGCTTCACGGATCTGGCCTTCGGAAATGGAGTCAAAAATAGAGTCAGAAATGAAGTGTGGAGCTTGACCTACCTGTGGTAAAGGGTTTTTTTTCCTTCTTCTTTTGAGTGACGTTCTCACATTTACAAGCATATGGTTAATTGTTGTTCTAAATAAATGCAAACGTGACCAGGAAACGTAACACGGTTAAGTTTTTGCAGTTATGTGGTATGTCAAGTTAGTTTTCACATGCAGTGCGACTTTTCTGATGCCGCCAGCTAGATACGTAGCTCTTTACATTTGGTTTATAACAAGAGATTTACCACGCGAAAACGCAGAAACCTTTCATGAGTAACGCTGCACTGTTATTCATACCATTCTGTGAAAACCAGAATTCGTGAGAATGAATGCCAAGCGCTGGCGTGTCTTTGTACAAATAGTTCGCGCTTAACCAGTCCTTACGGTTCTGGTGAAACAAAGAGAGAAAAATGCGGCAAATTTTTTACCTCGTGTATACTTGTATGTATTTGTATGTCAGTCACTGAAGCAAAAGCTAGAAAAGCAAAACTCGGAACGCTTTCAACGAGTAAAGTTAGAGAAATTAATCAATCTTCCGCACAGAAGCACAACTGGATAAGGAGCATTTACGGGTGTATGTGAAAATGTGCCAAGTTTTTTGTGAATGTAGTATTTCAAAATAAAATCTGCTCTTCCTCTCTCCCCTTCGCGTACTACTTTGTATTCACACACGGCGTGTGTGATTTGATAATTTGGCCAATCAAGTCCATGGACCTTGAAATTGGCATCGAAAACTGAATTTTTATTTGAATGTTTGAGATTTCTTAGTCAGAAATTTATCACTTTTCTGTTTTGGAATGAAGAACTTTCAAAGTCTTCATATTAGTCCTAACGTTGTTGTTCCTTTCATAAGTTTATTGCATGCATCTGTAACAAAAGAGTTGGACTCTAGTCTATTTTTCGAAAATTTATATTTCTACAGGGTACAAAGGTATCCTGGGGTATCTTAGTGAATTAAGGGTTAACAAAGTCAAACTAAGAAAAAGTCTAGTAAGTCAAAGATAAAAATTACCCTCGACACGCTGCATGATATAGAGGCAAACTAAGTTTGGAAGGTTTCTATAAAAACGTAACTTACAGGAGAAATCTTCGCTTCAAACCACATATTCATCAGTTCGTGCGCGCGCTGTTACTCACAGCACTCGCAAATTCGATTAGATTTCCACTTTGACGTCATAATAAGGAGTCTTCAGTGACACATCTCATAAAGACCTGAAAATGGGATGAACGATTTAAAATGCTCAAACAAATTCGTCACATTTCGGAAGGAAACTTCTATGGCCTACACGTTACCAACAAGGCCCGAAAGCTCAGCTTGGATAAAGAGATACGAACCCTTGAGGCCTGTAAAGATGTCCAATCACATGTTTACCGAAAAGAAGAGAGGGAGTTACTAAGTACACTGAAAAGATTGCAGCATACAAAGCAAGATCACTTTGAAGATATTGGACATCACGAAAACCAAGGGCGCTCTGCTTTTCATCCCGAAAGGTGCCCAAGTTTTTATGAAAATCAACATGCAAGTGACGGGCAACGGCATTCACGGCATTCACGGCATTCACGAAAACCGACTGAATATCACGACAGAAAACTTCAGGAAAAAATCAAATCAGAAATCAGTGACAAGAAGACTTCAGTGAAAGTGTGTGCAGGCCCTTCTGATGCCTCTGTTATCATATCACTTTCACCGATGGCAAGTTCAACCAACACTCCAAAACAACTTACGACAATAGCCTTACCTTCCGTACCAAAACCGACCAAAAGAGATGGTGGCTCAGAAATTCACAGGACACAGGCGTTTATGTCCTGTGTTATTTGCAACTTGCCACGAAATGCTCAGGGGAGAGAATACAAACATACCTGCACATGCCATGAAGATTCTTCTAAACATCCTCACCACCATCACAACCGCAGAGAAGATTTACAGAAACGCAGAAAGGATCACGAAGATTCGCACTGTTTTGGAGGAGGGCGAAGGAGAAGCTTAGAGGTTGAGGAAAATCCACCTCGCTTCGAGTGGACACAAGGGTTCACAAACACCAACATCCATCAAAAGAACCAAGGAAGAAGTAGAGCTTCCAGCATCGAGGACGATAAAAAAAGCCACTCACCAAGAGGTGTTGACGCTTACACAGCGCATGCACCAGGTGTAGGCGCCCACAAATGGGACTTTGGCGCTGATCTGGGTATAGCTGCTGCAAATTATCACAAACGTGATAGGGGAAAACAAAGTGGATTCCTGGCATCAAGAAGTAGGAAGAATAGCCTTGAAGAGGGAAGAAGCCGTAGGAACAGTTGTTCAGATCGTCGAAGCAGAAGAAGCAGTTTTGGAGAACAAGACACAATAATATGCAACAGATCAAAACAGGAAGAACTACGTGATCTCTATCACAGATTGGATAGAATATTTCCAGTCCACGACAGATATGAGTACCATGATGAAGACAGTAATTGGTACCATAGGTACACACATTTACCTGAAAATCTTCCTCATACTACCCATTCACCTTTGTTTACGCCACACTCAGCCGCTGCTTCAAATGAGGGAGCTACACACCAAAATCCCGCCTTCAATGGGCTGCTACATCCAGACAATATCGTTAACCATCATCACTTTCTTCCTCATGAAGCTAACAAGCAAGAGAAGCCTGCAAGGTCTAGTCAGCATGCCCCCCATCACGTCCACGGATATCGTGTCCATGGGATTGATCGCAATAGCAATCGACAGGAAGTAAGTCGTCAGGTCATATCAGGCATGAAATTTGTTTGTTCTGCCCTTGCAATAACTGAATTAAACAGCTTTAACAAAATTAGATTTTTAACGGAAGAAGAAGTACTATCAGCTAACCTCTCGCAATACACTGAGATGGTTATAAAATTGAAAATTAAATAACATTACGAAGGTTCGCTATAAATAGATTGGAGTCAAATAACACAAGACTACTTGTCCAGTTTTCAATTGAACTCGGTGATATAACGAGTGCACGGCCAAGCCTACCACTCAAAACCTGTGCCCTAATGGTAAGTTATTCCCTGGCGACCACTGTAAAGCTCACGACATAAAGTCATACTTTAACTGGCATTTCATTCTTCGCTATTTTTTGCAGTACTGCGTAACCCAGGGTGCAACTTCTCATATTGCTGCTGCCTTTGATCGCAACCATGATCAAGACAGTGGCATTCAATCAATGCTGATGAAATTAAAGCAGCTTCTCAATGTGTATCAACAAATGGACCATAAAGCTCCAAGATATCCCTGGCCTAGTCCTCCTGAAATCAAATTCACAAACGAAGAATTTAGAAAGCTGCGAAACTGCAGGTATTTGCGGCTAACGAAAAGTAATATTGAGAGTTTGAAGCTATTAGAGGATAAACTGAAGGAACGTAATGGGCAAAAACTTCATAGACCTGTGGACTGAATCCTTTTGATCATATACGAAAGCGAAAAACTGGCTACAAGAGGTCAAAGATGTGTCATCGTCTAATGCCATAATGTTATACTCCAATGTTAATTCATCACGTCAGTTTTACTTCAATGCTATTTTGACCAATAACTCTAAATAAAACCAGCCACCACCTTCAATTTAGGATGCAGAATAAATTTTCCTTCTTTACCTTTATTTATTTACGGTGGAGTTTAGCAACTAATTTAGTCCACACGGCTGGTTTTCTATATGCGTCTGTCTCCCGCAACGAAATAAGTGTATCTGAAAAAAAGAGCTTCATCAAGTATTAAAATGACAAATGAAAACTGACCAACTAGATTGATCGCACAAACTGTCCACTCGGTTAATCGGTTCGTCGTTAGTTCGTTCGTTTGTTGGCTCGGTAGTTCGTTCGTTGATAATTTAGTGTTAACATACGAGTAGAAAATGTAAATTGGCCACCGTAAAGGGTAAAAAAGCTGACGTTTCGAGCGTTAGTCCTTCGTCAGAGCGATGGGTCGTTAGTTCGTTCGTTGGGTCGGTAGTTCGTTTGTTGGGTAGGTAATTCGTTCGTTAGGTCGGTAGTTCGTTTGTTGGGTAGATAGTTTGTTCGTTGGGTCGGTAGTTCGTTCGTTGGTTCGGCCGTTCGTTCGGTCGTTTTGTTGGCCATACAATCAATCAATCAGTCAGATGGTCGATCGCATCTAGCCAAATGTTTATCAATTTTATTGTTTTATGTTTCTGTTGCATTCCGGCATGCGGTCGTAAGGGGTATTTACCTTGTATAAGCATGTAGTGTACATTAGCGGTTTTCAGCCTAGGATCCCCTCTTAAGGATAACAGCCAGTCTATTACCTGAGGGAAAAAAATAATATATACACGAGAACAAATTAACAAGAAACAGCGGTTGCGTATGGCTTTAATGCGACTACAGTTATCGAAGTCCGTAAGAACACATAAATGACAAACTCGTCCCCAGATCCCTCGTTTCTCTTGGTCACATGGTTGGAGAAATTAGGGACTGCCGTAGTGAAGATGTCAGAATTTTTCTCAGAAGCTGCTTGGCTTGATACATTCAAGGAAGGCGATTGCTAAACTCCATATGATCACATGTTTATCTTCTCCTTCCCCCCCCCCTTCTCTCCCCGTACACAATCGCATACATTCGCAAAGATAACAGGGCTGGTTTCAGGTGAGACCCTAATGTTCAATAATGTAGGCTTGTAAAATACACAAGGTAAAATTCGCTACTTTGTACCTCACTGAACATCCGAATATTTAAAGATGGTTAGATGGTAGTAGATATTTATTGTTCAGGTGCAACGACTTCCAAACTCAAATGGCTCGGCCTTCCTTCTTCGCCGTTGGGACACGACGTAGATACACATACCTCCTGAATGGTTTTCCGAGTCTAGCGGCTCTACTCTAAAATCGTACATAGCTTTCCTCGTTTGGATATAAATCCTCCTCCTTAAAAAACTTTTAACATCTCTCTACCCAGAAGATAATTAAATTCTATGATTCCTTGAACGAATGCTTGGTAATTTGATTATTTACGAGCTGTAAAGTTTTATCATGGACAATTTTGTTAAGTGGTTACAATCGCAGCATTAAGCTCACAATGCCGCAGTAAACACTGTCATCAAAGAATGGGAGAACATAAATCGTCAGAAGAACTGTTTACTCGTACCTTTTCCGCGATTTGCCTCCAGGGCTCCTTCCTCAACAAATTCGACAATGTTAGAGGAAGTAGCCATGGAAACCTTTCAATTGAGTAACAACATTCCACATCAACGGGTGGGCAAGTCGAAACGGGTAATTCGAGGCCTTGAAGTATAGGCAAGTCACACCAAGCAGCAGACACAAGTGACAATAACGTCAAAGAATTCATCAAGGTCTATAAAACACGACAATTGTTTTCAGTTAGGAGAATTGAATGAAATCAATGAATACACACAGGAAGAAGCATATCTATGCTTTTGATACAGATACCTGATGTGACGAAGTTTCCGAAGAAAGCTGAACTGCATTTTGAAACTGACCAATCAGTTCCACAAACCAATGCTGTCTCTCGTCATACTTCATTTTGGTGCAAGAATCAATTATAAGAGGGACAACACTGCAAAACAATTCCTTGTTCCTTTTTCCTGCAACAAAAGTTTACTTAAAGATTGATTTCTGCGACAGAATGAAGAGAAAAAAATTACATTACCTTGATTCGTAATTGCAACCTTGAATGCCACTTGAGTAATTCAAAGACTCAACTATCGTGTCACCCTAAACATTTATAAAAGAAACTGTTTCTATGCTGCAATAAGGAGAGTTTGACACATATCCAGGAAGGTTGTCCCACAAACGTTAAATACTTAAACGTTTCCATGAAATCCTCCTTGAAAAGGGGATAGTGCGGGTACGTGAAACGTTAATCAAGCATCCCTCCATTCCCATAAGACCTTTCGGAATTGTAACCTCTATACTAAAACCTTGTTCGACACAGCTTCATTGCTGAAGGTACTTTTTTTTCAAAACAAACAAACTAAAAAGACAAAACAGGTTTTCTTACCAATGAGATCAGTATTTAAAATAAAGTCAATACATGGAGCAAGCCACTTCACCGGAGCTATACCATCTTGAACCGCGTAACAACGCAGAATGAAATCTTTGGTGTTTGTAACCTATAAGAGAATAAGCGTTAGAGGTCAAAGGGAAAGTTTTAGCCACACCAAACATAGCCGCAAAATTTTCCATGTACTCTTATATGTTAGCTTCAATCAGACAATTTCCTATTGCAATATCAAATAAACACGATTTGTAACATAAATATTGTCGCCTGTGCCCGTGGTGATGTTTTCTATCGTGGCAAGGCAAAAGCCTGACGAGGGCGTGAAAGAGTGATTGCAGCTTTAAACTGAGGTGCAGTGTCCTTTCAACCGAAGTCTAGAGGCTGAAGTAAGTTGGCTCCACGTGCTACTTTAGCAAGTATCTCGGTAACACTTAAAATTGACTGTGGAAAACATAACTCACAAAAAAAACCTACTTGTATGTTCGGCAAAATGCGTTCCACGTTTTCAATAGGGATCAGTGCAAAACAGCGAGAAAACAACCTCAAACACTCACTCTAGCGAAAAGATAAAGAAAATCATATTAATTCTATCACTGAAATTTTACTAGTGCATATTAACAGGGATAATCAACTTTACCTCACTCTTCTCTGCACCAAGGGCATTAAACATGCGCTCAAGGGCCGTTATGGTCCATCCAACGACAGACGCAGGTGGTTCTTTTAAACAAAGGACTGAAAGGTAAGCTTCCAAAATGGTCGATCTCAGGGTACAGTCCTGGTCAAACATAATAAGAGAGTAAAACCTGGGTTTAGCGAACAAGTTTTGAAATATTGAATTAGATTTATATATTATGGACTCTAGAAGTTTGGTGAGGTGTCTAATCTCTTTCGTGACTGATATAGCAAAACTACCAAAGCGTATTGAGTGCATTAGCGTGTTTCTCCTGACAATTGATAGAAAAGAACCGATTGAAACTTAGTGTAGACGGCAGCATAGTTTATCAAAGTCCGCTCCTGATAACTCGGAACCCCTTGCACACTCGATTTCCCCTAGATAATGAAAACTGTGCCAAGATTTTCATTTCACGCTACTTATCATGGTCTAGAATCTCCTTCGTTAAAAAAGCGCAGCTTTCATCATGATTATTTTTCACACAAGGTATGTTTATAAGACGAAAACACACGGCGCCTTCCAGAGGAGGTAAAATTCCCCTTCTAATACCTGCACATATAAGCACTTTACTTCTCGTCTCTTATGACACGTCGCACCTTGTGGAACACGAGGCTTTGAGTTCGTCCAAATGAATTAGCGAAATTCCAACCTAATGAAAACGATATCGCGGTCTGCTTGAAATCCACATATACAATGAATCGTGTGATATTTTACACTTATAAGTTGAACTGACCGTGCTTTTTCTCCATAGCTCTGTTAACCCTTCCTCATAGAACTCTTTCATCTTGGAGGAAGAAATGACATAAACCAGTCTTGACAAATTCTTCAGCAGCTCTCTTTTGCACAGATCCTGTCAAATTAATTTTAAATAGAGGTAGGTAGAAGCTCTTTTAACTTAAAACATTATACAAATCTTTGGGAATTCACAGGACGGGTCTTTTCGAAGAGTTTAAATAACTATCTTCAATGAAAACATGAACTCTGTGTTCTTCATTTAAAAAAGTAAGTGAACGCCATTAAAGATATTATGTCAATTGCTTTTATGACCCGTTCCACCGCAAAGCAATAGTTTCATAACATAGAATTGTAAGAAAGTAAAAAAGTAAATATTCAAACGAAAACTGTGTAACATTTTCTTCCGATGTAGAAGATATCACGTGGCTGTGCGGAGACACGAAATTTTTCTCGGCGTAGCGAACGAGTGAAATATTCTGATGTTTTTCAACACTGGAAGAGAAATTTGGTATCTCTAAGCAATTCACCTTTTGGGCTTTAGATTTCACGTGGAGTGTCACGTGACTTTTGATGTAAACAAACCCCGAAAGTTCGGACATTGAGTCGAGTTCGCAGCACATGTGTCCAAATTTCGGTTTTGGAAATTTTTCTCAAATAACTTCCCACTTTAAAGAAGTGTTCTTCGCTCAAAATTAGCGTCTTTCTTTTATCATTTTCTGATCGTTTATCAAGCAAGTTGTCATTTCGCTGCCGTTGAAAAAGATGCGAAGAATGTTACAGGAAGAATTGCGGCATAGAATAATCGAACTAGTTCTGCGTACAGTGATGTATCTGATCAGGTATTTTCGGGGTGTTGTGTGCTTAGACTGTTAAATAAAATCACTTCTGTCTGAAAATTAGTGCCCACGAATCGCTGTAGAACGTGAGGAAGCCTTAATTCCCACACGAAATTGCGTACCTGGGTGTGGATTTCCTCAGCTGATAAATATACCGATTTTTTTTAACCTCAAGTAACTCAAGTGGGAAATTCTGCGAAACTCAGAACAACTTTCAAGAGGAGTTAAACTTAAGAATGGCAGATTACAAATTAAAGCTGACTTAACGCAATGAGTGTGGCATAGCTTAAAAAATATCTATAAGAACGGGGGATTTCAGCGAGCGGATACTTGGAACCTCGTTAGTGGAAATCACCTCCGCAGTCGAAAAATGGATCCAAATTTCGAAAAGGCGACGCCACTGCTTTAGACGAGCACATCAAATCCCTAGATTCAAAGGCTAAAACTAGCTCGAAAGATGGGCTTCCAACGAATCTCTCTCACACCAACAGAATCCGATGGAATTTAATCTCATTACGTCCAATACTTGTTTAAACCTTAAGGAAACAATTCCCTAAAGTTGGGGTAATTTGAGACAACTTCTGCCAACTTAGAGTAGTTAATCTTTAACTATGTCACGCAACTATTCCAAAAAGAAAAAATAAGTTTTGATTTAATTGCAAATATTTCCAATGGGCAACATCGTAAGTCGACAAACATATCATCACAGGAAAGACCTATCTAAACACTACGTTGGTGGGCAGAAAAAAAATATTGGCCTCTGTAAAAGATTCGTGATCACTTCCCTCTGAAATACGTGACCTCTAACGTTAATTTGAGCAATTTTTGGTCATAAACTGATGTTTACTCACTCAAAGTCAATTTGAGAATAGGATCGCCGACGCTAGTTTTTGTGGTACTAATGTCTAAAAAGAACTGAAGGTATCTTGTTATTACACAACAGTTCACGTAGTTTTTCATTGCTGTTTATGTAATAAGGTTGGATAGTTATACTTTCAAACTCAAAATATTTCCCATGAGGACCTCAAAAGTCTCATATCCTGACAATAACACTCACCCCCAGGCCCATAAACAACACACTACTCAGCAGAGACGACAAGAACGAGGACAGAGTAGAGGAGGACTGGGCTTGATTGACTGCAAGCCTAATACACAATTTTCTTGTATCCTCCCCTAGGCAGAATGAGGAGACAATTGTTAGCTATCTCTCAACGACAGGAAAAAATAAAGGAAGAAAGCAAACTGTAGTAGAAAGTATTTGGAAGAACAGAAAAAAAATGATACTTGTGATGCGAAGAAAGAGAAATAGAAATTGAGGCAATAGATTTATCTTACCAAAATTGGCTGTCATGATTGGTCCTAGTACTGAAAACCAATTCACTGGTGGCAGTGCCACATGGGAGACGCTGACCAGTGATTCTAACACTGCGGGTACTCTTCCTTCACCGAAGTTCAAATGAGGACCTACAGCAATGAAACCATGGTGATAATTTACCGAAAGGAATCACTCTAAAATCTTCTAAAATAAGCATTCCTTTTGGATCGTAGTACTCGTTATGACACATAGAGATCGCATGCTACGGGAACACAAAACGTAGCTTTCGATTAATTCTTACGGACCGTTAGAACTTAATTACCATACTGTATCTAATATTATAACAAAATTCATCAAAGAAGTAAAATTGAAATTACCTATCTTCCCAGCCTGGCCAAGAAAATCAAAGAGCAGTCGCAAAATACTCCCCTCTGACAGGTAACTGTAATTTAACGGAACTGACAGAGAAAAAGCAATAATGAGTGCTGAATGCAGCATAGGAAAGATCAGGCAAAGACTTCCTAGTGCGTTAAAGCGTTAGAATAGCAATTGAGACAAAATGTTGAGGTAGAATTTCGCACACAATTTTTATTCAATAGGCAGATGAAAAGTAGTTGTAAATGTATTTCCTAGGATAAAAGATGACCAACGGTCGTTTACAAACACTGACTGGAAGTATCAGCGACTGATAGAATGTAAAAATAACAGTTGCAGGGGAAGCAAATGAGCAAAATAACATTTAACGATAAAGGAAAAAATATCATACAACAAATGACACAACCATGACAAAAAGACATCACGATCGTGCAACATTACTTTTAAGGAGAAGCAAAAAGATTCACTTTCCCTGAAACCCTTTTCCACTAAAAAGGTGTAAGATACCACTGATAATGACAAAAGAAACAACGTTAATTAAATAAAAGATCAGTAACGCTAGGTAAGAGGTAACAATGTTTAATCGCCCGCAAAAAATCTGACGAAAAAACTGGTAAAAAACCTCTCCATGTTTTAACCTACATTTGGCACCAATCTCTAAGCCTCCAAATTTACACTGCTGGATGAACTAATAAAAAGGTAATTTTTCCCATTTCCTAACACGCTCCACAACAAGAATTCGTTTGAAAAGGCAGCCAAACACAATTGATAGAGTATCCGCTGGCAACATCACCATGGAACTCAGGTTTTTCTCTCCTCTCTCCGACCTTGGTGACATGTTTTATATCATTAAAGAGCATGCGCGTTGTTTCTTACTTACCACTTGTATTACTGATTGAACTGGAAGTAACTGCGTTGTACAGATGACCAAGAAGCCAGGCTGTATTAAAACTGAGACCCAAATCTTCCGGCGATGAGACAAGCTTCCAAATAACAGTCAAAAATAATAACAGTGATGATGAAAAAAACAATAACAATTACTTTACTATCATTAAATTTGTTTGCTTCCGCCATCTCACTATTTAATGGATAAGTACTGTCGGAGAATGTTTGCTTCTGTTCTAATACGAAAGGTTTCTGAATTTTTTGCCATTTATCATTTCTCATCTCTCCCAGCTATTTCTATTTCAGAAGGTAGAGCTACTTTGAAGAGGGTTCCCTCATATCGGCTGTAACCGATCAATGCGGACCTACGAGGGAACACCACTTAACACCCGAAATAATAAGGAGGATCGAAATGCACCAACAGCAGCAAAACAATGTGCTACAAATTGCGACACGTAAACAATCGACCTCATCGCCTGATGAAGACAAGCGATGTTGCATTCGAAACGTCGCGATCAACATCGTAATAATATTAGTATTACTACCATCCTTACCTTTTGGAGATATTTAATGACGCTTCCTCCATTTTTAGAAAACACGACGTCAGAAGTAGAAGAATCCATCTATAGAATAAGCAGTCACAACTATTACACGGGATAGTGTTCAAATAATGGTAAATAAACGATGATAATCTGAAATGGTCGAGATATCATTTCTGGAAGAAAATAAATAAGTGCAGTCAGGGCTCACTCAATATCCTTTACACTTTAACATTACAACTTACGGTAAACAACCCCTGTTCAGAACCAAGTAGAGCTACGATTCCGTTCACAGCTGACAGTTGCCGTCGCTCAAAAACATCCTGTTGGCAAAGACAAAGTCAACAGTTCACTGTTCCAGTGTTACCGCACAAAAATGCATGATCATCACCCTTCAGCTCTTAATTAGGCTACTGACATCCGTGTTTCGTTGATACTTGACAATAAAGACTCATGATACAATTCCACTATGGCCAGATGTTCTTTGAACGAACGTGAATCGATAATCTAACACATTCTACTTTTAGTCGACAAAGAGACGATCACCTTCCTAATAAATTACCTTATTTTCAAGAACACTTCGCCAATCATTGCCAGCTTGTCTGGCCAACTCAATGGCTCCACCATGACCACAAGATATAAGTCCATGAAGAAGCAACCCGAGAGATAAAGAAATACCGCAAACCTAATAAAAAAGGATCAATAAAAAACATATCAAAGTGAATGTCCATCCTCGTTTTCTAGAATGGTGCTGTTTCGTATCCAAATTAATTTCTGAGTTCCAAAAGGTTGGAGTGAAATCATATGGCTTTCTTTCGTCCAGTTTAAATATTCATTTCTGCATACCTCTGGGTGTTTGCTTGACAACGTTTGAATGTTATCAATGCACTGTAAAGCTTGATCGGCAGACAGCAGGCCGGTGTGGAACGCATACACACAAACACAAGCCACACTAAAAGACAGGCACTAAAAAATAGCGACAATCGTATTAAATACAGTCATTATCAAAATAATGTACGCCTTGTATGAAATGGTGCACCTAATGTTTATTTCGAATAATTGGCGATACCCATTATTTTCTTTTTGTCTTCTACAAGAGAGAACTTTTTTCAGATCTCCTTAACTTTACCTGAAGTTTTTGACCAGGGTCTTTGCATTGCTCATTTAGCCTGTCAACAAGTTTGTGATAAAGATTTGTGACGTGATCCCTGGAGTCAGCAAGACCCTCTTTACACAAAGAGGACACAACGAGTCCAAAACCGAGACACGCGCCTTCCCTGTAAAGAAATAGATTCATCCATTCAATAATATGATTACAATACACTTCAAAAGATTTACGACACAGGTATAGCAGGTGCCTAAACCGTAACCGCTGACACAGGGAACTCACTTCAGACAATCACAATACCATTTCAAAACAAACAAATAAACCGTGCCAGCTGAGGAAATATTTAGCGAAATGTTTAATTTCAATTGTCCTTAACTTCGTTATTTGAAGCTGAAATGATTGGCCCAATGGCATACTGTCACTAACCATCTGAGAGACTGAGTACTGTACACGTAGTACTCGAGACATGAAGAAGCAGTCACTTTATGCATTTCTTACGTGTTATCCAAGTCATATGAAAAAGCAGTCTCCTCCAAGACATCTAAAGCTGTAGACATCAGCGGATAGCCCTGGCAAAAGAGCAAGTTGAACATGCAATTATCAAGGAAACGTTACCATCGGTGAAAGGAAAGCTTATTCACTTAGGCAACGAAGTCAACCCTTACATTAACAAAAAAACAAACAGATCGGCGACCAAGCGAAGGCAAATGAAGCCAATAAGTTGCACTTCAGGTCAATGCAGTCTATTTTGACTCTGCAGAAAAGGTAAATGTAGCACGTGGAGAATTATTTCGGAAACCTCCCAATGCCGAGTGCCGGCTGCGTAAGGAACATGTACATACCTCTTTACCGTAGGCGTCACTGAAAAAGAGAGAGAACATATCAAAGGTCACTGATAGAGACATGTATCCCATTACAATAAAACTTGAGCGCAAAAACCCATGATGTAGTGAAGAAACATTAACAGGACTACACACCTGAAATGCTCTTCATGGAGCTTGCTGAGCAACAATCCAAGTCCTACAGAACAAGACATCTGTAACGAAGCTGAGCTACCTGATCTAAATGAAAGATAACAAGAATGTTTAGATACTTCTTAAAGACAAGGTATTGGCTCGGAAAACGCATCACAATTTCCGTAAAATCGCTGATTTTATAGTAAAATACCACAATTGCACAAAATTACTTGGATTGTCCTGGAATCCTTTGCTTCAGCAGTACAGTGATGTCGTGAATTCTGTCAGTGTCAAGAACGACAAGACAAGGAACCAAAAGTGACAAGGATAACGCAGCACATGAGCGAGCTAACAACGAACTGGCAGTGGAGGTGGGTGAAGACACCTGCAAGGTAGTAGTTAAATCAATGTATACAGAACATCTTTGTGAACTTGATTACATTGCTTTACTATAAAATAGGATCGAAATGAAACTGTCCGAGGAACTTGTAACCGGCCTTTACAAAGAAATTTGTCAAAGGCGGGATTATCTGCTTTTAACTCTTGGTTTCATTTGCTTTTTTTTTTAGTAATTACATTTTTGTTTCTAGTTCACATAGTCATCGTAAACTGCTAACAGTCCTTTCATACCAAGAAAGACAAGGTTTACAATCACCTGCTGACACCAAAACAGAGTAGGACCCTTTGGCTTATAATTACCATCCAACACCACCATTACTGTGTCAGCCACCTCGCTCAGCCATTTGTTGTTCCGCTGATACTGTTCTGTGGTCTCTGAAGAAGTCTGCTGACGTACAATCATCGATACAGCCCGCGCAAGCCCTACTAAAGCAAGCACTGAATTACCTTGCACAGACGGGTTACCTCTAGGTAAAGAAATTGGTCGAAAATAAGTATCAAAAATTAAAAAAAATCTAGAAGAATACGACTGATCTGATATAAGCCAAAAGGGTTTCCTTAAACACTCATAAAGGGTGTAAAATTTGATTTATTGTCGGACTAACGGGGGTTCTTAGTATTGTAATTTTATATTCACTGTTTTCCAATTTTTTTCCAATCTTATCTTATCATAATCTTTTAGTTCTTTGTTTTATGATCTAAAATATTTCATTTAAGATAATCAACACCGAAAAGCCCCGCAACAAATTCTGTATTGCATTGTATCGTTTCAAGTACAACACCAAACGAGCGTCATAGATCGGCAAAGGAATCCGGTAAGCTTGGAATGCCTAAGTCAGTTTAGCTGTACCACAAAACAAACTTAGCTTTACGGCTTTTAAATGAGAATCTTTTCCACAGAAGTAATTAATGCTGTTCTCAATTCAGCAAGTTACAAATGACACCTTATTTACCTTGATACTGTTCTGAGTTGTTCAGTGATCTGATCTCTTACCCTGATGTTCAAAAGAAGTACAAAGATAGTAACTGTTAAATTAATTAAGGTATATGAGTAATAATAAGTAATGAAGAACCAAAAGGACCTTCGAAAATAACACATACTAAAAGGACTTTAGGTCCTCCAACACATGATTTATGTCTAAATTCACTTTCCTGTAATATATTCGTGCAGTATGTCGCAAAGTGCTTGAGTTAGCTTTCTTTTGACGTATTCGATAAACGTGACTGTATTGCAAACACTTTACACTTAATGACTTTGAGAACTGGTATCAACGAACTTAACAGCAAAGAGGGAAATTCGTATAAACCACTGCGCACTAACCAAAGCCAGCAATTGGACTGTCTTGTTTTTAGTTCTTCGGTATCTTGAATGTGACCATGACTATGTTGCATCTCAAGCTCAGCTTTACGACCCTACAACGAGGCCAACAGATATAAATAACTTCTGAATAAAATTTCTCCTCAAGAGCTGAGTGATCGATCACGAAAACAGAATATGCGAATATAGAAAATCCGTGATTAAGAGAGTCCTTCTATGTATAATGTCTTCTACTGATGTTTCCACGGAATCATACGACCGACAGCTCGTCAATACGAGCTCAAAGAGTAATCATAAAAATACAATGCTAAACAGCCAAGATTTAAAGAGCAAAAAAGCTTCAAAATAAAGACTTTTTCGTCCGGTGCAATGGAGAAGAGACTATTCTCCAGTTGATTACAGTTTCACCTTTTAGTATACAAAGACTCTTCTTTTTCTCCATGACTTTTCCGAGTATCCCAAAACGTTCGAAGTCGGGAAAAAAGAAGACTTATAAAGAGAATAGAAGGAAGTTCATTATGTGTACGTGACACAGACCAAAAACAGTTAAAAAACACAAATTAAACGCTTAGGGTAACAGTTGGCCGATTCCTTCTTCTCCTAAATCCTTCTACGGAGTCTACGCTATGATGTGGATAGTGATTGCATTTCCAATCAAATAACGGCCTGAGTAAAAAAGACCACTGGATGGTTTAAGGAGTAACACAGATAGGATAACGAGTAGAAGGAAACCAGATGGATCTTTTGAGGAGAGATGATTTTTAAAATGCCTTTCGTACGTATTTCGTCAATCACTTGTGAAGATTGTTGAGCATCCTCCTGGGATCAACAATGTCCAAAGGATAGAGCACATTAATAGAACAGGAAAGATGGCAAATATTTAATTGAGCCCAGTAAAGATGGGATCCATTCTGTCAAGAGGACGGGAAAAGAAAATCTGCTTATTACATCATACGTACCTCCACACAAGCCTTGTAAGCGCGATTCATGAAGGAAAACCACGCTTGAGGCAGCAGTAATGTTCTGTGCCATTCAGTCGGCTGCACTGGTACCTAATGTAACAGGATGAATCATCAAACATACGTGTAGCCAATCCGCACACAACATACAGATGAACCGATTTTCACTAAGAAATCAGACCAAGTCAATTGGAAATAAGATTTAAATTTGTGGGGAAATTTGAAAACTCTCCACTTTTAGCTGCGACATACCCAATCATGTCATGCGTTTGACTAGTCACATAAGTTCGAATCGAATTGATTGAATATAAACCATTTCACTCGTACGGTAATAAATGACCCAACCTGCTTCAAATAAAACTAAGGCATTTCCATTGACATTCCCAAAGTGATGTTTCTCCAATTTTCAAATAGCGTTCTACCGTTATCAAAGAAAAGAGGAACTTGCTTGCTAAAATTTGCCCAGTAAAATCAAAAGGGAAAGTCCTCCACACTAAAAGTTTTCGATAACACGCTGTTGCTTTAAGTTTGGTCATGCGTGATGCAACACAGTGATACATAAAAAACATAACAGCTATCAACTGCACGAGAAGTGCTCATTTATATAATCCTCGACATAATCTGTTCCTTTAAGCTGTTCCGTTTGATTCTCGTGGATATCAGCAAATGGTTTACTAATAAATGAAGTGATGTTGAAAAAATAAAAAAACGTTTTTGGCATCATTGAGATCACGGCTGCATTACTAACTTTGTCACGAGACAATTTTCTAACGGAAACGTCTACAGATATTGGAGTGAGTTCCTTTGGAACTATTCGCGTAAAAATAAGTGATTTTGGGTCACATGGGCTGCGGTGCATCAAATGAGTCGATGAATCCTTGTTGTGAGTGGCCACCGATACTCATGACTATGTCTGATTATTCTAAAATGAATAAAAACTTAGCCTGAAAAAAGGAAAAGAAACTTGCTGACAATCAAGTAAAAATACTAATTATAAACAACACAGAAGTACTTTAAGTGATTAGGTTGTTTGACTTACTTCGTGAAGTAGTGAATCTAACATCTGTCTGTATGTACGAGCACAATCAACCATATATTTTCTGGCCCGTTTCCCTTCGTGTTGTTCAAAAGGAGGTTCGAAACTAAACAGCATTCCAGCTGATTCAATACAAAAGAGTAGTTCACATAGAGAAACATAAAACAGGCGCCACTCACAAACTTTGAAAGTAAAAAGAAACTTCCATGGCTGATATATGTACTAAAAGATATTACGTAAATAGACTTGGCAACGTAGCAAAGGAGAAAGTGAGGGACAGAGAGGGAAGTTACCACCTGATCCACACTTTGGGATGCTACAGTTTCCATTTGACTTATAAACAAGAAGTCTATCGTACGCAAGTCTCTTTTTGAAACCGCATTACGGCTAACTGTAATCTGAGTCTGATGATGTAGGTGAACAGATTATCACGGAGGAGAACGTGGAAAATAACACTATCGATAGATGATGAAGGGGAAATAGAAAAATTCACATTGCCGACAACTAGAGAAAAACAACCTCAGTTTAACTAAAAATACATTTTGTGGAATCAATATATCCAAGCCAAGGCCCGGACTGTCCATATCTGTCCCCGCTGTTTCTCTTGGTATACATCAGGGAGCTTAAAAATATGGTAGCAAGTTATACAATTATAAATCAATATCTGTTGTATTCTTGGTACCTGCAAGTCCTTGGTTCAATCCAGGTGATTTCGACTTCTCATATTGTGACGTCAAAAATTTTGGGATGGATCGCAAATTCCTCTCACGTGATGATGAAGTGTGACCCAAACCCCGTGGCATAGATTCAGCTTCCACTTTGATCATGTTGGTCAATAGCTTCTGGTAGCCTGAAATTCGTTGTATCAAGAACTAGTAATTTTTTCTGCTTTCGTTGTTGTTGTTTTTTTTTTCAGCATTTTAACACGCTGAACTGGTTCAAGTGTTAGAGCTGATACCACCAGTAGGTTCCACTTTGATTACTGTGATACAACATGGCACTGGGATCACACAGTACGGCGGATTTAACGACATCAATAACATATCTTGATTCAAAAGAGTTATTTAAAATCATTGTCTGTTGTATTAAGGAGTTTGCTACGCTCTTAGGGTGGAATCGGTGACTGACTGGATGCAAAGAATGGTACTGTTGGATCAATCCCGTTGAGTTTTATTTGTAAAAAGACTGATTTTCACGAATAGAATGAAGAGTAAGATTTTGTACCTTGGAGTTCATCTTGTTTGACCATCTGCAGAAGCTCAACATAAGCAGTCCCAGGGGGCATTGAGTTATCAATGGATTGTTGTACAGCGGCTTCATCATACTCTTCATCCACGTTGCCATCAAGTTTTTTCTTAGACGCCAGCAATTCTTCTTTCAGTGGAAGGTAGATCTACGTATGGCATACATTTAACATAAAACATCTGATTTGTGGTTTAGATGCTATGAGGTCCACATATCAAGTTGATACCGAATACTCTACAGAGATGATTGGACTCTGATGCGAACTAACGATGAACTAAACCAGAAATAACTATATAGAGCGTTTTAACCGACTGCTTCATACAAACACTACAATACCTTTGGAGGAAGATGAATCAGTTTGAAATCAGATGGATGAAATATTGACAAAGTCGTGAAAGCAGCATGAGCGACAGGCGACTCCTGATGGTAAGAGACCAAATCACAAAGTAAGAATCAATAAATGACCGTTGATTCCTGGCGGTCAATGGCTTTGTTCAGCGGCTTTACCAACTGAGCCCAACTTATTCTTCGTGTCCCTGACAGTTTTTTTCTTGTTTTCATTGGACCCTCTGACGTCGATAACGGTTACAGTTTACAACTATTTTTAATATTTTCGGTTTCAGGAGTTTCTAAAAAAGATTTGTACATTCTCTGTCTGAGTCACTTCTTTGGATTTCTAAAAACAGAAGACCTTGTGAAATCGACGTCGATGTCGACCTCATCGCCTGAAGAAGACTATCAGTAGGCAGTCGAAACGTCGCGATCTACATCACACGTGACTACATCGTGAGACAAACGAAAAACTTGGCTTTTATTATACATACAATTTCACACGTAATAATACACATGCAAAATTTTAGCGTACTCCTTGGCTGAAAACACGTCAATTAATCCCAAGTAGTGCAGAAAATTGAAGTTAAGTGCAGAGAGTTGACATTAAATTGATTGACTGGTAAGTCGCGAAAGCCCAACAAAACAAAATGGCGGACAGGTTAGGAGAAAGTAGCAACGTTTTAATCCAGAGTTTGGGGGAGAATGCTTAGAGAAAAAAAAACATCCAACAAAGGAAAAACAACTGGCTAAAAGTCTAGCTTCCAAAACCGGATAGAAGTATGAAACGGAGGCCCTCAGTAAAATTCTCGAGGAGTTTTATGCAACAGTTCGTACGAAAGACGTGGAAGATTACAAATGTGATAGCTTTCACGAGATGGTTATTACTATCGACCGATACCTAACAGAGAAAGAAGAATATAAACGCTTGATTATTCTCCAGATAAATTTTAAAAGTTTGAAGCAAAAAGAAAAAGCCTGACTACTCCTGTAACGAGACAAAGGCAAATGGCCGAACTGGTGAGCCATTACACGAAATAAGGACATCTAAAAGGAAAACAGTCATGATTTTGCTTGTATATTATCAACTAGTAATCACATGATTTTCCTCGTGCGAACCCTACGGGTTCGTGCAATTGGTTTAGCCTTTGAAAAATTTACTCGTGCTGATTTATTCCAAATTGCACTCGAAATCATGTGATTACCTATTAACATTGCTCTCCCCTACGTTCAGTTATCATCAAATATCACTTCACCTTGAGCAGAACAACGTCTCGTGCATTTGTTAGAAGAACATATCACCGTTACAGCGGTCATACGAACCTCATGCTGCGTTAACGACCATAAAAAGGTAAGTACTTCATTCTTAAAATCCTGAAAAAGGAAAGAAAATGTCAAGTCGGAGTTAATTCTAAAAATTAGTTTGCAAAGATATCCATGATTTTCAAGTCCCTTGAAACAGCTAAAAAAATTAGAGCAACGTTTAAAACCTCAAGCAAACCACTCGTACCAGATAAGCTGAAGAGTTAGAGACCAGGTCGGATACAATTCTGAACAACTGACAAATACTGCACAGAACTTGGGGCCGTCTGTCCATGCCAAGCTTCACGGAAAGGACTTTCCACGCAGTGCATAGATCGACAACCTGAGGAAGAACAAAAATGTGACACAGATCTGAATCGCATCTAGAAAAAGTGTCCATCTACGGAAGCCTGAAGTTGAAGATGATATCATGTACTTGTACTTGTTGTTAGTTTTTTGTTTGTTTTTTTTTTGTTATTTTGTTTGTTTGTTTTCAATAAATACTCAGTTGACGTTAAAGGCAGTCAAGGGCAGATGCAAAATTTAATTCGTGTGACATACCTCAGCTTTACAAAGCTGTTCCAGGGCTTGCAGTGCTAATGATACCACTAATGCAGAGGGAGTGTTTTTAGTCTCGCCTGGCTTTGTATTCTCATCAAGCAATTTGGACAGCAAACCAAGTAGATCTTCACCGTGCTGAGAGGGCCTGAAGAGGACCACCAACATATATCAGGCAAAATTAGTCATAAAACATGATTATTCATTTGCAACTTCTATCCCCTAAAGTATAAATGCGTCTCATTTGTTGTTAGTTCTTATTTATTTATTTATTTGAGTATTTATTTTAATGAACTAACAACGGAGATGCTTCCAAATCAGGATTAATCAAATATTATTTCAAACTTTTATTAAAAACAATGCATTTTTGGCAACCCTGATCGCGTTTATGACCTCCAATATATAAGAATTGTTTAACCCAGAACTACGTTATATGCTTCAGCTGATATGTCTTACATCTCACAAGCGAAGGAAGCAAGACGTCTAATCACCTTTAACTTCTACCAAATTGAAGCAAGGCACTCCAAAATGTTTTGAAAATAAGCTTGCTTCACTCTTTTCCCCGTTGGCATGACCGCAATTATGTCGGGTTTGAATAAACACTTTTCTCAGCTCTGTTTTAATTCAAAGGGCATATTATGAAGAAAAAAATATGTTGAGGTTATTTTTGATAAGCTTTCTATTTCCTCAGAACGTGGATCTTTATCGCCTACTTTCAAAACTTCTAGAAATTCATATGATCAACATGCTCACTTTTTTTTTTTTGCTAGGGATTCTCTTTGTGAAATGTCCATGCATGATCGCAGCATATAAAAAAGCATAAAAGTAGTAGTAGCAAAAGCAACTGATGAACTAAACAAAATTCCCTGTGGTAAATCTTCGCTACAAATGCGTTCTGTGTACCTCACATGTACTTTATTTCGTACGATCGTTACCTAAGCTTGCAGATGTCTAATAAACAAGCTGCTTGAGCAATCTTAATCTCCAAATCCAATTCAGCACCCAAATTGGAGTCAACTACTGAACTCAGTGCTTTCTGAAGGTGCGGAAACACTCGGTTATTTGACTGCCACAACTTGCAAATCAGTCTCAGAGAAACAGGCTTAAGAAGAGGACACTTTCCTATTGTCTGAATCGTGCGTAACACAGGACCTATACAAAACTGCCAAAAAGGAAAATGAACATAATTTATGCACGGGTGAGGAAATTCTTACAGAAGTAGTCACATGATAAAACTACATTTTTCACAATTTTTTACGCTAAACTAAAAATAATAATGTGTTTAAAAAAAACCTCCACACCTCTCGACATCAGACCACCCTACAAACTGGTTAGCGGCTACATGTTACTGAAGAAACCGGAGTACCTTGTGAGTGGCAAGTTGTGGTATAGTGTACAGAGCATACTGTTTCACTTCAGGATCAACTTCTTTACTAAGTTTATAGAGTATTAATGGCAGAAAAGTAACAGCCTGCAAAATAAGACACATCACATAAACCGGTGAATACCGAGCCTAAAAAAAAGGGTCGAATGAACACAATTCTAAATCTGTAACCACTTTCAAAGTAAGCCGATTCTAAAGGGAGAAGGCTATGCTCCATTTGGGGCTCGTTTGCAGTTCATAATATCGAAGAAAATCAACGGTTACTTCTGCGGCTAATTCTAGAATAGAGAAGATCGCTACTGGTTTAAGACCGAAAAACGATGAAAAAGCAGGTGCCTGCTAAAAGTTAAACGCATAGTAAAGCCACATGATTTGTTCCATACATGAGATTAGTAAGCTCTGTCAGACCAAAGCAAGTAGCTTACGTTTGTTCTTGATACAGGAGTATCTGGAATACTGTCATTAGAACTTAAGGGTAAAACAACCAACGGTAAGTCTGTAGTTCTGATTAAATAAATAAGTTACAAGGTAGTCCGAGTATTTTTCTATCTAACATCTTTCTTTGTCCATTTTACTGTTGGTGTACAGTGCAGACACAGACTTTATTTTTCAGACCTGTGATGGATCTGCCTTTGCTAAAATTGGGATAACTTCTAAGACTTCCATAGCAAGAGATCCTTGTGAAGTCACCAACAATGCAGACAACATCAAAGGAACATGACTTAGCAGGCGACGGTGTGAAGCTACTGACTTCTGTAAATTGCTCAGCCAGTGCTTTGTAGATTTGGTGTTTCTGAGAAAGTGAAAATAGTCATACATAAACTATCTGACCATAAAGTCTTCTTTCTCCTGAAAACAGGACTAATCCACAAAAATATTTCACAGCTAGCATAGCATTACCTAATTAAGATGATCATTTCTTCAGCACAGGCTGTCATCTGTCTGATACACAAACTCAGAGCTGAAGCATAGTGCTGAGTATTCCCAATAGTCTGAAAAAAAAGACAAAACCTACTAACTTATGTGCTTCCCATATTTTTGAAAAGTTAAGCATATTATTCTTTCTTGAGATTGCTGCGAGCTGATTGATGTTTCATTGTATGATATGTACTTTTCTTTCATTGTGTCATCTTGTTCAAGTTTTAATTGTGCATGTTGTCGAGTATATCTACTTATTGCAACTAATTTTTCCAAGAGGTTCCACAAGTTTTATTGTGTGAAAAAGGCACAGAATTATTCTTGTATACAACTATGTTTCAATCACTGTTTGATTCAGCTGCTTATAAATGTTTTCATAGGATAATTACCAGTAATTCAAATCAATCAACCAGTGTACTCTAACTGTTCCCACCGCAGCCAGAGGCAATCATCACATACATGTATGCACTTCTCACCTTAGTTTGGTTTTCCTCAATTAGGGGAATAACATTGTGTTCCACAAATCCTAAGATCTCGAGAGCTTTACAGTGTAAAGAATGCACAGTGCCACCCTGCATCCTTATGCTGAATGTCTGCCTGGGAGGTGATGTTATAATTTGAAGTATTGGTTGCACAAGAAATAAATGACTGACGGGGAGAAACAGGTAGTCAGGCTTGAAATGTTTTAATTGAGTTTGCACTGTTGACAAACCTACATGAAGAAAGATGAAAATTTTTAATGCCATATTCAAGAATGGTCTTATCAAGATCAAGATCAAGACCCTTAGTGCAGAGTGCTTCAGTTAAGAACTAGACCTCTCTTACCCTTGCTTCATCAAGACATCTTAAAAAACCAGAAGGATTGACACTTACAGAGCTGAAGAATATGAATGTAACAGTCTCCCAGTGAATCCAGAAGAAGCTTGCTCAAGGTTGGTAAGATGTATAATTGCAAGAAGGCCTTTAATAAGAAAAATCAATTACACTATTCAGAATTAATTAACTGTAACTACTATGTCAATTTTCATCAATTTGAAACTCACTTAAGTCACATAACAAGAATCAATACATTTTCTTGGGTTTTGAAAATTCCTATATAATGTTAATTCTTCATCCAAATGAAATTTTGACAAAAAAATTGAACTAAAACAAATACATGTACATTAAAAGCTTACATTTCTATATGAATGACTAACAAGTGAGCTCAAAACCATTTAAAAGTTTACCATTTAACCTGGAAAACTCATTTTTTAATAATATCACACAGTTCAGAACTTAAAATAGTAAAACTACTTGACTCTCCACTCTTGCCATTCAGTTGGCCTTTAGCAATTGTTCTGAGTTTTGAGTCCTTACTTTACTAAATAAGTTACCAAAGCAATACCTGTGGACAATGATGTTGAATTGTTTGCAATAAGAGGATGGATGATGTCATGTCAGAGCCAAAAGACAGACTCTCGCAACACAAAGAAAACAAATGATTCACCATCAGCTCCAAATGGCTAGTACCTAAATATACCATGCAGAACAAAGGTAATTATTTAAAAAAAAATAATCACAATCAAAATATAATAAAGTATATTATAAAGTACATTATATAAATATAATAATATTAATATATAATATAATAATATTACATAAATACAATAATATTTTCTTTGTCCCACACTTGTGACAAGACAAAAAAAACATCATTCTCTATTTCTTTACCAAGCTCAAAATCTACCATCTCTCTTATTTCTATCTACAAACATTACGCTATCGACATTGCTGATCCTAGCAGTTTGTAGGACATGTGTCACATGAACTTTGTAACAGACCTTGCTCACCATGGAGTCTCTGTGGCTTGGTGGTAGAGCATTGGAGCATAGAATCCACAGGTCTGAGGTTTGATTCCTCATGGGGACTCAGAATATTTTCTTTGTCCCACACTCGTAACAAGACAGAAAAAACATCATTCTCTATCATTTGAAAGTTTCCAAAAAAATCCTCTTTTTCCTTTTGTTCTTTAAAACTTACCACCAGGGAAAGAATTTCTATGTTCAAGTAACCAGTGTGTCAGACTGTGCACAAGAAAAGTTGTATGACTGAGAGATTTGTCATCAATCTAGAGAACAAGGGACAAACAAGTGCAAATAAACATGATAATTTTTGGCAGTCAATAAATGTTCCAGGCAAGCGGGGTCGCCCCAAGATCACACGGCGACAAACAGTTGAGAAGGAAATAAAGGAGATGGGGAAGACCTGGGAGGGCATCAAGTTCATGGCAAGGGATCGCCAGATGTAGAGGGAACACGTTGCTGCCCTACATGCCTGTTAGGCATTAAGGACATGATGATGATGATGATGAAATGTTCCAGTACCGTACTACAAAAATGGCAAGTTGTCTCATTAATGTCATGGGAGTTACATCTTGCATATTTACACTGATAAATAGCTAGGGATATTAAAAGCATCTGGAATAGGATCCTTAAACCAAGCTAAGTTTTGATTTTAAAGGGTTAAAATAATCCTTACAATAAGATCCTTGAAAAACAAATTTTGACTTCTCTATTTTCTTCCCAGGTTTATTGGAAAGGTCAATAATTGTCAGGGTAACAAGACACCTGGAGGTGTTAATGTGGAATGCAATAGTGGTTATCTACAGTCACTCTGATTTTATGTGGAAAATAATAAATTTAATGCTAAATTCAAAGTACAGGAAAAAAAATAACCATGACTAAAAGAGTCAACAAAACAGAATATTATGTGCGATCACCCAACCAGGTAGTAACCCAGCCAACAGAGGTTTAGTGATAAGCACTAACATGAGGCTTAAACAAGCATATGGCTAATTCCATATTTGACTATGAGGGCTCTCAAGCACATTTTTCATGTGGTCTGCCCCAGACATTCCACATAATGAGAACAAGTGATCAGCATATAGTACTTTAAGAAAGAGGTCAAAAAATATCTGAAATGCATGTATATGAAGGATAAAAAATGGATGAAATGCTTTTCATAGTACTCTTAACTGTCTTGGTTCATTTTAATTTTCAGTTTTCTTTGGTCCCAATTTTGTCATGAATATTTATTAGTCATGATCAAGATCCATAACCATATTCTTTTCAAAACTACAGCATTGAAAAGTAAAGGCAAGTTTGTTTTGCTTTCAAAAAGCAATAGGAAGCACTCATATGCATCATAACTTATGTGTTAAAAAGTGTTTATTATGGACGGAAAGACAGAACAATGTTGACGCTATTCAGCTTATGCAGCTTTGAAGAATGATGGAACTCTCAACGCGCATGCGATGTTCTTCTTTAAGACAAACTGACCTACTTCAACATTTTAGGCCAATGTAAAAACACTTTTCAGTGATTTTAATTGTTAATACACATGTGCAGAGGTATTCACAAGAGACAGTGAAGATGTAGACCATACTTTTTCAAAACAATTTGCAAATGTTTTGTTTCACAATTAAATGTGGCTTTCTTAATTTAATCAGTTTTTGTTCCTCATCAATATTCATATTCTCGATTATCTGGTCCCTCAATTATTCTGACTATTTTGTCTAGTCCCAACAAGTCCAGATAATCAAGGTTCGACTGAAACAGAACAACGATCCAATAGTTAAAGTAGGGTAACTAGATAAAATGATCTGACTGGTTACAGTGATCCAGTCAGTTAAAATTCTCCAACTAGATAAAATGGTCCAACTGCTTTAAATGGTCCAACTTATAAACTGGTCAGACTGGTAGAAATAATCTAACAAAACAAAATGGTTCAACTGGTTCAGAAAGTCCAATTGCTTAAAATGATCTTTCTAGATAAATTGGCCAACCGCCTGAAATTGTCCAACCAGTCATTGTAGTCCAACTGGTTCAAAGGGATCCAACTAACATAAATGGACTAACTAGATAAAATGGACTAACCATATAACACTCCAACCAGTGTAAATAATTAAAATACTGACATTAAATGGTCCAAAAGGTTGTAAGTAAATGATCTTACTTGTGGAAATGGGCTGATTGGCAGAAATGGCCTAACTACAAATAGGTGACAAAATTGTAGACAAATTGACCTTTTCAACCCCCTATTACTTTACTTTTATCTCTTTTGCCCTTTTTAAGTGTGTGTCAACTAATTTGGATGCTGATTGTAGATAAAAGGTCCAGCTTGTAATACATGGGGTAACTATATAAAATGATCCAACTAGTAGTAAATGGTCTAACTAGAGAAAATAATCTCTAGAGGAGCGGAAAAGAAATGTACTTTTCTCAAAGAATCTACTGCAACCAATTACTCAATTGCCAAAAATGTATAAGATATTTTCATAAAGGTTATGTTCCTTATCATAACCAATTGATTCTAAACTGACCTGATAGCAGGGAACAAGAGATGTCAATAAATCAATAATATCCCCAACAAGAACTTTTCTCTCAGTAACTTCTTCATGGCTGTGATCAGTTTCTTAATATAACAAAACAAAGTACATATCTTAGTGATATCTTAGTACATAAAAAGAAATTGAGCCTGTTCCAATCTATCAAGTGAACTCAAGAGGATTGCATAATACATGCTGCTACACTTGATGGAAACTTTCAGCTGAAGTTAAACTGCATGCATCATGTTATGGATGCACAGCTATGCACACATAAGGATTTTTACCGTAGTACCTTCTTAGGAAAGAGGTAGAACTTACACCAGGATGATGTCATAAATGAATGCATGCTGAATGTATAAAGATATGAATATATGCTAGAACAAAATGGACTGCTACAATTCTCTAACAAATCACTAAAATTTAGACATACCAGTACATTGAAGTAAAGCACTGGCTGTCTGCAAGAGGGTTGTTAAAAGTTGCTGCCTAGTAAACCAATTAACTGTGACATTTGGATCCAAAAGAACAAACTTAAAAAATGTTTCCAGCATCCGTAGAATAAATCGAGGATCACAATTGAGATATCTGTTAAAAAAAATAATAAATACCCATAGGATAACAAAAATGGTATGTTCCCCAGGACACAACACAGTTGCATAATCTGTGTTAACCCTTCTAGCATATTGAGCCCAAAGATTTTTATAATTACTTAAAAATTCATCTAAACTGAACCCACCCATGTATTGGTTTCAATCATTTTACACTCCATATTTTAAAACATATGCATAGCCTACTATCTCTTGAAAAAAAAAAACCGAAAAAGAAAAACTCCTGAGCTCTTGAGAAGTTGCATACCACCAAAATACATGAATTCCATTTTATCAGACGGTTAGTGGATTTTGTTTTACACAATGGTCCACCCTATACTAAATTTCTTTTTTTAATCTTACTTGTGCATGTTTTTTACCTTTTTTGTACCAAACACATTTGTTAGCAAATTTGCTGTTGAAATATTCCTTGTAAAAAATCATTTTTTTGATATTGCCTTGAATGATTGTTCACATATTGGTAACTATAATGATTGTAATCTCATACAAAAAGTCAAACTTCAAAGGGTGTGGCTTTCTCTGTTGTCTCTGATGTTATACAAATCCAATATTTCTCAAGGGTTAATTCTATGGCAGATATGTTCTTGAATAATATTGTATATGTGTTTAAGTTTTACACCATTTTGACTTTTCAGAGTTGGAGTTTCCCCATGGAGGCTCAGGATTATCAATCTTGTGTGGTACTTCTGTGAAAAAATTTTGAGTTTACTCTAAAGACGTTCAAGTAGCTTCACAGAGGCTGGGGACTGCTGTTTGAATATGTATCATCTTGATACACTCTGGCAGCTCAAAACCCTTAAAGGAAGCTGCATTAACATGTCAAGAAAAAGCTCTTTTTGGATTGCTATTGCTCTCTGTCAGGGTACTTGCTTTTTCCTCCTTTAATTCTTCAAAGCTTAATTTGCACTTGCATACTCTTACAAGTAACATAAAGGGTTCCAAAAACATGGGAAACCAGGTATCAAATATGTCAAGGACTTTAAGGTAAAGTGGAGTTCCTCAATTTTTTATTGCTTGTATCAACTTTAAGAATGACTTCCACTTTGTGAGGAGACATCAGGGAAAAGAAGTCAGTTAACAAATCTAGGGGATGAGGGGAAGGTAGTGGGGAATTGGGATGTTAGCTCGGAGCAAAAATCTCCAGATTTCTGATTCCACCTCTGAACATTAACATTCTTATTCAATTTAGAGACAGACTTCTGCAAATTGCCCTAAAAACTTTTGTTAGAGCATATTTTAATAAGTTGGTTTTTGTAACCAGGTTTACTCCTGACAAAATTATAAGCAAACATGTTAGGTGAGTTAACATAATTTTAAACTTGTTTAAAGCTGAATGTGACACTGTAGGAGAGGCAAGTTAACATCTGACTAATGGAACTGAGTGATCTCATTGCTAAAACACAATAATTGAAAATTGAATTAATACCATGCATAGTTCAAAACATAAAAGATTTGCCACAACATCAGGAAAATTGGTTGGGGGATTTAAGTATGGCTGTACCTTTTGATACTGTTTACAAGTAAAACACTGACTTCTTGGATCAGGATTGTTGCACTTTCAGGACAACTTATCACTAGTGTAATGAATGGGTGGGGAGAGGCCCTGATAAGACAAAAAATAAACAGTCAGGTAAATGAAGAAACACTCCATAAATCACATGTATATAATTACCGTAAACAACATGCAATATTTAGGTATCATAAGATTGCAGTGTATTGTCAGTGACAATTGTTGTGCTTTCATTTTGCTAGTTATAAGAATTTTTTTGTGCTAAGAGTGTCAATGAAATAAACTTTTGATGAAAAAACTTTAAATAAAATGAGTTTAATGCCATTTGTACAACACTGACCTTAAAGAAAAGGGGCATATATATTCCATACCAGCTGTAGTACACTTATAAACTTGAAAGGTCAGCAAACAACTCAAGGCTTTTGATATACCACTCAGATTTCTGTGTATTATAAATAAAGACACCTATAGGTGAAGATCACAGCTTGTAAGGTTACTGGCTTGTGTAATGTAGCTAAACAAATACAGGTTAGCTTCAACCCAAAATGTTAATGCATCTTTGATTATGGTTGGCTCCTCTACAGAGGACCTCACCCTCTTAGAAAAAGCCACTCAACCCCTTTGACTCAAAAACAGTTTGCAAGGATATAATCACAATTAAGAGCTAGCATCTGGAGAATATTTGATTTATCTTGGCTGCCTAAGACAGATCATCACCTTGCCCTGTAGTTAACATTAAAGAGGCTTGGATGTAGGTGTTAAGACCCACCTTGCAGATGGAGCCACACTTAATAGTCCTCTTATGATATATTCAAATTCAGCATGGTCATCAACAACTAGCTGTACCAAGCAATTACAACACAATCTGCTTAAAACTTCTGAAGAATCTCCAGTCAACTCCCATAATAACTTGAGCTCAGGAATCTGAGGAAGAAAGCAAAGTGCTCAATGGTTGTGCTATGTTTAGTATGGTCAGTTTTTATTGTTCCTTTCATGTATCTTCAGTTCAAACACCTCCTGGGAATTAACTTTGTTGGTCCTGGCTCCTTAATGGCATATACAGTTCCAAAACTAATATAGCCCTTGCATTTGCAGTCTTCAAATAAATTAGTGATCTTGAGTTTGAACTTGCAATTTTCTTGATTCTATTTGAAACTCCACTGAATGAGTGGGTTACTGAGCCATTTATATCACCATGTACATGTACAGTACTTACTCACCTCTACCGAATTGGCATTTATGACAGATCCAGGTGGTTTCGAAATCAAGATGCAATCATAAAGTTTCCATACTTCCTGTACAAACCAATTGTTTAAAAAAAGGGTCAAGCTGATGAACATGTAGATTGAAAATTATGCAACTCCCCACTAAAATCAGGATATTTGACTGTAGAACTACTGACCCCAAGAATTAAACCAAGAAATTTGTTCTTTTAGTTAGTAAATAAGGTTTTGCCTTGTGAGAGTTTTTATAAATTAGACATTCCAATTTAATGAAGTTCTTCCAAGTTAACAAACACCACAGAGACTGGACTTTCATGATCATGTATGCACTTTTTTTCTGAGGTGCGACTTGCAGAACCTTGAGTTTACACCAATTAAGTGGCAAAACATCTCTAACTCCTGTGGGCCTGATTTCTAAATTCCCAGGACAAATTTCTGATTTCATTCCGGTGGTGAATGAACATAATCATCCGATGGTGAGGGCGACATACAATTCCTTAATAATCAAAACCTCTCATTTTAAGATAGAGCCGCCATCCCACTAAAAAAAATGGTTTGTTTTTCTCTCTTCCATTTTCCTTTAAGCTCTCCCTGTTAATCGTATCCCCCCCTTAACAATTTCTTCGAGGATAGCCTAGCAACTCCTTGAGTGCCTTGGGTAGGAAAGGGAACCAGGAGCTTATAGCATAGGACTCAGGAGCTTAGATAACAATTTTTTACTAAACGATCTTATTTATACGGCCATATGCTCAGTTTTTCGTTCAGTTTTTAGAAAATATTTTTACACACCTGTGATTGATGTGAAGGATTTCTGAACGACAGTCGCTTTCGCTGTTCATCTGCCATCTTGGTTGTACCCGAGCTGTCGGGTCAGTGGTTCCTCGCCTGACAATATTTTGCTTTGTGTAACCTGACACATTTTATTCAAGCATCGAAATAAACAATCCGCCATAGTTGATTTCGTTAGCGTCATTTTCGTAGTGCAGAGTAATGCCTCGCCAAAGAAAGGTTCCTGCAAGGTTTAGAGGTTAGAGATACATTTCCTTGCAATGAAGTTATCTTCTTGTAGACTTTCTATATACATACATTTTATTTAGGGGTTTTAGTTTTAAACTCAGCCATAAGTAAGCTTAAACTAAAGTCAAAAGGTTCAATTCCTCTTCTTACTTCTTTATCCATGTTTAAGCGTTCATGGAGTAAACTTAAAAATTTAGGGAAACTTCTTCCTCGCAGATGGTGCTAATCCCGATGAAATAGAGGCTGAAGGAGAAAGCAGTGGATCTAACCCAGAGAGTCCTCAAAAGAAACAGGGAAAGGAGAGCTCTGGCCCATCAGATTTAGCCAGCCCTGTTACATCGATGCAACACTTTGGTGTACCTCCTGCCTTTATCACAGAATCAAATACACATCCTACAGAGGTATTGTTTGTCTATAAATTCAATATGAATACACTTGTTATGTTAGTCTGGAATTGGTTACTCGTAGTATGAGCTTAAATTTTGTTACTTAAACAAGCAATTTAGAGCATTTGGGGTGAAGAATATATAAGTTCTAGCATTTTATGACAAACCATACGAGCAGACAATATTAACTGAATTCTAGTCGGCTACCATAGGGTTGAGATTAAGAGAAAAAGGGGTAGGGGTCAGCTAAATAGTTCAGTGTTTGTTGAGTTTTGTTTTTGTTTGTTTTTCCTTTTTTATTTGTTTTTGTTAAGTTTTGTTTTTTTATTTAATTAGGAGAAAAAAATAAGTTGTCTGGCATCAAATTAGGTTTTTACTGTATTCTTACAACAATTCATTACCTCCTTAGACCACTTTGGAAATAAACAGACCAAGCCATGAAATTGATCCAGTGTATCCATGTGGCATTTGTAAAAGGGAAGTAAATGATAATGACGACGCCATATTCTGTGAGACAGGCTGCGTACAATGGTATCATCGTGTCTGCACAGGCTTGACTGAACTAGCTTATGACTTGCTAACTGCTGAGGAGAATGCAGAGTGGGTCTGTGACAACTGTATTGCAACCAAAAGTGTTCCATTGGTTAAGTTGAAGAGTTAACTATCATGTCCTGTTCATTACCAATATAGTTGATATATTAAGTTTAAGCAAACATGAATTTTTTAGCATTTATGAATCAATTTTCATGTTTACTTGTTTGAAAATTAACATACTAGTTAAAAGATATGTAATTTTATGAGACCTTTTGGGCTTCATGGATGAAAAAGAGAGATGTTTTCAGTTGGTAGGTGTTCAATAACATCTTTGGAACACAAGTTCTTTGAGAAACATTCATGTTAAGCATGTGTTATTTCTCTTACACAATAACAATCCTGATGGTATGCCTGAAAAAATAAGCATGTAAGATTTGCTCTACACTGGTTTTCAGAAACAGCTTTCCTTTTTGTCTTTGTTGGAAATAAATTTCCAAAAATGTGTTGGAAACCTCTTGGGTAGTAGTATTTCTCCAAAGAAATGATAGACTGTGCAGTTGAGGAAAATTAAACCCTAATGATGTTATTCAAGGTGGTTTTGTATGGTATTTGTACAAATTTAACTACAGATGAAGAAAATTAGCACTTCTCTGTGAATTTTTTCCCAAGATATTATTGATAGTCTATGAAATTACTTGAATTTCTCTATTTGTGTACAAGGAACAAGAGGTGTCTATGAGTAGCATAATACTCTGCATCTTATTGGTCAATATGTATTTCTTCAAAAGGTTGTAGAGTGAAATAGGGGATGTCTATAAGGCTTTTATTAGAAGTTGAGCCTTTAACTTAAAGAGAATTCAATCTCACCACAAAGGAAAAATTTTAGATTTGGTTAGACTAAATACTGTATTAGTCACTCATGGTCCCAAGTCATAAGTGCTCAAGTTCATGCAGCTCCATTTAAAAACTTACAATTTTTCTTCAATTTATGTGGTTAATTGAACTGACTCTTCCTTATGATTTTTTGGCCATGCCAAAGATATAGACAGTCTTAACATGATTACAATTATTACTAATATCTAATGTAAACTGGGAAATCTGAAAGTTGCAAATAAGTGAAAAAAGTATGTACCTAATATGCATGCATTACCCTGCCCACATATAGATACTCTAACTTGTCATCATGTATGTGTGTAAATTTTGTATATAAATGCTTTAGAATGAAAACAGTGAAGACACTTAGTTAACTCAACTTCACTTACAATGAGTGAACAACCATGTATTTGACTTTTATTTCATCAGTACTTTTCAGTCCATTAACAATATACACCAATTTACAATAAAGTTATCATAGAAAAAAGCAAAAGGGAAAAAGCCAAGTAGGAATTAGTTAGGGTATTAAATTATGTTGTGGCAATATTGACACCAAGGGAATTTTCGCACAATTTAAGGATCCTTTAAACTTCTTGAGAATGTAAGATATTTGTGCAGAAAAGTTGAGTGGTTCTTAAATCTATGTTGGTGTTTTGGTGAATGGAATAACTTAAACTAGAGGATACTGAAATACCACTGTGTTCTTGACATTTATCTTGGCATGATATTTAGGAATATTGACCAGACTCCCACAAACGATCTTATTCATACCAATTTTCTGAGCTTGTGTACTCCAGAAAATGGCAAATTAAACTCGAGTGTTGAAAACACAGTAGTTTGGTAGTATGCTCATGTTTGCATATTTTGTCAACTGGTAAAACAAAAAAAATTTGAAAGCACTTGACATTTCTTAACCAATAGCTAATACTCTCAAGGAGCATGTAAGAATTGTTAATGGAGTTTGAAAATTTCCCAGCTTCCAGGCATAAAGCCTTAAATTTAGATGCTAATGAATTCCCTAGTTGCCCTTTCTTTTTTATCTTTATTTTTGTATTGCAATCAACATATCGAGTTTTATCTTTCTGTAATTCAAGCCACCTTAACCTATTTAGAAATGAAAAAAATGAAAAAGAGGTTCAGAAATTCATTTGAATTTATTGCACCAAATTTAAAATAATCAGGAAAAATTGCGATCAATCGAGTAATTGGTGTTAAAAAAATAAGTAAACTATTTTTAGAAACCTTAACACAGGTTTTCTCGGTTACAAAGGTGTGCAATTTTAGAATCCACCTACGGCATCAGGTTTTCCTCAAATTTGGGTTCAAGACAAATTTTGGAAGACAACACTCTCTAAATAGAATTTTTAACTTTAGCTCAGCAATTGCTGAGTTTTGATCGACCCACATAACATGGCACTCATGCAAAGGAATATCTACCTTAGCCTTTAAACAAGAACAAACAACATTTTTTCTTCTTATTGTGTTTGGTAGATTTTGTGATATATGTATCGTTAATGAAGCAATTCAGTTATTGGCATGTTTTTTATGTGGACAAGCCAGTGGTACGTGCCATCTCTGCTGATGTCTATCGTGCACTTAGGAAGTGATTGCTGATTATAGATTCTGGAATACGCAAAATTGGATGGTGCACTAAATATGATTAACACTTTCACCGCATAATAATGAGGAAAATACCGGTGATGGCACAATAAACATTACAGAGGATGTAAGGACTCACATAAGTGGTTATTTCCAAGATAATAAGCAACATTGAGAATCAAGTGATTACCAAGATACCAGTTACCTGTATTAAGCATGACCCTGAAGTTTATTCAAGTGAGTACTTTCAATAAATAATCTTTTTAGTTTACTTACTTAAATATTATATACCAACCAGTGTGGCTTAACTAGCCAATAGCATTGTGAAGTCCTGAAGCACAAGGGAATCTGGAAGCTTGAAGCCTAGCCTATCTCTCGTTATGAACAATGCATATTAAAATAATAAGGCTTTTGCTACTGTAGCTAAAAATGAATGACAGCTAAACATCTAAAGAGACGTGAAAGCCATAAACAGTGCGCATCTAACGAACCTTTAAACAATGACCAAGATCAAAGAGTTCAAAGCTGAGAACATTCAAGTGAAAGTGAAATAAACGAGCTGCTTTCAAATCATTATGGAGAAGGTCGTTCCCAAAATCCAGAGTCACATGTATCCATAGCTAGCTTAAGAATTGTTCGTTAAAGTTAGTGAAGACACTATGGAGAGTTGTGAAGCACCACAAAACTTTAATAAAAGAACCCGTCGAACAATCAACATTGAAAATCACGGCTGTCACTAAGGAGTTGTATTTTCATTTTGCTAGATCAATAGGAAATAAGCAATGTGATATTATTTCTTTCTGATGCAAATCAGCCATATCATTGTTTGTTCTAATAGACATGGGAGTGGCCTATTTTAGTTTTGAAACACTTTAGTTGGTTTGTTTACCGTAGTTGATGCAAAGGTGTTCTTTAGATATGATTCGTTAAGCCAGCTGTGTGCCAAGCTGTCTGAATCCTCAACAAATATTTAGAAAAGCTCTGTTGCCGCTTGTAAATGTCTCTCCAATCTTTACTTGGCGCTCTGCAAACAGTATTAACGACTAAAAGCCTAGCTACGTGAACCAACTGCGCCCTCGCGTGTCGTTCTAAGCCAATTGTCAACTAAACACTGCACCGACACATGCATATGCAAAAGTAAAGGGTAGGAGCAGGTTTCACAGCGTTAAAAATGAAGAAGTCGTATTTGCTACTTGTCCTGTTTGTCCACGTTCTACTAACCACTCATAAAGTCGACTCACATAGACGTAGGATAAGCCACAAAACCACAAAACCCCCAACACGAAAACGAACCACTCGAAAGCCGACAACATCTCTGCGAAAACATTGTCATGCCATGAAACACTGCAAGGTAACTCAGTGGAACACATGGAGTTCATGTTCAGTAGCTTGCGGAACAAGAGGAGTGCAAACACGCATTAGAAAGGTAGGCTATTTTTCAACTCTTTTTGCGGGTGCCTCTAGCAGATCTGTACTGAACCGAACAATCAATTTCAACACCTGGTGAGTGAAAAGAGTGTAAAAGCGACCAAGGAATGAACGACTAAATAAACCAATTTGTGAGCGAAGTAATAGGGGTATGAAAACTGTCACAGAAATGAGAAGGATTGAGCCAGGATTGCATAAGGTCAGGGTATCAATAGCAGTAGGCAAATCACATACTTTTGCACTGTACTTCAATAACAGCAAGAATCTTGAATCTTTTTCGGTGAAACAACTAAATGAATACCATTCAGACTCAATTTCGAAACCCAAAATACTTCATGTGAAATTGCTTTTAATGTGTTTTTCACCATCAGGTTGTTAAGCGTCCGGTGTGCGGGGGCGTTTGCCCATTTGATTTGAAGCAGTCTCGGGGCTGTAATCATTATTGTCACAATGGAGGTACTCTAGAAAAAGCAACATGCATATGTCTGCCCCGTTACGGTGGACAGTGCTGCCAACAAGGTTTGTATGTGAGGCAATTTTTTTTTACAAACGCAGTCACTCCAATTTAGTTTTTTTTTTGCATGAAAAAAAAAATGGCAATGACTGGAAAGTATTAAACTGTTCTTTTTTTAAGTGAATGGGGAGACTGGGACCAATGCAGTGCTACTTGCGGAAATGGAACACAAAAGCGTCACGGACTGCTATAGTGAAGCGATATTGGCGGCGGAGGGAAAATGATGGAGGTTTGGGTTGGGTCATGTTCATTACGCCATCCCACCCAAACGTCCCTCGTTTTTTTCATTCCTCTGCCTAACTATCCTCCGCGCCACTCTCTCTGATTACTATCGCTCTTCGTTTTACCAACCGAACACCTGGAACAGAATAAACATTTTTGCAATACATCCGTATGTCTCAGAAAGTTTGGACTTCCTACTTGACACTCTGCAATAGTATTGTGCCAAGAGAGACAACTAACTAATTCAGTAATGTTGAACTGTATCCAAGATCCATCACAGGCAAACACCCCATCCGTACAAGGGTGTATCAATATATAATTATACCTTTAGAAAGGTGACCAAAGGAGTAAAAAGGAAAATTTTAAACGCCGGAATTACATCTTTGCCACTATTCTGTGCTAACTATTAGTTGTAATTATCGCATTTTCATGTTGCAAAAGTTCACGGAGGATGGAGCTGCTGGGGAGTATGGGATGACTGTTCCAAGACCTGTGGTGGAGGCAAACAAACACGTCACAGGACTTGTAACAACCCCCTCCCTGCTAGCGGGGGACGTCCATGTCTGAAGAACGGTAGCAGTCAAACCAAAAAATGCAACGTCATACCTTGTCCAGGTAATAGGCTTCCCTACCAGTGACCACTAATTTTTTCGTCGGGTATTGTCCCGCACTGTGTAATGAAAACTGATGGTGTGAACTACCGGATGTCTCGTACTCTTTCTTAGCCATGCTCTTAGGTTATATGCGCGGACAATTTAAACTCAGCTAGAAATTACTTGTATATGATGGCTGGGCGTCCTGGGGTGATTGGGGCAAATGCAGCGTGACTTGTGGTGGTGGAACACAAACGAGCTCTCGATCGTGCAGCAATCCACCCGTGGCTTATGGTGGTAAAACTTAAGTAGGCCCGAAGGAAATGATTCAGAACGAAGATAATGTTTTTTGTCGAGGCAAACGTTTCTTAAAAAGCATAAAGATCAACTTATATTTTTTTAGTAGTGGAAATTAATCTACCAGAGTATGTCCCAGCAAAACGCTACTTAAATGTTTTCAATTCGGTATGAAATGATAATGTCAAAGCCTAATTCCAAATGACTCAATCCCAATATGATTCAATAGTTCTCAAACACCTTAGTACGTCATCATTTTTTTACTTCTTCAAACTCTTCCAAATGCATATCCGGAAGTTGCAGTCGTCTTGAATAATCTTTGTTTAGTTCCCTATTAAATTAAGGTTTAATGAGTGATAATGAAAACTTCAACTGATTGTGTCCTCCGCTATTTTAGACGAAAGGCAACTTACATGGAAGGTAACGTATGGAGCAATTTTTAACCTTAGCTCTGCTTAACATGTATTCCCAACTCTAGTAAATGGTGGCTGGACGTCATGGGGTGATTGGAACAAATGCAGCGTGACTTGTGGTGGTGGTACACAGAAGCGTTCTCGCTCATGCACAAATCCTCCCGCAACCCATGGAGGAAAAACGTGTGCAGGTCTGAAGGACATGACTCAGAACTGCAATGATGATATTCTGTGTCCAGGTAAGAACTTCCTTGGCCACAAAACGTGACAAAACGTTTTGGAAATGTTGCTTTGTAAGTCGAGAATGTTGGAAAAATGGCAATGACTGGAAAGTATTAAACTGTTCTTTTTTTAAGTGAATGGGGGCTGGACACCATGGGGAGACTGGGACCAATGCAGTGCTACTTGCGGAAATGGAACACAAAAGCGTTCACGCTCATGCACCAATCCACCTACAGCCCATGGGGGAAAAAGGTGTGCAGGTCCGAAGGAAATGACTCAGAATTGTAACGATGACGTTCTCTGTCCAGGTAAGAAAATTTTTGCAAGGAGGATCTGGCACAACAAGTATCTTTCATGAAAAAATTTCGCTACGTATCTAGGGAACAGGACTTTTAACAGAATGTAGAAATGCATTTGTTCAGTGAATAGCGGCTGGAAAGAAAATATTGGGAACATGACCTTTACTGTAATGTTTGTTCAAAATGCTTTTGCCCAGTGAATAATGGCTGGGCAACATGGGGAGACTGGGAAAAATGCAGTGTGACTTGTGATGGTGGAACACAGAAGCGTTCTCGCTCATGCACCAATCCTCCCGCAGCCCGTGGGGGAATAACGTGTGCAGGTCTGAAGGACATGACTCAGAAATGCAATTATAATATTCTGTGTAAAGGTAAGAACCTCCTTGGCTTTTGGAAATGTTGCTATATTATAGGTCGAGAATATTGGAAAGATGGCAATGACCGGAAAGTATTAAATCACTCTTTCTTTAAGTGAATGGAGGCTGGACAATGTGGGGAGAGTGGGACAAATGCGGTGCCACTTGCGGAGGTGGAAAACAAAAGCGTTCTCGCTCATGCACCAATCCACCCACAGCCCACGGTGGTAAAACCTGTGCAGGTCCGAAGGAAATGACTCAGATTTGCAACAACGATGTGGGGTGTCCAGGTGAGAAACGATCTGTCACAAGGTTTGCTCATCCTTACTTCATTCTTATCATGCTGTGAGTTGTGTGAGGAGAGACGATGTAAACAACAAGTTGTGACTTCGTCTCTCCTTCTTACGTTAGCCAGTAACGCATCAAACAATTTTTACCTTACCTTTAGTAACCTGCTTTACCTAAAAATATATAATTTGTCTCTAGTAAATGGCGGCTGGACTTCTTGGAGTGATTGGAGCAAATGCAGCGTGACTTGTGGTGGTGGAACACAAACACGTTCTCGCTCGTGCACTAATCCAGTTGTAGCTCATGGTGGTAAGAATTGTTCGGGCCCGAAAGAAATGACTCGGCACTGCAACGATGATGTTTTCTGTCCAGGTGAGCTTTTTCGGGCTCAGTAATCAAATAAAAGCCCCTATGTTAATGGCAGAGTAAAAAATACTGGAAAATGGCAATAACTACAATATTTTTGAAAAACAAATTTCTCCAGTGGATGGTGGCTGGACAACATGGGGAGACTGGAACACGTGCAGTGTGACTTGTGGAAGTGGAACACAAAAACGCTCTCGCTCATGCACTAATCCTCCCGCGGCCCATGGTGGTAAAACTTGTGTGGGTCCGAGAGAAATGATTCAGAAATGCAACAATTATGTCTTGTGTCCAGGTAAACGTTTACAGGACTAACAATCAAGTAAACGCTCACTTTTAATTGTTGAAATAAATCGACCGCATGCCGTATAGATTAATCTTCCAGTCAACCTGTATTTAATAAAATATCTATCAAACTAGACTGAGATGTTAGATAAGTTGTTTTCAGAGTAAAAAGAAAAAGCTTAAAGTGGAAATAATTGCTTTCATTTACGACGAAACATTCAAGTACAGGGAAGTAACGATGAAGATCCTTCTTAAAACGTGCGATCCGCTCGCAACAAGCACATGTATAACCAAGTAATGGCATAAGGATAAGAAATGGAAAGCTCTTACACCTGGCTCTGACCAACAAGGAACATTACAAGGAATTCTTATCACTAATAGTTCCTCTCATTTTAGTTGATGGTGGCTGGTCTGGGTGGGGAGACTGGGGTAAGTGTGACAAGAGCTGCTTTAAAACAAGAACAAGGAAATGTAACAGGCCCACTCCGTCTAACAATGGTAGGCAATGTATCGGTCCACCCACAGAGAGGTTCAGATGTTCTTTTGATGAATGTATGGGTGAGTAATTGTACTTTTTACCGCTACAGCTAAAAGCACCGAGTTAAGTTTCCATTTTTCAGTTAATGAATTATTAATCAATTCATGCATTAATTGTTGTAATGCCTGTAAATTAAATTACGCCATAAAAGACGATGTAGAAAATTTCGGAGACTCGAAGAAAGATGCTAGGATATCATAATATTCTAAAAAGTGCCTTTAGGATATTTCTTTGCTCTTCAGCGACCAGCGGACACAGAAAGCATAGAGGGAAGTTTGTGTCATGTCATTAGGTAAACGGTGAATCGTGTAGTCTGTGCTTTAACGAGAAAGTAGTAAGTAAAAAGACTGTTTTCGAGTACGGCGGTGCACGTTACGAAAATTTCATCGTCAAGTAACTCTGCTCAGTTTCTCGAAATATCGATCACAATCAGAGACCATAGTCCTTCCAGAATTACTCTCACCTGGACCATCAGATTGGAGATCGAATGTTACCCCCAGGATCTAATTATCTACTCTATTATGTAAACAATTTATATTACAAACGACTAAGTACTCTTGATTTGAATATAGCCATACTCGCTACTTCCGCTCAAGTCAGGTTGCGTCAACAACATCCTAACAACTTTGATTTTGCCGAGTTTTTGGACCGTTTAAGAATTACTCTTGTGTTTGAGAGAGGACTGAATACAGTGAAAGGGGTTCATCATGTTCTTATCCATTCTTTTTCTTTGTGCAGTAATTGGTATGTGGACTTTTTTTTAATTTCAAGCTTGTTTGCATTTTCGGGTTTTTCGTCGAGCAAGTCCTGGGTACTTACTTATCACAATTTCGAAAAGAATGGAGCTGTTCACTGATAATACGCATGAAATGTTATTTTGAACGGAAAAGTGACGTAGATGACTAACTATACCACCTTTCCAGTCAACTCGACAGCGATCAAACATGTCTGTTCAAAGGAATTTGATCGTGGTCACGGAGGAATTTGAAAATTAAACTAAGTCGAGTGAAGCTTTCGTTTTAGTTGAGAGCTTCTGATAGATTTGCTCCTCAGTTACCTTAAAGATACCACGTTGCAAAACATTAATTGACAACTCTGCGTTTCATTTTTCGATCGTGTTGAAAATCTCTTTGGTTTGTAAATTTCAAGTAACAATTTTCTCTTCCTCTCCCCTCTTACTATTTTTTTTTGTATCCACGCGCGGCGCGAGTGATTTCACAAATTAGCTAACACGTCAAAGAACTCTAATCTTGACATGGAATGACTGACAAGGTAATTATTCACGTACTTTTAGTTTTTTTTCGTGGAGTTTTAGTTAGCTGTTTTTGAGCTTTCGTTCGCGTAAATTTGTTACCCCTTTGCTTGGAAATTTAGGAAGTTTTGGACTTTTTATTTTAGCCAAAATATGGTTCATTTAACAAGTTTAATCCATATTTTCTACGAAGTTTGGACTCTGGTCTCTTTTTTCGTAAACGGATTTTTTACACGTCTGACTGGTTTTCATATCTGAGTAGACTTGACAATTGGCAAGAGAGAATAAGCCTTCTCAGTGAGCTTCATTTGTTAGCATTTAGCAAAAAAAGTGGCCGTCGAACGATAAAACCTACTTTGAAAAATGAAGTTCATGAAACTTAGAACCAGAAATTTTCAGCCTAACTTTACACCTATTTATACATTTTAGGAGGTAATGGCGGAGGTGATGGAAAAGGTCTGAGATTGAACACTGACTACAGAGACGGAGGCTCAGGCGACGGTCCTCTAGCAGGGAACGAATGGACGATTTGGAGTGAATGGAGCGCCTGCTCCACTACCTGCGGGCGCAGCTTGAAATTCAGACACCGCACCTGTATTACTCGGCAGTCCTCCAACTGCCAGGGGGTTAATCTGGAGACTAAATACTGTCAAGTACCGATGTGTGATGGCATTGTACCAACATAACTTACTAAGCATTTCTGTTTCAAAGGCTCTGGATGACAGTCAGTAGTTAGCTACTTGTGATTTAAGACAGTGAAATGTTGACAAGATCAAATAACATTCAAACAGAGTTTACTTGCGTTATGTTTATTCCTTTCCTTGTTTCTTTTGCATTCATTTTCAGTCTAAGCTTGGATGATACCTTGAAGTATGTTTCAGAATCACAATTGTTGGTGTAAAATGCGAATCTTTTAAAAAGCTTGTAACTAGTTAGCATAATGTAACAACGCAAGGAAAGAAGAGCATAACAACTTCAGTATAGTGTTTGAATACACAAATGCATCCATGCATTGTTCTTTTCTTTGGGAAAAGAAGCAGACAAGTTGTTTACGTCGACCCTCACGCAAGAATCAATTCCTAACTAATTTCAATTTCTCTGGTCTTTTGAACAAAATGAACAAAAGACATTTTTAATGGTTCTCAATGCGTCTTGGAATGGTGAAGCGTTACATCCTTGGTGTCTGCCTTAAATAAATTGTCACATTCAACCGAACCTCTCTTCGGTCTGACACACGGAGCGAGAGACACGACAGAGCTGTGAGAAATGTTGCGTAACTAAGATAAGAAACAAAAAAAAAGACAAGAAAAAATTAATTGGACGCTGGTGATCGTGCACCCCGTGGAAACTGGAACTCAGAGTCTAGGCCATCTCCTTCCGCTTCCACGCTACTACATGGTTCCACCGCAGAAAAAAAAGATACAACTTTTCCGCTTCGTTAAAGTCCCGCGCGAAATCTTCTTTTTGTTTTTGTTACACGATTTTTTTTCATTCGTGATTCTAGTGCAAACCAAGAGATAACAAACTGTTTACAATATCTTGCGCAAACCAATTTAGGACCAAAAGGCATGGAAAGTTTAAATTTTATGGCACTCTCTGCTCACAAGAAACTGAATATTAAATTCCGGCACGACTTGCGCGTGGGCGTCAGATGGATAAATTTTATGACGTCACATTAAATTGTTAGAAAATAATTCATTCTCGTAGAGAAAATTGAAAATGGTTGCGTCTCGCTTAGATGTGCTTTGGCATAAGATTGTGTTATCCTCACCCGTTTGGTTTGCTTTAGAGGTGGTTACCCAGAAACCTTGGCAGTGGAGTTTATACAGTTCGTTGGTGTTGTCGAGTTTTATTCCGATTACCGTGTTAATAGCTTTTATAGTAGGATCAATGTTGTCCAGTTTCACCGTCCTCCTCGTAATTCAGTGTGGATTATTAACACTCGCTATTGCGTCGTTTCTTTCGACAATCGCAGTGCTTGCTCCTCTGGCAATTACAATTGCATTTTTAATCTTTGTGATGTGCAAAGCAGTAACAGTCTCCATGTGTATAGTGCACTGGCTGCTGATCTCACCAAAGCTACAACTTCAGCGAGTCAAACCATATTTGACAAAGGTAAATGAAAATTGTGGACTGTTAACCAGATTGGAGCAAAGTGGAATAATCCATGAGGTCAAGTTAAGGAAAACCCAGAGAATAAGAGAGCGATCTTCTCCTCAATATTCAGATTCTGAAACGCGACGACGAACTCAGTCACACGCGTCCCCCTGCATTACCACTCATGTCTCTGAGACATATAAGGGAAGGATAACTTGTCTGAACGAAGAGGAAACTAGCTGTAACAAGTCATCCAACACTTGCACACGTGATTTTGATTTTTCAGCTTCGGGACAAAAGAATCGAATAGGACGTGAGTTTTGCTCTGGGCTGTGGTCAGCAAGCAATTCATCGTCTGAGGAAGACGCCATAAAATTTACCTCTGGACCTGGTTCTGAATCCTACCACACAGCAGATGAGTGGCTTGCAGAGGATTATTGTGGTAACGTAATCCCCGATTATAGAGACAAAGAAGCAAAGTTGTACGAAGCACTTTTGAAAATGGATTTTTGCTCAAGAGACGAGAGCTACATTTTGATTGAACGCGCTTAAGACACAGGCTACAATCTACACTGACCTGACAAAGGGAGCGCAGTTGCAGTTATTTGAGGCCGAACACTTTTTCTTTTGCAATTTGTACAAGTTCCCTCGTTCTTTAGTTAATCAATAAAATGGTAATCCATAAACGAAAGTTACATTTTCGCTGTTGTAATCGATGTGCAATAGCGAGGAACGACTCTCTATTTAGAGCCTAGTTAACACATGCCCATAACATCTATATTTCCCTAAATTACTTTATTAGCAATAATTCAATAATTAACTGTCTGTTCAGCCAACCAGTTCAAAATCAGCTATATTCCTAACATAGCCTTTAGGTCTTTACAGTGGCCAAAGCCTTTTAAACTCCTTACGGTGGCCAATTTACGTTTTCAAGTCAGTTGGTAACACTACATTACCCTGTTATATTCCCAACATGTTAATCTTAGAAAGCTTTGAACACCAGTCTGCCTTTGTCCTTTTTATCAACCTAAACTATGTCCGAGTAGCAAGAGGTAAAAAATGGGGTGATAGAGGCAAGATAAGTCCTATCTGCTGGAAGTGGATAGATTAGTTTCCATTAACAACAACTGTGAAAAATTCACTGACCATTGTATATTAGGATTCAGACCCCTTGCATTTATGGAGTGTAAGTACATGCAATTGACATTAAAAATGGCGGGCACGCGGCTCGTGTTCTGATAATACAGTCATCATATCATTAAACGCCTTCTTTCGATGGTTCAGCCAAACGAACGATACTGACTACACCCGAGTTTAAAGATTGACAGTTCTCAGGGAGCAGAACTGAAGTTCCTACTGGCTCTCACAAATATTTAGTTGTCACGTTATGCAGTCGCCACGCAACGGACAATTTCACATCAGTTCTTTATTCTTCCTGGGGTGAAGTTCTACTTTCGATTCGAATGTTATGTCGAACACGTAAACCCAAACGGAAATGTCGGTCACTCTATATTTTTACCAAACGTGCGAAACCATCACCTCACAAGGGCAGCGAGACAGGCAGCGAGACAGGCAGCGAGACAGGCAGCGAGACAGGCAGCGAGACAGGCAGCGAGACAGGCAGCGAGACAGGCAGCGAGACAGGCAGCGAGACAGGCAGCGAGACAGGCAGCGAGACAGGCAGCGAGACAGGCAGCGAGACAGGCAGCGAGACAGGCAGCGAGACAGGCAGCGAGACAGGCAGCGAGACAGGCAGCGAGACAGGCAGCGAGACAGGCAGCGAGACAGGCAGCGAGACAGGCAGCGAGACAGGCAGCAATCCCTTGTAAACTTGTGTTTACCCTATCAAACTTTATTTTTGGAATTGGTACAGTCCGGGGGCGGACGCACTTGAGCTGGTGCTGCCAAGTTGCTAGGAATTTTCAAAATGACAGCACTCAGTCAAATTTTCCCTACATTTAGAGGTAAACTATGACCAGTCCCAAGGTAAACAATAAGAGAACTAGCACTCTAACACTAGAGTCCGTCTCAGAAAACGGGCAGCCCTAAGACAAATTTTCCATTGATTTGTGGTTATTGGTGTGATTAATTTTTGTGAGAAAGAGGTACTGGTAATGCTCTAATTTTAAGTGAATTCTTGAAAGTTTAAATCACTCTTTGACATCTCAAACTGTATCAGAGTATTAACTTCAAACATACTCTCTGAAATTTGGGTTGAATATTGTCTAGTTTTTGGAAAAATTAACCAAAACCTTCCAAAACTAAAAACAAAATTACCTGCAGAAAAATGCAACAAAAAAAGTTTTGCAATGGAATTCAAAACAAAAAATTTGTTTCACTTCCCCTTTAAAAACACTGGTTTGTCAATAATTAATAAACACATTACCAATAATGGTTACTTGATCAAGTAATTGCCGACTTTAAAAAGGATTTATAGGGAAACAAAACATTATGCATAATGATGAGTCTAAAATAAACAAAGACTACAATCAAATTAACAGCTTGACATTTTATTGAAGTGGGTTAACTACTTCAGAGGAATAAAACGAGATGAGTGAGTGGCACCAATACCAGGTCGGCCATGCTTCACAGGCTTGTATGTGATTGAGAACTCCCCAAGATAATGGCCAACCATTTCTGGCTGTTAATAAAAAAACAACAAAAATAGTGTCACAATAAGACTCTGGAGAGGAATCACATGGCAACAATCTGTCTCATGTTTTTGAACTCTCATTACATACATTATCAAAATATGGTTCCCACAAGCTTGTCACATGGATTCAAGCATCAACCTGTCATAGTTTGTTACAGATTGATGTTCTCTCTGAAAAAGGGCTAACATTCAGAACACGAGCTTAGAAACTCTCTACAGTGCCTGAATTACATTAACAACTCAGTTCTTTAAATCAAATTATATTGTAACAGAATGGCTTCTTGTTCAAATGAGTCTATATAATGAGGTCAACTTCACCAAACAAGAAACAGCACTGGCAAAACCCATGAGGTCATCCCATTTAAATCACTAAAACAAACCTTAATTCAAAAGCCCAATCCATAGTTGGAAATTCTAAACTATTTTTTTTTGCTCCCTTGGCTCTCACTTTCATTGGTGTGTCAAAACACCAGGCCTTAGATAATAAATAATTGGAAATCATGAACTGCTTGATGTTAAAGTTCTAATTACTTGTGAGGCAAAACTAACATACATGTAACAAGCACGAGTTGAAATTAGCAACATTCTTGTCAAATTTCATTTGTTACAAGTGACCAATGTAGGCTCTAGTGTGTTAAAGATGGTTGGGTGGAAGCTAAAAGTGTTATCAAAAGGATCTTTAGAGGCTAGGAAAATAACAAACTGAACAAACATACAGTTAAGAAAAGGCACAGCCCAGATGATCAGATAACAGATAGATGGGTGTAGCAACTTGCCTGATGTAAATTTCATTCCTGCTATTCATTTTCTATCATCTTTCACAGTAAAGAAGGTTATGTCATCAGCTAATTAGAAACAATGTTGTTACAGAGCTCCTTTTCATGGTGACCAAAAACAACACTGATAGTGTTCCAGATGCTTAGAAGTTTTTTTGACATTTTTTCCTTAACTGCTTTTAGAACAAGTTTTTATTCAGTTGTTTGTATATTTTAATAATACTCCCACCAAGACAGAACCAAACCACATGTGATGAATTCTGTAGATAATCCATCCTTCTAAAAGTTTTTTTTATCTCAAGTTCTTGTACGACAGTAAGAATCACCATCATGCCAAAATTTTCAGGAGGCATGGAGGTTGTAGGAGATACAAAGAGTAACATATTAATGTATGACAGAAACAAAATGGCCATTAAATAGTCAAAGCAAGAGGAAAATAAATCAGCACTCAAAAACTGTTTCTGTACTAATAAAAAAAATTGCATGCAAAAAAAACAATTTAGCCCTTAAAAAATTTTCAGTAAGAAAAAGCAATTACACAGCAGACTTTGGCAGTGCAGACCATGCAATGTCAGCACAATCATAAAATTATTCAACTGATTAAAGAGATTCTCACTCTCTGATAGGTTGTGGATAGCAATATCTCTCCCACAAAGGAGACTAATGCAAGGATGCTAGACTTTTTGGATTTAACAGGTTGCAACAGGATTATGATCAATCATTTTAAGCCTGTTTAACAATTTCTGAAAAACAAACATTGGCACCATCACAACACAACGTTCAGTTTTTCCATCTGTTTTGTGCAGTTCAGACTGACCATGTGATCTATGCCCCAGACCCCAATTTTTTCTGTTCATTGATGTATGAGAGGTTGGGAGCAGAGAGAAAAGATGAAGGTTAAACTTTTGGTATAATAATCATCTTAGCTGGGGTTGTTTGAAGTACAATCAAGCTAACTAAGGGTTAACCAATGTTTTCTTAATTTAGTTTTGTAGCTTGTTGTTAGTTTTAAATGTATCCACTTTTCCTTCAGTTCTGTCTTACACTGAGGTAAAATCCCTCAAAATGTGTACTCTAATATAACTTCATATCAAAAGAAATAAAGGACAAGTAGAACTTTAAATCCTGGATCTTTTGAACAAATTGGCCCTCAAAAACTATACCAAGACAATCTTCCTCAGGCTTTATGAAAAAAGTTGAATGATAAAAAGGTTGCCCATATCCCTACAGAGATGATTTTGTGGTTAAGTTGTACCTGTAGTTCAAATTTTGTTACCTCACACATTTGCCGTAAGCATCCACAAATGTTACAAAATTCAAAATTTAATTGATGGTAACTTTGCTTTCACGCAAGTGTGCCCTCTCTTTCGTCCTAAGAAAAGTTATTGTCCTTCTTCTGCCGAATACCAAACCTGTAAACACTAGGCTCATCTATTTAGTAAGACAAATTTCTAAACAGATTTAAACCAAAGCCAACCTTTATTTCCACTTGGTTGAAGGTTTTTCCGTTGTAAACACCCACCATGCTACCAATCATCTCAGGAAGAATGATCATGTTCCTTAGATGTGTCTTTACAACCTCAGGTTTCTCCATTGGAGCAGCCTCTTTCTTCGCTTTTCTCAACCGCTTCATGAGGTGAACCGGTTTCCTCTTAAGTCCCCGTGAAAATCGTCGCCTGGCCCGGCAGTGAACCAGTTCCATAAGGTGGTCATGAGATAAGTCGAGAAGCTGATCGAGATCAACGCCACGGAAGGTGAATTTGCGAAAAGTCCTCTTCTTCTTCGGCTGTTCTTGTTCAGCCTACAACAATCAAGCACATTCCGTTCGTTATCCGCAGGGTTTGTAATAGAAATCTCTCTTACCATACAAATAAAGCATTGAATGGAAGAGCAACCCCTGATTGAACTGAAAAAGAAAATAAGGAAGGACGATGAAAGAGGATAGAATCGGGGAATACTGACCATGTCGCCTTATGTTTGGAAGCGAAGGAAAAAAGGACAACATTTAATTAGGACCCAACTCTTCACGGTGGAGATAACAGATTCCAGTATTCTCGTTCAGCGGTAACTGCAATTTGAAGATAATTATTCATGTAACAAGAGGGAGCAGTCCCTTGCGATCCTTCATTCGAACCAAGAATTGTGGCGTGACTGCAAACTATAGGCTCCGCAGGATAAGGGTCAAACACGATATAAACGCCATTTTATGCCATAATTTATCACTAAATTTAAATTTTAATCAAAATTTCGCTCAAAAATGCATTGACTAATCGTTAATTAACGGCATCAACAAAATGGTGGCGTAGCGTAAAACCAGGACAATAAGTAATGGTAATAGGACTGAGTGGAGTTCAATTCTTTGTGTCGTTGCTTTTTCACGAGGGAGGCGTAAATTGTTTAATGTGTTATGACTGGTTGATTTAAACTGCAACTTTGAATGTGATTGGTTGATATAATCTACGACTTTGAATGTGATTGGCTTATTGAACTCTCCGATGACAAACTATCCGATGACAACTTGGGGTGGAAACTAGGAGTTTCTTAAATCAGTCACAATTGAGAAAATTGTGATCTTTATGATTAAGCTCATAACGATACATGGTATCCTGTTATCTTATAGTTGGACCCTTAGGTCATTAGCAAGCAAGTGACTTGCGTATCGTTTGCGTTTAATATTTGCCCAATAAAACAGTCTTACTGAGGAAGAAAGATAATTTGCATTGCGTAGAGGAAATTTAAACTCTAAATTTAAAAGTGCTGAAATTGATATAGACCGATCTAGGGAGATAAAAATGGAAAAAATTTTACTTCAGATTTTATTCTTAGTTTTATTTGTGTCGTTGTGCTTCAAGAGACCGTTAAACACGGGTGAATACCATACAAACAGGGCGTTAGGACTCAGTCAATAGTTATTACAGATTAATCTTCTCAGTTGTGTCGACTTCGTCGAATTCTGTGATATTTTCGTCCACCTTCGAGTTAAAAAGTGTTCTCCTCGACAGAAAACGACCTCTCGAAAAATCAAACAGGAAAGAGAAATATTCTTTGATAATACAAGGTATTTCCCCTTGGCCTGATCGATAGTTCAAAAAGTTGACTTTTTAAAATTTTTTGCTTGAAGAGATGACATGAGATTAACTATTTGTGCGATATATAGACTGCAAATGTTTTATTAATGAAAGATATCTCTATATCACCAGAGGAAAAACAGCAGGAGATAATCAATTAAAAAGTAGTGTATAGAATCTTATTCCAAATTAACGAAAAGGGACCTTCTCTTACAATTAATTGATCAACATGGGGGCCAAAATCAAGTTCTAATGTAGATTTGGTGGTAGCATGATGTATTAGTCGGCATTGTTTGACATAAGATTTTACAGGCTTTACACCTGGAGAACATCTGCAAGTTGAAATTACAATCCAACAAGGCTCCTTCAAATGCGGCTCAAAAAAAATTTCTTGTACCGGCAGTGAAATCGACAGAGGTCAATATTTTTAAAGCTCGCTTTTCCTTTGCATTGGGACGTTGACAAGGTAACAAGGTATTTAGAAAGCGATCCTGATATAGGGGAGAGCAAATGACACTATTTCTCCTTAACAGTGACTTGTTGTCAAAAGAAAAGCAGGCTTTGATTTGCATATAAAGCAAACACTACCAAGGATTCCTTTTCAATTAGGATCGAGTGCACCCAGTTTTCAAATAAGTTTATATCAAAATCAGACATTCTCAAAAATGCCCTTCATGTGAGGTCTTTGAAGAGAAAAACTTGTAATTTCAGTAATATGGTGGGTTTTGTTTTCTAGCGCACTTTGGATGCTTCCAAATTAACTTGCCATAATCCATCACAAAATAGTGCCTTCGGCGCTCCAATTGTATGTTCTCCTGATTACACTTGGTTGCGGAAAATGTGTAAAAAAGTATTACTCTATTAATTGATCTCGTTTATCCTACCTGTCATTTTAATAAGTCTCCATAGTTTTTTTCCCAGACTTTCGAGATGACTCAGAGATATAACATAACCTTTCATGCAGTAAAATCAAATAATGATGTCGTCAAATTTGAGGAGTCTTTGGACCCTTACTCTGCATTCCGGAGAGCATCCGAGGACTCCACAGTCCCTGATCAACCTCTTTGGGGTCTTTTAGTGTGGCAAGTCGTTGGCATCTTTTTGCTTGGTCTCATTTTGATATGTAGGTACTTTTAATTTTGAGTTTGTTATAAATTTTGAAGAACCTTTTCCTTTTTAAAAACCTATTCTATCTATTCAATCTTGTATAAGCTGGAGAAAACAAGCCATTTGGAAAACGACAACACCGAGCCGGTAATGTCTGAAAAAAAACTACTTTCATTTACATAACGCACTTTCGTTCAATATCAATCGTTGCCTAAAAAATGACCTAAAATGGCTGTTATTGTATTGCTTTTCCCAAAATTAATCAAGGGAAAATATAATGTAAGGCTTCACGGCTTGGATTGTTTATTGTAGGTGCCGTGTCTTGTTATTGCTGCGAACGTTACTCAGTAAGGATTCCAAAGACTAAGACAGAAGCTAACTTGGCTGAACACGATCAAAAGCTTTCCGCCTTGGATGAGTTCTCAAGAGTAAAATACGACAAAAGAAGACTGAGCGGCGAGTCTGAACTGCTGCTTTAACTGCTAAGAGAAAGACTGGAACATTGATTAACCTCGACATTGTGAACTGAACAGTTTGGAGTTTGTTAGTTTTGTGGCTGGTGGGTTCATTGGCGTAAATAAGGATATTGTTTCTTGTCTGTGAAGAAAGGTGAAGGTCTGTTGCCGTGTCCTTAAAACAATTTCAATGGCAAACGAGGTGTTTTGCTCAAAATTAAGCATCATGTAATCGCTCTTTTCTCGAGTAACCTCGTAAAATCTACCATTAGACTCGATCTTGAATGGTAAGGTTTCAGTTAAAAAAATATACATTTGGTCAGAGACTGAGGCTGTGTGGAAGGGTGAGAAGTCAGCTTCTAGGGGGTGTTAATGTAAAATAAAGTAAAATTACACCCAGTGTACTCCGAAAATGACACCTTATGGGCTTCTGTCAAAAAGACAATTCCATAAAAAAATTTGCAAATGTCAGAGAAATAGTTGCTCCAAGTGCAATGACCATTCTTTGAATTGTCTATTTTAGAGTATAGACGCCCTTTTTCCCCTTCCCTTCAACGGCATGGTCTTCCTTTCGGAAGACAATTTATTCTATTTCAAGCAATGTAACGCCGTTACGTGTCATTTGTTTCGCTGGGTCTTAAAATGATATTTGGGTAATAATATTTCCCACGGCATACACAGCAGAATACTCCCGTAAAACAGCAAAGTTTCTTAAAGGGTCGCAAATATGAGGGGAAACAATGAATAAAAATACAAATAAAAAATTTTCTGTTAAGATCTTGATAAAAAAAAAATAACTTCAGCTTTAAAGATCCTGTTCCGGACCCCCTCAAAATCCCTAGTTAAATATTAGTTCACATGTACGAAATGTCACCCTGGTTACTTTGGTGAGACAGTTCGCCATTTTTCCATTAGGTTGAAAAAACATCTATTGACAGACACAACTTCACATGTTCACAGCGACTTGTGTAACTTTCCCAGTTGTAAGCAAACATGTTCAGCTGAGTGCTTTTAAGATTCTCAACTTAGTCCACTACTTATTGTCTTAGATCAAACCTGGGAGGTACTGTATATTCTGATTGTACAGATGCAACATAATTGTAATTATTTCTTGAAATAGATTAACCTCCCCAAGGTTTCACCTGCGCGCGCATGTTAAGTCAGAAGGTCTTCAATAGATTTTTCGGGATCCAGGATCGGGCTTATTTAAAGGCCAGGATCTGGGAATTTAAAGTAAGAAGGGACTCGGCGATTTTGAGAAGCGAGATTCGGGAAATAATCACATAAACGAACCGAGAACCGGGATGTCAGAGAATTTACGAAGGAATTGATCCACTCAGTCATGAAAAGCAGCAGGCATAGAGGCTCTCTAGCATTCACGGGGCGGTCGGGCTGCTCAATGACACTCTTCAGTTCAGTATTGCGCGGGAATGAAAGTTATATTAGAAGCGAAGTTGTCAATTTATCAAAAATCCTCAATGGCCTACAAGGTAACGTGGTTTAAGACTACTGCGTCAACTAAAATGCTTAACGGCGTTGAAAAACCTCCAGCAAGTCTCAGAATTATACCGATACGATGCTCTTAACTCGTTTAGTTATATGACACTAGATGTGAAGAATATTCACTTGGTTGTGTATCACAAAGATAAACTTTTCACGGTGTTAGACTACCCAAGAAACTCTGGAAATGTTGCCTAAAAAGGCTTAATGAAGACAACCCATTTTTCTTTATCTCCGTTGTTATGGAACTATGGGATTGCTGTGACCTTTTGTGTTTTCTGCACTTGTTGAACTTGTCATTCGTTTCTTTGATACTGATGTACCTGTGCCTATACGTTTGTAAGTTTAATGACTAGACTTACCGTGACTAGCTTTCGTTATTAGGGCAAAACTTTGAAAACTTCTTACATTAACAATATTATCATTTTGGTGAAAAGAGATAAACTCACGCCTTACGGTGACAACAGACTTCAACGGATCAATGCTGGTTAAGAAAATCATCACCCACCGGAAAGGCCCTTCTAAGTTTAGGAAATGGGTTAGGACAAAATTGTATGATCGGGATCGGGATTGGCCGGTATGAACCATTGCGATTACGGGATTGAGAGAAAATTTAAGTCGGGATCGCGGGATTGAAGAACCCTAATTGGAGACCCTCCAGTTAACCTAATTTGAATGAAACGTGTAAAGACAAAGTAAACAGTTACAACGCATTAAAATTATGATGGTACGGGTCATGTCCAACATTTCGTTAAAAATTTTTACCATGAGTTTGAAATATAGTTCGAAAAATATTGTTGCAGTACACTTTCTTTGTTTACCTTAATTGAAAAAATATAAATGCTTCTTCTTCCATCATCTGCCCCATCAAGCTCTCGGCGCACTCCTTCTGGGACACGATTTGGAAACTTACACTAAAGAGTGATTGGAGATAACTTTCACCGCTGGTTTTCACTTCAGCAACAAAATGGCGGAGTTCCAGCGCCTGGGGGTCCGCAAGTTCCCTAAAATCGCTACTCGTCAGACAAGCGAAACAAGATATTGGAAAAAACTTAGCGTAAGAAATAAGCTCATCCTTACTCCGGAGCGAATCTAAAAATGGTGTTATTGCATTGGAGATTTTATTTGTTTTTCAGTTTCCCATTATCGTCAAGGAGTACGGTACAGTTAGCCACGTGGATTTCTGTAGATCAAAGCCCCACGATTTTATCGCTACTTGCTCGTCACGTGTGAGTATGATTTTGCTGCGTAATTACGAAGCAATTACAGAATTTTTAAGGCATTTTGTTGTGTTCAGTGTTGGTAAGTTATAGTTACGATCCCTAGCTCATGGGGTCTTGAGTTATATGTAACCGTTGCGACATGCAGTAGAAAATGTCAGGCGTACGAGAAATGACAAGGAAAACGGAAAGCAGTTCGAGCCAACGGGGATTCCAAGAATGCAGATAGCAAATAACTGAGAAATGCTCTTAGGGAAAATTTAAGCGAGATCGTGCGAGCGAGGTTTTATCATAGCAGTGTGGCTTTATTACCATGTACTAATGATCAGTGATGTCAATTCATCCAATGCAACCCACAGGTAAACCTTATCCTTGTTATGAACAGCTAACTTCAATCACAATTTTACAAATTAGCTATTAGTGTTAATTTACATTATCTAATCATTTGAGTGTTCTATTACAGATCCAAATTTACAGTTCCAGCACAAACCAAGTCAACAAATCATTCTCAAATTTTAAGGAAAAAGTTTACTGTGGTAGTTTTCGTAATGATGGGAAATTGATAGTTGCTGGAAGAGAGAATGGCTCAGTGCAGGTATTTACAAGATGTGCCCAAAAGTCTGCCTTTGTTTTGTTTCCAAAGTTGAGGTCTGATGTATCACACACTCAGTACATTAAAAGTAAGAGAGTAACAATCAAATCCTCAGCATTGCAGATGTAAAATAACCTGGCCTCTCCAGCTCAAAACTAGTAAGGATTCTGAAAAATTTGCATTGACAAAGGACTTCTCAGTAGGGTTGGCATCAAATGGGGTTAATGACTGGTTGTTAAAAATTTGTTAGATTAACTTACTTGAGGATATGTCAGTTGAGTTAAAGAGCTTTAAGTTGATTGGAAACTGGTCACATATTGCTTCCTTTTACTGGTTCATGCTTAATTGGCATTGTCTTCTTAAACAACCTTATTTTGTTTGATAAGGTGTCCAAGGGAAGGTAAAAGAGGGTTTTCTTTCCTTCCAATTACCAGTAAATTGTTTGTGAGCCCAGATTCAAGTTAATGTCAGGGATTTCAAAGGATTTCTTAAGAAGCTGAAATTTTGGCTAGGGATAGTATGGTAGAATTAGAATTTTTGAATGAAATTTTCCTTAAGGATCATTCTTATATTCACTGTAATTTTGTCTTTTTAAGAAGGGAGGAGAAGAACTTAAACATAGAATCTTTGAAATTTCAAAAATCAAACCCATGATTTTATTTATATTTCAGCTATTTGATGTCAACAGTAGAGCTGTTTTGAGAGAATTTAAGGGGCATACTAGGTAACATATAAAATATTTTATAAGATTGATTTTCACTCCCTATATTTGGTGCAATATCAGTGACAAGGGGGAGCATATCCTCAGATCCCCCTAGTTTGAAGTGCCTTTGTTGCTCAATATTTTCTACTTTTCTGTATAAAAGATCTCACACTACACCCCTGGTTTTAAAGAAGATTTCTACTTCGGAAAGAAATCTGAATAAGTAAATAATGTGATAACCAGCCAAACAATAATATACAATAATGCTCCACTAGCACTGATGAACTAAATGCTCAAAGATACTAATGGTTTAACAATTCATAAAAGTTAGCACAGTAAATATTTCTAGAATGTGATTGTGTTGCAGAAAACAAGCTAGTCAGGTACGAGGAAACTTAATTGTATGCAGATACCCGGGTTTTTATAAGAAATTAAGTAGCTGGGGGATTGTGTTGTATAACTGGAAAATACATGTATTCTTGACATCTGAGTGAAATTTAGAGGAGGGCATTGACATTGAACTAATAATTCTTGACAGTGGTCAGAGAACCCTCTGACTTTTAATGCTAATTTAACCACTTGAGTCTTCTACAGTTTTTCTTGCATTTCCTGATGTCTGATATCATTTTTTATAACACAATAAACTCTTTAGAGGAATTTCACATGTTCATGGTGCTCTGAGTTTGACATTTAGAGAAAACTAAGGAATTTACTTTGATATCTTATGTTTAGTTTGGATATTTCAGTCATTTGTGGACAAAATTACAACATCACAATACAGTTTATAACAAAGTTAAGCAGCTTTTCTGTGTGAAATTCTGAGCTGTTTCATGTTCGATCTGAACAATAGTTTTTTCCTTGGTGTTTTTTTCTTCAGCTCAGTTCAGGTTACCAAGTTTATGTTGGACAACTTGCATGTGATGTCTGGCTCTGATGATCGGTCTGTAGTGTGTTGGGATATAGCAACTGGGCAAAGTATAACAACATTTAAGGAACATGAGGTAAACCTGCCCATGGTTATTGAATTATTAATATAAAGAAACTTACAGTTAGTACATAATTTTTCATTATTCTGATGAAATTGTGTTTAAAAGCAATTTTGAACATACAGCATTGTGAAAGGATGTTGTGGAAGAGTGTTTTGTTTTTCAAATATTTGAACAGTTACAGAGCTATAGTCATTGGACTTAAAATAGCTGTTTATTGTAAAATTAATAGAGACCTTAGTCATGATAACAATCCCTGTTTGTTATGCTTTGGCAGGATTATGTACGCTGTGGTGTTTCTAGCCAGAGCAGTAAGGACCTCTTTGTTACAGGTATTCTTAATTTTTTTTTCAAGCTTTTAGACAAGTACGAATTGTGTGTAATGGGTAACATAACATCCTAGTTATCAACAGTGCTTAAATTACATGTGGACAGGTAATTGGTATGGTTTTTACATGTGACTTGCTATTAAATGAGAAGATGGCTATAAATCCTGTCAAAAACAAATCAAAACAAATCTTTTGACTCCTTTTGTACCAGCCCATTTTAGTTGTTGATTACTCCAAGTTGTTTTTATTTTCAAATGTTACCATAGGGAAATCTTTGTTTGTGTATTTATTGATTACAACCAAAACAGTTTTTAAAAAATTTCAGTGTTGTTTGCTATCATGTTATTATCATATGCTTTGTGATAGGTGCCTATGACCACTGGCTCAAGGTATGGGATGCACGCAGCCAGGGTAGTGTTTTATCTATGGATCATGGCTCTCCAGTGGAAAGTGTACAGATCTTTCCAACAGGTGGAATATGTGTGTCAGCTGGTGAGTGAAATAACCAGCACATATGACTGTAAATGAGTATGGAAATTAATTTTAGGTCAAAATGGTTTCTAACTATTTTCATTTGTTGATGTTTTTTTATTTTATGTCAAATATATTACAACATTCCTCAAGTGAAGAAAAGCATAAGTTATTAAACTGCAGTCGAACCTTTGCTAAGTGACCACCCAAAATGGGTGGTTACTTGCACGGGAGATGGCTGCTTACCAGAGGGCAGCTGATATGGGGTCTGTATTTTGGGTAATTTGCATGTGGTAACCAGGCCCTTTCACCTGCGCTTATTGAAACCCATAGTGATAACTTTTAGCAGCTTATTCAAGAAAGAAATTTTGGTATCTATGGCAATTGTTCTGTATCTCAAAAATTAAGTAATACAGCATCTATGAAAATGCATGTGAAAGAAAATTGGCTTGTTTGTTACCCCAGGTTACGACATTTATTGAAGCAATTTCAAGTTTTTGCTTGTGAGAGATAAAATTGTTTGTTTGTGATATGATCACCTATGGAAGGTTAACAACAATTGAAAATTGTAAACAAGCATCTCATGGTCACTTAGGAGGGTTGGTTGCCTAGGAAAGGTGGTTACATTGAGGTTTGGTATTTTGAAAAAGTTCTCGCTTACAAGAGGTGGTTGCAGAGGGAAATTCAACTGTAGTTTGATCGTAACCTGATATCTATATAAATTACAACTTATTTTCTTAGTGGACTGAATTATTTATATTAGACAATGCAGCACATGTTAATTTTTTTGCAACTCAGGTGGAGTGGTTATTTGAGTGCAGTTCTTTCTTGTGAGTGGCTTTTGAAATTTTTTACACTTTTCTGAAAAGTGATATGAAGGGTATATCGGGAGTAAAATAGATACAGATTACCAAGTTATCATTCACTGTGTCATTCTTGTGAGAAAACAGGCTTGTCCTTCACTTTGGAACACTGCTCTCTTATGATCTGAGTCCAAGAGTAAATTGGAACAGAAAATAATTTACTATATCTATTTTGGATTGGAAACATTATGTTGCAGGAAAGTAAGTTTCCAAGGCTGTTATAGACAAAGTTATACCCAACTCTCTCTAAGAATACAGCAGTTATTCAAAGGTGCTTACCATCACTTTTGCTCTTACATGCACTTGGAGGGTGCTCTTAAAGCTTAAAACTTAAAGCGTTTTATTTAGGAGTAGTTTTGTCAGCATTGAATACAAATGTTTGTGCCCACTTTTTGCCTCATAACTGAAGCATTGTACTGAATACTGTACTCAATACAAGATAGAATGAGCTCAGAGCCACCTAAGATATGAATTGAGAGATGATTTTAAGCCAAAGTGTTGGCAAGTTGGGGGGGGGGGGTATAGTTAAGGTGTTTTCTCCATATTGTAATTCTCCTTTCAACAGGTTCTAACATCATCAAAGTTTGGGATATATTAGGAGGTGGAAGACTCCTAGCAGGATTCTCAAACCACCAAAAAACCATTACATCTATTTGCTTTGATGGAGATTATAGACGTCTGTTGTCTGCATCGCTAGACAGGTTTGAAATTTAGTGTGATGTGATACTGTGTACAGAAAGGCTATCCCTGAAATCTATAAAATGGCAGCTGTACATGGTGTAAAAACATTCATGATATGGCTAAGGTGAAAGCAGGCATTACATCATCAGTTTGTTGTTTTGATCAAAAAATTAAAACAGAAATATGGTACATTTATTTTATTTTAAGGTTTTTTTTAATTAAACACCTCTTTTGCTCAATTGGATCAAAAACTATTTCAGTGAACTTTCAGCCTGCAGGTAACAATAATTGGTTATACTTGGTTGTTTTGAGAATCAGCCTTATGTGTACAAGATTTTGTGAAACCATTTGATTTCTTGTCTTACTTGATTCTTGGACAGGGTAGCTCATGGTATTTTTATCTCCTTTAGGCATGTTAAAATTTACGATATTCAAGATTATACAGTTGTTCACAGCATGGATTATCCATCACCTATCCTTAGCCTTGCTGTTTCAGTAAGTTTCTGATGGATAATTGTTAACCAAGGTCATCAGTTTTAAAAATTTGCAATTGAGCATGGATCACTCTTGAGGACAAGGAAGATGTAATCTGCTTTTCACTGCTGTTTGTGGTCCACAAACTGTGATTAAGTGGCTGGAATTGTATGTTCTATAAAACCTTAGTGTTGAAGGGAAGTGTACACCTTGCTTCTTGTAGTACCTTTGGAAATGGGACATATTTAGCATTTTTTAACTAGTTGTTTGTACACTTGCTGCTTTCAAAGTTTTGACAATGTTTTTCAATCTCTCAAGGAGAAAAACTGCATTACAATGTATAAGATAATCCACCAGTCTTTTAGCTGCAATGAATCATCACAGCCTTTTTACAAGTTGTGTATGAAAACTAGATAATGGCCTTTGCTTTTCTTTACAGTAGAACGCCAAAATTGTTTTAGCTGTTGTTTTTGCTGGTATGTTTTAATATTATGTTTATTGCTATTTTATACCCTTGTTTGTTTACAATTATAATAGCCTGGCAATACACATGTCGTGGCTGGTATGGCAAATGGGTACCTGTCCATAAAATATCGAATAAAACAAGGAGTGCAAGATCAAGTCCAAACAGCCAAGAAGCTAACAGCTGGAACCTATCGTTACTTCGTACGTGGCAAAAAATTCCAGCCTGATAAGGTACAATGTGCACGTTTGCACAATTTATATAGTTTCCTTAAACTGGTGTATCATAATACAATAAAAAAGGAACTTTTTCTGGCATCATCAAACAGAAGTTAGTGCATAGCTTATTTTTCCTGATAAATCTTTCATTGCTCTTCTCATAAAGAAAGAATTTAAATTGAAGCTAGCTAAATATGCGAGGAAGATTCCAGCGTAACTAATACCTTGAATCGATTTTATGAAAAGAATCAACCTGAAATTTAACATAATTAAAATGTTTTGGTTACTTCTTGTTCTCTATGTTTTTCATTCGGGGTTGAAAAGACGGTTACGCTCATCTGCTACTGTGACTCTAGCCATACCGACTTTAAGTGACCATAGTGATCAAAATCTGAACCCACTCTTAGACCTAAAAGACGATAGATATTTTTATACATATGTTTAGAAGTTGTAGGGGATCCCTTGCACACCCTATGCCAGGGGAGTTTTGCAAATAATTGTGGGAAAATAAATTCAGAATTTTGGCTGCTGACTGCCTAAGATGAGGTCCGCTTAATATGGGTTTCATTATGTCCTATTTCTTAATTAATTAATTTTTTCATTTAACTTCTACATCGTTTCAGGGAGATTTTGTTGTGTCAGCACAAAGGAAACACAAGTTGAAGGAACATGACCAATTGTTAAAAACGTTTCAGTACTCAAAGGCTCTTGATTCCGTTCTGAGGAAGGTTGGTTTAAGCTTTTCATTGCAAAGGATCTGTTTTACTTTTTTGTCTTTTTCTACTTTTAATAAGTATTTCAGATGTCCAGCTGTCTTTTAAAATGGGTCCTGGTTCTGAGAGAAAGTATGATACATATGCATACATGGTTTGTTACTCAGTTTAACTGTTATAAACATTTTTTTTGACAGCCTTCCTATTGTCGCACTCCACTTCTTGTCAGTCTTCTCCAAGAGTTAATACGGCGAAAGGGTCTGAAGAGAGCACTGGCGGGGAGGGACGAGGATGGCTTGGTTCCTATTCTAGAGTTCATCACAAGGTACTAATAGTGTGCTAGATACTTTGTAATCAGTTTTTGTACCTTAACTGTGTATAATAGTCGTTAAATGTATTACTAACATTTTGACACGGTTAACCTCGTAAATCTTTCGCGGTTTTTGTTTAAAAGTTAATCACCATTGTTTCAAGTAAATTGACTTGTATCCACGCAGTTAAGCTGTTTATGAGTTAATGACGTGAGTTAACCAGTGAGGACGAGATAAATTTTTATGAAATACCATGTATTTCTTGACTGATTGAGAGGACTGGAAGGAAAGATATTTGCCGCGAGGTCATGATGCCAGGACTGCACATTATCTAGAAATTTATGACTTGGTGCTGTGTTATTCATGGAACGACAGACGTCAGCTAACATCATATATCTCCTTACAGATATGTTAGTAATCCGCGGTATACAGTTCTTCTTATCGATGTCACAAATGCAGTTCTTGGTAAGCTTCAGTTTTGTCCTTTTTTGTCCTTTTCTTATCAGTATAGTGTATTTGTTAACTAGGCCATCTAATTTTCCTGAAGTGCTCGGTGTTTGCGTCCTAAAAGCGTTCTGAGGTTGACAGGTAAATACGCATCGCTTTTGGTAATTACCAACCTTTCACCACTTAAACCTCTCTAAGGAAACTGAAACTTTGACACGTACAGAAGGGGAAACCGTTAACCTTTTGAAAACGAATAGTATTTGTTCTGCAAGGACTGACTTGAAAGTTGAAAACTAGACAGTTTTGAATGTTTTAATCTGCATTAAAGTATGTTAACATACTTTAAGATACGTTCCAATGATCGTGGGTGAAATGAACTTATGGATAAGAATTTTCATTCCATGACAGACTTCTCAGGAGCTTACTTTCTGGTCTTTAGATATCTACGGACCTGTGTTTGGTCAGTCGGCAAAAGTGGATCAACTATTCTCCAGGTTAAAAGACAAGATTGGCAGTGAAATTCATTTCCAGCAGAAATCTTTCGAGTTGCTTGGAAGTTTAGATATTTTGTTTGCAGCAGCCATTTCTACTTCATCATTTACAACCGATCTAGACGAAGGAGAGTAACCATCATATGCCTACCAGTACCTAAATGAATGAGGAGACCTGCAGGCGAATACTTAAAAACACGTAAATGTTAAGAGAGCTTATAGGAACACACGCCATATGTAAATTATTGTACAGAAACTATTTTATTAAAATTGTCAGTGAAAAAAAAAAAGAGAAAAGGAAAAACGCACCTAAAACAAAACAAAAAAAATTATAATAAAAGAAACCATTCTCTTGACGAATATGTTGAATTACGTTAGAATATTTAACAGACTGACTGACTGAGATAACGGTAACTTCACAATCATTTCAGTTCGATCTGTTGCTCTTACAAAATGTAATTCTTTCCAAATGTTCATTTTGATAGCAAAGTAAAACGAACTGTAAAAATTTGAAATTACTTTAACTTAAACTTCTGTTCCCTCGCTCACCCTCCCCGCTTTCCTGGCTCTAACCTATCTTTAATCGCATCGTTTTAGCTTTTATTGTGTATGTAGAGCCCCACTGAAATCCGCCTTGGCGAGTTGGGTTCCCTTGTTAGATATTATTACGGTTTTCTTTATTATTACTGATATATGTAGGAAGCCACAAAATCAAATCGTACATCGGAATTGATTGATGTACTGTAGAAAAAAGTACGAGTTGTCAATTTTAAAAGCTTCAGGATTCAGTTTCGAATCGTTCAAAGTGTCTTGTAATTCATCCACTGAAATTGACTGCACACTTGTTCCTCTTTCCGCTGTCCCCTAAAATTGACTAGTTCGAGGGTTAAGGCTCACACCTACCATAGATAACAGGGGCAGCTTACAATTTTTAGTTCTCTTGATTGCGTGAACTTTTAAACAAGTATTTATTTGAGGAGAAATCGCGCTGGAATTTTTCAAATTGTCAGCGATGTTTATTTTATAGTACTTGCTAGGGCAAAAACCAAAGCGTAGCTTTCTGCCCACTTTCAGCCAAACTACAAGAAAGACATGAATGGCAAGTTTTATACATTCAACTTTGAATTAATAAAGAAAAGACTGAAAACATATCTCAGTATTCAACTTCATTGACCATGTCATGTATCAAGTTAACGTAATTTTGATGAATGTCGGGTTGTCGAAATGACCGATATTGTCGCCGAGTTAACTGATGTTAGAGAGTAAGTTTCTGAAGAAGCTGTGGTGTTGCGCCAGTGGGGGGATATAACTAAAGAAGCTAAAAACGTCCACTTAGAAACTCTTTACAGTGGCCAATTGATGGTGGTCAATTTACATTATCAACACAGTTGATTAAGCCAAATTACTATGTCTATTTGTTAGCGATTAGAACATTTTCGAGCTCTGATTGGTCGAGGATTGCGATATCTCTCGCCATAATCACTTTATTATATTATTATTAAACAGTAGTCACTTCGTCTTCCACAGTCTCGAAGTAGAGGACGTTAGGCATAGCACAGCCTCTTGGGGGTGTCCGTTGAAGTTTGTGTTGCAAACAGTGTTGGAATAACCGTGACAGTAAGGCATCAAATAGACTACGGCAAGAAGTACAGATCACTAGCTTTCTCGTCGCGTAACAAGTGTTATGGGCATTCAGTAAAATAACAACACATGAACATCTTTGTTGGTAAAACATCCATTGGCCGTTTTTTATCAAGAGTAGACTCTAAGAGTCTCCCCAGAATCGAAACGTTAATCGCTTTAAACATATTTATTCGATTTAAGTCTTCTTTTCGGTGTCCTGATTTTCGCGCACATTGACGTATAGAAAAAGCCCTCATATACCAACGATAGGGGATATGTATTCTCCAATCCTTTTCCTCTAGCAAATTTCGGCTCTTTTCGATATAGAAGACACAGTTAACGTAAAACAATAGAGAATAAAAAGGCGAAAACAGTAGGTTAATGAGGCGGCATTCTATAGTGACGCTGTCTTCAACACCAAGGAAGAGCCCAAATTTCGGATCCGTCTTAATCCTCTTGCTTCTAGTTCGGTTAATTTAGATCCCCTGAGAATCCCGAGACATTCTTCGCAGGGGTTGCAAACTTATCGTTCGTTTGATTAACCCAACTAGGGGCTGCTTAAACACCACTCACGACGCATGAAAGAGGTTCTTCGTCATGTCATGAATGTGGGATGTTAAAAGAAAATCTTAGTTCCAAAGAGGAATCTAACTAATTCCCCACATCGATGCCCTACAGAGACATGGGCGCGGAATGCGAACATCCAGAGATCAGTTCTTCGTTGGGACTCGGATTGTTTTCTTTGTCCTGAGGTCGCGACAAAGCGAAAAAGAAACCATTCTTTGTGCCCCTATTTTCCCACTAACGACTTCTTTTCAATTCCCCATTGTCGATTCCGATCATATGACGCTTTCCCGGATCTCATGAAGAAAATTTTTATTCATGTTAGATGACCAGTCGCCTCACTGTGCATTTAAATCTTACTCTACACAAAATGAATAAACCCTGTCAAATTGAGGTGTGTGTATTGAGGTAAGGTGCTTCAGTTTTTTTCAGGCCTTGCTCCCACCTGTTTAAACATATATCTAACGGGGAAAGTACAGTCTAAAATGTATGCCCACTTCTCCCGGCACAACCCTGTCGGCGGAGAACTATGCTCCTTTTTCACTGACTGAAAGTCGTAAATAATACTGCAGTAAATGAAAACCGCAAAAATTTTTTATTGATCACCTCACAGAAGATAAGCAATATGATAACGTCAATTAAATGGTAAACTGGGTTCTCAAATGTCCTGTTTGTTGATTTCAAGTTCACTCTGAATTTTTTTTCAACCTGTTCAAAAAAGTGCCTTGTTTATCTCAGATCAACATTTCGTTCATAATTAAAGGTAATGAGCGAATTTATGCAGAAAAAACGACTACAAGAATTCTTCACAACCGAAGTAAGTTAATTAAAATTCCTTGAAATGGAAGTAAAAAAAGAAAAAACAAAACAAAACAAACAATAACTTCGAGGTTAAAATAATTTTTCAGTGGGAAATCCCAGCGCCTTGACCTTCTAAAAAGCTTATTGACCACATCGTTCGTTTCGAGGTTAAGTTTCGAGCGAATGCCATTTTTTTCCTTTTAACTGAAGGGTTTTCGAGCTATCTATCGTCCGTACGGGTGAAATCCACGAGAAACATTGCCTCCCCTTCCAAGACTTTCTCCGCCTCCATAAGGACCTGGACCGTAGCCAGGTTGCTCAGCATTACCAGCAAAGCCACTGTATCCTGAGTCGGAGGAGAAGGATGTCCTAGCAGGACCATAGTTAGACTCCTGTTGTGGGTAGTTCCCCAGGCCTGTCCAACGAAAAATATTGTAAACAGATTTTTTAATATGAGCGGCCCTGTAAATTCTCACAGCTATGACAAAATTTACCATTAACCGTTATCATAAATCCCGCTATCAGTGACTTTTGAGTTTGAACTGATGTTGTGCTGTGTATCACTTCGGCAGATTAAAAATGCGGGAAGGGAGAAGTAGAAACCAACTTGCTAGATAGGAATGGAAGCCAATTGTAAGATCGATATCTTGGAGAGCAGTCTCTAAGGTCTGATGTAAGGTAAACCAACAATCCAAACCTTTTTGTTTACGATTCGCTACCTCTGCTGAGATTAACATGGTTTACGATTAAAGTTGAATGACGCCAAAGTACAGCAGAAACATTTCATAACAAAATCGACTCTATGACACAGACTGAGATCAAAAAACTTTGAACCAAGAGATGAAACCTCAATTTTAACACATAGGTCACTGCATGGTAAGATGGGATAACCCCGCCCTTCCCCCAGTGCGGCCCAAGCCCCATTGCTCACCATAAACTGAGTAGTCTGTGGTAGCAGGGGTCTCTAAGCGAGGCTGGCCACCAGGGGTAGTTGCTGGCATTCCAGCTTGGGGTGTTGCTGCTGACATCTGACTGTAATCTGGATATCCGCCTGACGTTGCGGCCATAGATGCTGCTGATGAAGGTACTGCACTATAGTTTCCATATCCTGTAAAAATAGTTAATTTTAAGTAATGATATCAAGTATAAAGTAAAGAAAAAAAACCTTTATTCTGATAGGTTACGACAAATGCTGTTTTCAGGTAATACAAAGCAGCTTTTTATGACTCAATATGTCATCACTTCAGATACGTGATAACAATTCAGTGTTATTTTTTGGCCTTTTAAGTGAAGGAGAGGCTCCTGATTTGAGCCTCTTCAATGTTTCATTGGAAACTATATTCCAAAATTTGATAAAAACAGATAAAGTCTCAAGAATATGAAATTTTTACTTTCCTGAGAGGCCAGTAAAAAATTAAGAGTCAGTGGCTTGGCAGCAGGCAAAATAACTATTGCATACACCTGGTTAATTGGTACAGACATCAAAACATGAAACAAGGTTTGTTCATTTCCAGAGGAAAAAGTAAAGGAACCAGTAAATGTTACTGACACGAATTTCAAAAAGGAAAATTGTTTTGCTTCTGTTTGATAAAACCTCTGGTACACAAAATCATGCACCAAGTCTGTTTCAAGAATGTAACTACTCACTGTAGGCTTCAACTGAAAACAAAACAGATATGAGAAAATAGGCCAGCTTAGGACAGGACGAGGTGGAGCTAGGAGATCTTTCATTCCTTATGCTCCAGGAGAGCTAAGGCCTTGGGTACCGTCAAGTAGAGTTTAGATGGGCCACATGAGAGTTGCATGCTTGCATCATATATTTTCCCTATCAGCCCTACCTCTTAGTCCATAGGTACATAGCATTTGCAATAATCCTTCTTTTTATATTATATCAGCATACAACATTAACAGATTCTTACCAGGAGTGGCAACAGAAGTTTGTGCACCATACATGGAAGTCTGGTCATATCCACCTACCACAGCAAAATTGTAAAGTAAATAGAGGTGTTAATGCTCTATTGCTTTCAGTTGCATGAGGCAAAGATTTGAAATGCTCCTACAGGGAACATTAACCATAACCCTTATTTTACGTTTGATATCAGGAAATTGTTCATTAATCATAGCAAAGATTTGAATAGTTTAAAACTGTTTGTACATAGTACATGTAAAGAGCAGTCATTTAGGGTATGTTAGTGGGAAAATGGAGGGGTTATATTACCTTGAGGAGTTACTTTTGCAACTATCAATTTAAAATGTTTCTTTGGAATAAACTTGGAAGGAACTATTTTCCAAATTGGTTCTCTGTGATAAACAGAAGGGCATCTACTGAATTGATGAGATACTCTCTTCCGTTTTTTACATATAACTTGCATTTTTTTCAATTCATGCTTTGAAATGATAGAAATGTGATGAATTTGATTTAGTTTTCCTGGTTCACATCTTAATATATTGGACATGGGTTGTCTTACCTAACAACTTCAGTGCTTTCAATAGGATTTGAACAAAATGGCTACCTTGGTAAAGCACCCATCAGAGAATAATACGAAAAAAATTCCCCTCTCATCATTCCATTACTTCTATTCAGAATGAACTGCCTTCAAACAGAGTTTTCCATGTCCGACTTCTGTAGATGATCATTAAATATTTGTCTTCTTTTAAACAATCATTTCACTGATGATTTTATTTCTTATCAAAATCTTCCATTTGCTGACATGCACACCTGCTCCCTGAGTTTCACACAAAAAGTCCTCTGAGATGACACATGGTTACTGGTTACCAAAATTTGAGTCAGTATGGTCTTGGAAACTCAAAATCTTTCTTTTGCTGGAAATGTTTGAAATATATGCTGAGATATATGATAAGATAATATCAATCATTTTTATCAAAACTTGTTTATAAGGTAAAAGTTGACTGAAAGAACTCTAAAAGATCTCTACATGTTTTAGGTCTCACTTTGCCAGTTTCTTTGAAAGCTTCCAAAGAATCGCAACAGAATACACTCTGGACCTCTAGCAGGTGCTTGGTCCTATTGAAAGCACTGCAAGTTTAATTTATTTTGTTATCTCTGATTTGACTGCTTCTCGTTCAATGAATTTGTGAGGATTAGGAAAAAAGCTAAGATTGGCAGTGTATCTGGACTTACCATAACCATATCCTGGAGTAACCATGTTGGGTGCCCCAGGATAGCCTTGAGGGATTGCACTATAGCCTGGATAGCCGCGACCCATACCAGGGACTGGAGGAGGCCCACCATACTGACCTTTTAAAAATGTAACAGTTGTTTTCAGTGTCACTGCTTGAGGAAAATGAGCAGGAGTAAAACCCTGTTGCTATTTTCTTCAAGTCAGCCATTAACCCCCCTATTTTAAAGAGAAGAAAAAAAACTGTCCCAAATGATAAGACAATATAACATTCCCAGATGCAGACATGAGTATTTGGCAAAGATATCAAAATGCCATGAATTTCAGCTTTGTAGTATCCTAATAAATAAGCTTCCTTCTAGAAATTTCCATATTTTGTGAGCAATATTTATTTCCTTTCTTGAAATGGTCCCCTGAAAATGAGTGAACAAGAGTCACGAACAGTTGTTTTTGGGACTATGTAGAAAGGTAAGTATGAGCAGGATGAGAGCAGCAAACCCAAAACAAGCTATAAGGACTAGCAGTGGCCTTTAAAAAGAGAGAATTTACTGTTTGAATTATTGAGCTCTATTCCACAGAACCGTAGAAATGATTTTTTCATTCCTTCTTGTGACATTACAGAAGACAATCATTGATTCACACACCACTTTTTGCCAACGCATCATAAAAAGACAAAAATTTTTCGTAGCAGAAAAATCTAAGAGGTGCAATGGGAGTGTTGTGGAAGCTTTGAACAAATATCTTGTCTTTCAGGAGAGAGCATTTTGCCAAATATCACTATAAATTACCAACAAAGCAGTGATGAAAGTAAAAAATACTTTCTCATCTAGGATTCAAGAATAATTCTGACCTTGCATTTGAGGGTAATACTGTGCACTGTTGTACCCACTGTTCATCTGTGCTCCACCCATGCCCATGCTTCCTCCTGGTCCCATTCTAGAATCACGTTGCTCAGCTTTCTTTGCCTCAACCTGAAAGAGAAGGAGAAGTTAGACCATGATAAGAATTATTAAAGGGAACTGACACAAAACAGAAAATTACTATGACTGAAAGGTTGTTAGGGCAGCTCAAAATCCATTGAAAAAGTAGATTAAATTTTAAAAAGAATCCTGACATTTATTATGAAAGAACAATTTCATACATCCATGATACAAATTTGGGTTAATGGAAACTAATGATATTTTTCATCCTGGTCTATCCTTGCAAAAAGGGTGACCTTTACAAAGTAGTTTCATTTAAGACAAAAAGTTTAATGAGGATTCACTGCAATAATTATAAACTTTTAGCAATTTAGGAAAGCAAGCTAGAGAAATTAACTCTACACTTCAACTGAACCAAAGAGGTCAAAAGGGTTTCTGAAAGCTCATAGACACAATAGGACAAATAAAAACAAGCATAAAAATAAGCATAAAAATTTTAAGCTTTCAGTCACTCAAAAAGTGTAGGTAAGCTTATTACAGACTTGTTCAAGATTTGTTGGAGAGAACTTATGACATATTCAATATCATGGTAACCATAACTCTCTAAAGACATACCAGGTACTTTTTTACAGTTACCATAAAAGCTAACTTGGAGACAAATATCTTAAATTAGCATTTTTGATAGGTAGCAGTGTTCTTCACATCCCTGAAAATTTGAAAAAAAATTTGTATCGTGGAAATCTCGATACACTGGAAAAAAACAATTAGTTCGCCACTTTTGCAAATGATGTAATCAGTTACTAGACATATCTTTACCCATCAAAACTAGTTGCACTATGTGGTCTATGGTGAAATATCACATGTACTTTACACTTTTTATTCTTGCTGATATAATTTCCTTATAACTTCACACTCTACAGAGCTATCACTTCAGCTACACAAGAAAAACAATTAATCCCCTTTTCTTCTTATTTTGTACCTAAGGGAAACTGAGAAGTTTTCAGTATTTAATCCAAGTCACAATGGTTAACAATAAATCATTCACCACAAGCATTAAAAAAATATGTAATGCATCAATGTGTCCACTGCTATGGCTACTAAGGTCAGACAATGTGGAAACTATATTAAGACATGAATTTCATTTCTTCAAAGATTGCAAGATTTTTTCAACATTAATTCTAGATGGTTTGTGACTTCAATGACAATTATGGACATCATTGCTTTCCCTTTTCTTTGCTGCCTTTCAGCAACACTCTTAGTAGAAACGTGTACAGTGTGTGCAATGCAAACATTCCTTCTTCTCAAACTTATTACCAAGTTTAATATTCACAGCTTGAGCACAGCTTCTGAGACCTGTTCATAACATACTATATATATATAAGTCAAAAACAAAATACAAGCAATATTTGTTTCCTTGGATTTAAAATTCCTCTCTCTCCCTAAACCATGTAAGGCAAAACAACAGCTGATAGTAGCTTTCTCCATATTTGCAATATTAACAGTTCCATTTTTTGTTTTGATTTGAACGGTATCATTTTAAAATGTTTTAAAATGACAGCAAGTTTTTGGATTTGAAATAGAAACTCTGTACATGTTGCTAAAATAGCATCAATTGAAGTTTTTGACTCAACACATACTACTTCTTACAATTAACGTGAAGTTAACCAATAAAGCAATTAAAAATGATCTTAGAGCAATGCTTAGCAAGGCAAGCAATAGCAATTAGAATAGCAAACCCCATTAAAGGGACAGACCATTACTTATTGGAGGTGAAGGTGTGGGCAGGTAGAAAATAGTTTACATAAACAAAATCACTAAAAATTGCTTGTCAAGGAAAATTCATGTACTCATTTCCAAAATAATAATGATGTGTCCTGTACAGTAAAGTAAAGGCCAAAACAACACACAGAACTGGGCAATTGAATGCACACATTTACACTGTGTATACTATGTATACTAGAACAATGAGTTAAAAAAGCCAAATGAATAAAGTACCAATGCCCAGTGCAACAAAGAAAGTTCACACTTAGATAAAGATTAATATGGAGAAGTCTCTCCAGTCAGCAATACATTAACAAGGGCAATATTTGTGAAGATCTACACTCAAACAACAAGTAAACAATGTAAGTGTTAACTAACATACATGTCAAATACAACACAGTAGGAACTTAAACTGTAACTACACCGTTTTTCCATTGATGTCATGATAATGTATACGGCAAGCCTCCTCTACTGCTTCACTTGACTCAAACGTTACAAAACCAAAGCCTACCATAGTATAGTAATGCGTAAAATAAAGCATATGTTAATTCCTGTAAAGATAACCTGCAGTTAAAGAAAATAATGACAAGCACAATTTAGGAAGTTAAGTATGACAATTAAAGTTTTAAGGGGTAATGTCAAAGTGGAGACTAAGTTAATCTTTGTATAGCCTTGCCAATGACCCCCTTTAAAGTCATGATCACAAACATGCAAGGAAACTATAAGTAGCCTAGCCATAAAAAATATAACAACTTAAATAAACTCCCCCCCTGCCCCCTCCATGGAATCTCTTTCAAATGACCGAAAAAGCCATTTTAATTAGATTTTATATCTGAGGTAAAAATCTCATGACCATGATCACTTAAATGGCTACAGTATTTTTTTCTTTTCCATCTTCAATGAATCATTTCAATTCTTTTCATTTGACAGTGAATAGAAGTTAGATTTACTGGTCTTGGAATAAATAATCTAGTCTACTAATAATGAAACATGTGTCAGAATCACATGGACATATAGAAGCCCTAACTAGCTACTTTAATAAAATACAATTACTAATAACAACAATATAACATGAATCAACAAGGTTTTTCACTTTTGCAGTATTGGTTGCTACTGATGGGTTATATGGAAAAAGCAATTTTAAGATTAAGCAGAAAGGACTATTTACAATCCTAATGGGTAAGCCTATATTTTTGGAAGTTTATCCAGTAACAAAACATAACTCACTGATGTAAAATTCCAGAATCAATTGAGGGTTTCTAATGCTGTGGCAAGGTGCACTTTCGCACAATTGCCATCATATCACATTAGATCTGAATATTTGAGGAAAATTCTGTAATACATAAAAAATCACAACAATTTGGTAGAGAAAACCCTTGACTATAAATTACATCAAATATTTAATAATGTTTAAAGTTTCTTCAAAGATGATTTGCCAGAGAGAAAGAAGCCTTTTAAGATGTCTGAACCCTTGTTTATCATCTTTAGGCTGCCATTTTGACTACTTCAAAGATAAGCAGAGTGGTCAGCAATATGACATTTGTGTAGGATTTCACATCTGAAAGAACTGAACCTGTGATTTTTACTTACACAAAAACAATTTATAACCTTGCATTGCCTTGGTTGTCCCCTTTTGGTTGGTTCAATCAACTTTACATTTACTCTGATGACAATGTAGTGTTGAAAATGTTTGGTGTTTACTTTTAAATTTTTTTTGCCTTGTAAATAGCTCAGTATAGGTTTTGGAAAATACATTTAATGCTTTTTCACCACGTAAACAAATTCAAGGTGCTCTAATTTGGTATTAACCATAAATCTTAATGAAAAAAGAAAACACATACACTACAGTAAATGAATACACTACAAAAGATAGAAAAAAACCAAGCAACTTTTTAAGCTCTAAAATACCCAGCAGAAGAAAATTGTGTAATTCCATGTCTGAAAATTTCTTGTATCCACAAGACACATGAGAAAGAACCAGATGGATGACCCAAACTGACCAATAACTAGTTCTTCTCATAAAAAAAGCCTCTGCCATCTCAAAGGAGTAGAAACATCTCTCATCTGTTCTGAGAGTACTGAGGACAGAAACCAACCACCAGTGCTGAGCCTACCTTCAAGTTCCATCTTTTACAGCTTAACCATACGTAAAAGATCTTTCCTAGCAACTTTAAAACTAGAGTAGGAGACCATGCTAAAATTGCAAGTAGTGTGTTGCTGACCCTTCGAAGGAAGATGATGCCATTTACAGGATTCCAAGTGAATGCAGTGAAGTTTATGTTGGTGAGACTGGAAGACTTATGCAAGAGAGAATTGTGGAGCATAACAGAAACAACTGACTTTAACACAGACCTCTATCATTTCAGAATTTTATGGCCACAAAACTTGACAAAACAACTGACTTAAACACAGACGACCACAATTTTCAGGGTATGCCTGCAAATCTGGACACTGTCTGCTGTGGAACAGAGAAAAGTTTAGTGACTATGATCCCCATTATTATACATGTACATGTAGGGTGAAAGAGGTGAACCACACAAGACTAAACCCTTATAGCAACAAAATGGACAGTGGAATAGAAATCCCAGAAGTATGAATGCCTCCATCACAACTGTTTAAAACTGAACAATCACAGCTAAGCACAATGTTTCATAAGGTGACTTGTATTCAGTAGTCCTTCACACCTAAAGAAGACCAGCAGCAAACAGGCCAAATGTTGCATTCTACATCAGAAGAGATGTCACAAGACAAAGGACTATACTTCACCACCTGTCACACGAGATTACTCACTGCATAACTGACCAGCAGTGCAAATTGTAAGGCCTGAAAATGCCTTTGAAAGTCACTTTCTTAATTTTCTAGTAATTTTCATTTCTGAATAGGTTTGCGTTACTGCTTCATACATAATTAAAGAACTTTAAATTTAAATGATAATGAAAACTTAGGGAAATACAATATGGATCAAGATTATGGTGCTTACACACATCAGGTCTTTAAGATCTACCACTACATCAAAACAACAGAAAGAAATATGTCTCAGAATAAGCATTACAGATGTAAGAGATACAGTTTGTTTCTTATGTTATGAAATGAAATTTATGTACCCTCATTTGATCAATTGATTGATTAATTTTTCAAGGAGAAAATTAGTTTCTTAGTTTATGTATAACTACAATAATCATTACTACACTTAAAATATATTGCTATTACATACTGAAGGTAAAAAATATAACTGAAAAGTTACCTTCACTCTTGTGGCTTTAGTAGCACATTTATCATTGCTGACTAAACTCTTGTAGAGGTTTTAGATATGTACTTACAAGTACTCCTTTACCATCCAGAATCAGTCATATTAGCTTGTTTTAATCTCTCAAATATTAAAACTAAGTCCTATACAGATTCTCGATTTCTTGTGCACAAACAAACACCAGTGCACACTTGACTTCAGATTAAAAGATTTATCCATAGTAAATGAGTTGTAATACTACTTAAGCTTTCACAGGTAAACAAAAACAACTGGCCCGTAGTTGTACCAAAATGAATGCAGTTTGAACCAAGTTTCCTGTATCCTTTCCATTATTTATTTCCTTTGTTACAGTTCATAAAGGTAAATAATTCTACCAAAGAGCTGTAAGCAAATGTAACAAATAAAACATCACCAGTCTGTACACTTACAGTACAATATAGAATGAATCTACTAACCTCGCATTCTGCTATTTTCTTTATCATACATCAGCTTAACATGAACAACCTGATAAAACAAATCAAACTTTGAACATCAACTGCACTCAAAGTTAATATCAAAGAAAACTTCAATTTCAAATGCTGTAACAGTGTAGTCTGATCATCCTGGTGAGAACAGTCCTGTAAAGGACTGTTGTCTGTAGTGATGACTGAGATTTTCACAACCTAGGGGTAATTCATCATCTCAGGTTGTCAAATGTCAGTCACCACTATGAAAAACAGTCATTTTTATGACTATACTGGCCTGGACCCTTAGACTACACAATCATATGTAAACCCTGCATTCCAACCAGCTACTGTGTTTTCAAATGCTGTTGGATTTTTGTCTCATTGACCAGAATATAACAAGGTTTGCAAGGGAGCACTTTATCAATAAGATGATCTTTTTTTTTAATTAATTCTTTACCTTGAAGGAAAAAAACTCTACAATTAAAAGATGAAGTTCCTGTTATTGTCATGATACATGTAGGCCTTGAAAATAAATTAGTGGCCAATAACATAGCCAAAGGTTCAAATGATCAAGAAAGGTAGGTCATAAGAGGGAGCAAAGAACTCTGCAATCTATTCCCGATAGCTGCCTGAAACCTATAGTGTGTACAAGTCATCCTCCCTTTTGATTCTTTGACTGCTATCTTTTGGTTTAGGAGAAGGTTGTTTCTTCTTTACTAAGATCTATATACACTTCACTTCATCAAATCTTAATAAAGTGAGCATATAAGTTTCATCACCTGACACTGCTGCAACCTTAAAAAATCCTTCAACTCAACACCCTTATTGTGGTAACTGGACATTTCGCACAAAATACTTTTTGCACAAGTCTTTTAGCACAAGTTTTGGACCATTAGCACAATTCTTAGTGGTCATTTTGCACAATAATTATAAGTGAGAAACATCAATGTAAAAGGTATACTGATTGACACTGATAAGACATTTCACCTTCACATGTCACTTTCAATAAGATCCAACAGCAAGAACAGACATTTATTTCTGTAATAACTTCAACTAGATCGAAATGCTTGTGAACATGATCACTATTCTTACTTGAATAAAGGAAAGTACAAGTCTCTCTCTCTATGAAAATGTAAAGAACTCCCTACTCAAATGACTACTTCTATAACTTTTCCTTTGTTAAACGAAAAACCTTTTAGTTTTGAAAGCACATCATCCACTACAAACATGCAAACATGATGACCCACACTGAGGACACCATGTTGATTTCGAAAGTAATTGTCACCAGTCTTCCCTCCTTGTGCGATCACCTTCAAACAGCATGTTTTATCGATCTCTAAGAGTTTCAAATAAAGCTAATGAAAACTTGCCTCTTATATCTTCGTTATATAATGACAATAATAAGGCATACTGGTAATATGTACAGCAAAAACAATTCAATGTTAATAACTCAATATTGAGAGAGTGCTTCACATCGAATGTTGGCATGTCCAAGTGTTGCGATTTGACAACTTGAACATGTCAGTGTAGTGACAAACTAGTGATCTTGTAGAAAGACAAGTTCGATCTGTAATCCTTTTAAAGATCGTAAAGTTTCATACATCTATCAAGTAGTAATCCTTTCAAATTATTCTTATAACAATTACCTAAGCGATGAAGAGTTCAGTATCAATCGATAAGCGTCATAGTGACCGTGATGTAAACAAATGATTTCACAAAAGTTTCAAGAATTCAAAATAATTCAAAGATTATAGGCTAGCCGTTCAATAAGTAATCATACAAGCTTAAGATCAAAACAAAGAAAGAAATCTAGATGTATTATAGCTTAAATGAATGTAGGAAAGGGCTAAATTTCTACGAGTCTTGACCGAGTGGTGAGTTGAAATATACATGATTCGTCAGGTAACATGGCCATGACATAGTTGAGATATAGATGTAATTGTTTATCAGAGTTCATCAATTTCATCCAAAATGCAAAGACAAGCAGTATTTAGTGTGTAAGTGACAGATGACTGTCTTCTTGGTAAGTTACTCATCATAGTTCATTACCTTCTTTTTTGTGTGTGTTTGCCAAATTGCGGTCTTTTCATCCAAAAGTTTTTTTATCCAAGTCTGTTCATCTAATTGTTAAGTCTTTTCTCGAAGCAAATAAATCAGCTGCAATTTTATCTGCCAATGAAACTTCTGCACAGCGAGGCAATACTAGTAGAGCTTCAAGTGGCTAACCTCATAAGAATTCAACAAAAACGCTATTGTGACAAGCAGTCAAAGATAATTAAGTTTTGGGATTGTTTTGATAACAACAAAATCGATTCGTATAGATTACTAAAGAAATGTTCAATTTTGGCAGTACCTTCAGTTTAATAGTTACTAGATAGCAAATGAATATATCAATTAATTACTGTAATTAAAATTCCATTGATATTATTTGAATTTTATATATTTATACAGAAATTTTGTAAATAGGTCTTTTGTCCTTTTTAATAAAAAGTGAAATAGTTACTCAATGACAATACTCTGGTGACAATTACTTTCGAAATCAACATGGCGTCCTTAGTGTTGGGTCGTCATGTTTGTATGTTTGTAGCAGATAATGTACAGTCAAAACTAAAAGGTTTTTCATTTAACAAAGGAAAAGTAATAGAAGTAATCGTTCAAATAGGGAGTTCTTTACATTTTCATAGAGAGAAAGATTTGTTCCTTTCTTCAAGTAAGAAAAGTGATCATGTTCACAAGCGTTTCTATCTAGTTGAAGTTATAACGTAAATAAATGTCTACAATCTCACCATTAGATCTTATTGAAGGTGAAATGTCTTATCAGTATCAATTAGTATACCTTTTATATTGATGTTTCTCACTTATAATTATTGTGCAAAATGACCACTAAGAATTGTGCACACAGTCCAAAACTTGTGCTAAAAGACTTGTGTGAAAAGTCTTTTGTGCTAAACATCATGTATTCCTTATTGTAGGTTAACAGCCTGATGCCTACCTTTCCAATGGCAGAGAAAAACCGTCGTAGATCATCTTCTGTGGTGTTACTACTCAGTCCACCAACAAAAATTTTGTTTTCATTGTTTCCTGCATCCCTCTGAAATGCATGGTCATATATTAACATATCAATAAAAATCATTGGTGGCAGCATCCAACTGGTATCAAGGACACATATTTTTTGATATTTTCAAAGCTTAATTTTTTCATTTTTTTTCTGCCATTGCTTAAATTGCAGTCCACAAGCAAGGATCAATTCTTTGCTTAATAAATCAAGTTCTTTTGTTTTTTAGGATGACTTTTCAATATGTTCTAAGTTATTATGCTACCTTCGAAATTATTTTGTGTCCTTAAGAAACTTTGGTGTAGCCCATAAAGAGAACTTCCTTTATTGGTATTTATTGGTACACAACAGACATACTTTAGTACTCTCCTTTGAGACTTACACTTTGCCCACCAGGACTTTGTGTGGAAATCATCTCTTGCTGACCTGGTCCTCGTGGCACAGCACGCTTGGGATCAACCTGAAAGTGGCACAGGAAAGTCAATTTAACAATGCTCTGAAAACCTTGGAGTGGGAGGGGAAGGGATATGGCAATTGGTCTGGATAATGGGTAAGTGAGCTGAGTATTTTGACCCATATCATTCAGCAAGCACTGATGGTGCACTGATGGTGCAAATTATCCCATTGATTATCTTGTCATTCAGAGAATGGTTCAAAGTTATTGATTTTTGCAAATGACATTCATATTACTAAACAACCATGGTTTGGAACTTTCTTTTAACCCTTAGCTTACTCTTTGCATTTAAGAGATGACTCATGCAAAATACCCACTTCTGCCCACCATCATAATCATTGCTTTGGTAGTTCCATTGTTATGAAAAACAAAAAGAGAGAGCCAAGGTCACAAAGTGTTGTAAGTGATCACCTTCAAACACTTTGACCATCAAGCAAAGACCACTTGCTGGTATTTGCCATTACTTTTCAATAAATCTCAAAAAAATAACACAGACTTTACATTTTGCCATTTACAGTGATAAACTAGATTCTACTACATGGAAGAAGTCTTATCAAATGTCTCAAGTGAAAAATGGCGGCAAACATAACCTGGAACCTTAAGTTAATTTTGCTCCCTTGACCTGGCTTATTAATATTTTTTTCCACCTTTGTTTGTAGAGCAATAAGGCTTAAGGTTTAACTGCATGTCCTGTTTCTAAACTGAATTCTAATAAGTAATCCGAAGAAAGTGTGGTGTTTTTTCGATAGAATACAGTTCTCATATACTTAGCTTCACAGGTTTGTGGGGATATAAGAAAACATGGACACTTTCACAGCCTAATCAAAGAAATTTACCTGCACGAAACTATTTCTTAACTGTACGTTCTTTAATCTAGATGGTGATTTCCTTCGGAAAGTATAATTGCAATGGAAGTTACCCCAAAAAACCTTCCTCTTAAGCTTGCTTAAGAAATAGAACGCGGACAACTATTAGCATACCTTCTTGTTATCAAGGATGTGTTCAGCCTTTTGGCACACGCTATCAACTGAAGCAGGATCTTGAAAAGTGACAAATCCGAAACCCCTATGAGGCATACCAAGGGCAATACATAAGCTTAAATCAAACACGACTGTTGACTCTACATAGACGACCAAATGTAGAGTCAAAGAAATTGATCCATGTTTTAAGATGTCAAGAATATACCTTGAACGTTTCGTGGCGGTATCCCGCATAACGATGCAGTCTGTGACTTCACCGAAGTCACTAAAATACTCTTGAAGGCTCTCTGAAATCCAGCAAACAAATCGTGATGAGTAACAAAGCACGTGGCACATTTAGTTCACATAGGGAGGAGATAGGAAAAATCTCCTTCTTCACAAAGTTGCAGAGTGTCATAAGTTCACTTTACCTTTGGTTGTTTCTGTGGATAAGCCCCCGACAAATATTTTCCTGCAAATGGTAAATTAAAAGCAGATTGCGAACATTTTAGCTAGTGGTGTTCACATCTAAATCATCGATCGTAGCTCGCGAAAGAAAATCTGGGAAAGTTTTATCTAATTCCACTGCTCGAAATATCCTGAAGGACGATGGAGGCCACAGAAGAGATTTAAAGCCAAGATTCTTACCCGATATCATCACCCTTGCTTGTACCTCGAACCATTTTTGTGTTTAACATTCGTAAGAAATTCAAGATCAGTTTGGAATACTTTTCTGAAATGTATTAAGGACTACATGAAGATGACGCCGAACCAATGAAATATCCCGGATCAAATTTCAAAAAACCACGTGTTACGCATATCCCGCGGGATTGTCCTGCGCGGATTCGGGTAGCTTACGGGTAGCTCACTTACGTAACCAAACACGTTTCAAGGAAACTAAAGTTCCATAATCACACATTGCCTACCATTTTGAGAACAGTTAAAATTTAGCAACTAAAATTCACTGAATGATGTGAATTTACAGACAAATATCAGAGCGTTTCCATACAAGTCAGAATTTTTGACAATGCTGTTTCAACTCAAATTAATTGGTCAGAATAAATTTAACAGCATACAACAAAACAGATCAAGCAAACCCACAAAATAACGTTACAAGCAGTACGTGATCTGAACAGAGGTTGCATTACACTCTTTCAGCATTCAGGAATGTTTTTAAAGTTGAAGTTCCATGACCCGTGAAGAATAAAAGTACAGTTCTATTGTTTCAGTTCTTTAGTGGTAGCCAATGAAAAGAGAAGAAAGAAACACGAATTTACACGCTGACATAACACTGCGTCCTTCAAAATATCGATTGGATGGTGAACTAAACACGGAACTGCGAGCAAATTTGTCCAATAAAGTATCTACGGAGTTTTGAGGGTTGCCTCGTACATGGCAATGTGTGAGTACGCTGAGATTCCTAAACGAAGTTACATGATAATTTTATAAATTCTTCAAGAGATAATGAATCAAAATATCTAATTAAGTGAGCGTCTGACATTTATTGTGTTATGCTAATGATTTACTTTGCTCTGTTAGCTTTTATTCTTCTGATCCTGTCCGTGGCCGGTGGAATATTCTCTGCCAGTATCGCAATAGTTGTTTGTACAATAACGTTTCGCTATAGAAGCAGAAAACTCGCCAAGATGAAGAACAACAGTCAGCCAGGAGAAATCCAGGAGTTGGAGCCCATCTTGCCATCAGCACTCGGCAGTGTAGAATTAGGTGACGAGGAGAAAAACAAAGAAAATCTCTCTCCGTGTCCATCTTGCCGAAAAGTATCAACGTTTTACAGTCCATGCGAGTGTGACATGATTTCTGCTCAAAAATTAGAGAATAAACCGTGTCAGTTGCAGTTTTCTCTTTATTACAATTTTCATAAATCTCGCTTATTCATTAATATCATGTGCGCTTTAAATGTTCCGATACGATGGTATGGAAAACACCCACCAACACAAGTGCGATTTCAACTTCTGCCAGACGACTTCAACATTTATCGAACAGAAATCAAAAGCAGCACTGCAGAACCAATATTTAACGAAACATTCGAGTTTATTGGTTACTCAGAGAACGATCTCATGGAATTAACCCTTCGCCTTGGTCTGTATGGATATGATAAGTTTAGCAGAGGGAAAATGATCGGCTACACGGATGTGCGATTTAATTTGGAGAAATTTCACCCTAGTGAGCCAACGATAATATGGAGGAACTTGTTACCCAAATCTCAGGTAAGACAAGCTTACACCGGGTTATGACCCTGTTTCAGTTATCCTTTTAGTATAACGTGCTAATGAAAGACGATGAATTGTAGAGGACTATAATTAGACGCAACTCCTGCCATAACATTATATTAACTAATTAAGAAGACATTGCCCTCTAAGTGTTTAAAAACGTTTTCTTCTTTCACTTCCTTATTAAGTTCAATGTTGTGTGTTTGGTGTTCAGAGATGTTTTGAAGAACTTAGAGAATTTCAAATATACCCCGCACAGAAGTTCAGATTCTTAGTTTCATCTCGACGGGAAGCATGTTTCAGCTCTCACCGCGGAAAAACGCGAAACAGACTACCCGGTGAAACTTCAAAGCATATTCCGACATAATGTCTAATATTGGCCATCTAATCCATCTAACTTCCGATGAAAGAAATTGGGTTGAGTTGCGTTGGCAGAGAATTAAGGCTAAATCATCTTAAATATTGTAGCCATTTATCTGATGAAGGTGTAATCACGTAACTATGTGGACTGATTTAATTGCGGCTTTTGATTCAAGCTTGGTAGCATTAGATCATTGACACCTCTCAGTGATCTTCTCGGCCTCAGTATTCAGTATTGTTGGTGTCCATGATCAGTAACAAACTACAATGTCGGTCCTTAACGGTAATTCAAAACCTCTTCATTAGACGAAGCACACTTCTTGTTGACCCTTGTAGAATTCGGAATGTTTGAGCTATTTGGAAAGAAGTTTCTTATTCCACTTTGGTGCACTTACTTCTTTACCTAAAAATATGTTTATTGGTATAAAGAGGCAAGGCTGCATCTAAAAGGTAAAGTTCTGGCGCCTGAAAACAAAATTAAGCTAAGAGTAATGATCAAAGTAACAATATCCGACAAACAGGTTAGGAATTTTTGACATCGTTTGTCAGTTTCAGTTTCGTGAGTGTAACCGAAGGTCCATCGAGACAGTAAAACCTTAAACTTACTAGAACCACTGCAATGTGAGTGAGCTGTAAGCATTGTCAGCATCCGCCAATACAACATAACCTTGGTCACACGTATACTGGCTGATGATATTCCGAACTAGAGTTTGAGGTACACGTAGCAAATTCAAAAGGCTAAAAAGTGCAAATCCGATTTGCAGTGTGATTTTATTTTCAGCCTGTCTTAAAAAATTTTTAAAATTCTTCTGTAGGGCTACTGGTGTTCACTTTGAATAACGAAAATAGTAAATTTTCACCAATCTTAATACGGCCGATGCAAAATTTGAGGTATGATAGCTATTATACTGTAATCTATCGAAGTCTTACTTGAATACATCTTGAAAGCGAATCAATTCTAAAAAGATAAAGGAGAAAAATCTAGCTGAAGGAAAGCGAACTGTAGAAGCATAAGGTATCGAGAACAGAAAAAGCGAAGAAGAAGGTAAAAATGTATTAAAAGAAAGAGCATTAAAAGAATAATGACAACAACTTTTTTTAGTGAAGTTTAGAACACAAAAAGTCGTGGTATGTTGAGTAAGAATCACTAAAGCTCAACGCATAACTGACCCAAACTGAGAAAACCGGCTCACAAATTTAAACGCGATCTCACTCTGATGAGCCCTAGATTAGTCCAAATTAGAGGAGAGTTGGTCAAAGTTAGCCCACTACGCTTCGTAAAACTCACTTTTCTAAGTTTTAGAAGTACCAACTTCTAGATCAACGAGCGGCTTTTGGAAGATTAAAAATGCATCTACAATTTGGACCTAAAATGAAGGACATTTACGAAGTAGAAGAATTATCTTTTTGCACTTTAAATTCCACAAAATTCGGTCCTTTTTAGTATGAAAGTCATTATCAAGATAGATTTTCTTAAAGCCCCTACAACCCACCAACAATCAACGCACGGAAAATGGCAGATTTATCTTCCGTCGAACAGAATCCGTTTAATTTCGAAAATTGTTCAACGGGAACAACTATCCTTTTCAGTTTGAAAACTGTCATTGGATAACAATATACCTGTCAAACTAAACAATGCCCATTGTAAAATCAGTAGCACTTGTAGAATTATTAACAATCGCCGCGAATTTTAAACTCTTTCGGTACGTCAGCTGCTATACCTTGCTCTTACTTACCGTATGATAAATTTCAGTAATGGGAGCTCTTTCCATTGCTCTTTGAAACTGTATGCAAATTTGTAAGTTTTCAACAGAGATAAAAGGATCTCCAGAAAGCGTTTTTCAGTGATGTTCCTAAAAGTTGTCTCAGACTTCCTACCGGATAACTCCATCTAATGCTTTCTTCAAAGTTAATTTATCTTCTATCCGAAAAGAAAGTTTTAAAGCGATTTGACCTTCCGATAAGCAATAACCTGTTAACGTCGCCACTGCGGGCATCTAAAGTTTTTTTAGGGCAATTTTCAAGCTAAATGCTTTTTGTATTATACATAATTTTGAATTTTTATTAAATTTCGTATATTAATTTTATCAATTGTATCATGTAAATAATCTTGAATTGTGAATAAAGTTATTATTATTATTATTATAACCTGTTTCTACCTCGGAAAATATTTCAACAAAGTTTGCGTTGTCTCGATAACATGCCGAAGTTTCACAAGGACTTTTCGAGTTTTCGTGTGGCCAAGCTGTAGGTTGTGGCAAAAGGCATAGCTATAGCCTACAAAGATGCAAGGTTTTCATGTTATTTGACGGTTTGCCTCGATGAGAGGTTTAATTCGGACAGAAATTTGTTACTGAGTATCCTTAGTTGTTTCTGCGACACGCGATATGTCGCTATAAATGAGTGATAATGCTTAACCTAAAAGAAAACTTGAGGGGTCAGCGAAATTTAAGCAGGTGATAGGTTGGCTGAAAGTAGCGCGCAAACGGCCATTGGAGGTTTTAAGTTGTAAAACTTGCGGGTAATATTACAGATCTATAACTTTTCTGCTACGGCAAGTAAATGCTACGAGAACAATAGGCACTCTGGAGCAAGTCAGTTTCCCAGAAAACGAAGGCATTTAAAAATTTAAATGGAGGCGCTTCAAGTTAGAAAATTTATTCAAGTTTTCACATGTTTACATTTTGCGAAATCTCGTTTGATTGCAGTCAAGAGGACGCTCTCTAAGTTTTGGCAGAGGTGAAATACATATCTCGTTCCGCTACGAGGCAAAACGACAAAGACTCAACCTTATCATCTTGAAAGCCACAAATCTAGTGAGAACCAGCAAGTTCTTGAATGCCGGTGAGTGTACTGTTTCTTGGATGAATTAGAATGTTTAAAGACTCTGATTAAAAGAAATGGTTGAGAAGAACAAGAAAGAAAAAATGAATCCGTTGCTACCTGCAACAGATACATCCCACCATCTACTAATGGGCTAGCCCGGCTTTTTAATTTTTAGCGAGTTCATAACCTTAGGTCACAAGACTAAAATATAAAGTGACATTTTTAAGTTAGAGTCTGAAGAATATTTATTAAAAAACTCCTCAAAAATCGGCAACTATTCGAATTTTGCTCCTCCTTTTTTTTCTTTTAGCACCGTACGTGTGTGTAATGCTGGAGGCAAATGGCACGGTATTGGAAACCAGACAAACTAAGAAAACACACGGTGTAAATGCGGTGTGGAATCAAGGTTTCCTATTTGATGTCGACGGCGAAACTATAAATGAATACTCCCTCACTATCCGAGTTTTGAACCATGATCTACTGACTACGGACGAGATCATCGGTGAAATGACAATTGGACCTCTGTGTGAGGGAACTGGTAAAGAGCACTGGGACGAAGTCATGAGGAAACGGCACTCGGGAAGAGAGGTGGCAATGACACACATTCTTTCGTGAGTTAACGCATCTTAAGCAGCTAAAATTCTCCAATCTCCAAACAGACGTCAACATAGTAACTCCGCATGTTAGTGAGGTTTGTAGGGTTTTCAAATATAAGTGTTTCGGCGATACATTAAGGTTAATCTATGCAACTGCTTGAATTTGGCATCAGACTCTTCAGGCGTTTACTGAGGACCACCGTAGTAATAGCAAGATTGAGGACAAAACAAAAGTATATAGCAGCAAATTCAATTAGAAATAGTTTAATATATTATTTACCAAATATTATAACTTTTTTTAAAACAAGGATTGTATTTACAGTTTTGCATGAAAAACAATTATTAAATAAACAATCCATGAGAGAGTGTAACAGACGTCATCCTATCCAATATGGCAAGCGTAACTGGGCTGGGATTTACACACCTTGTTTCCCTAAAGTCCAGCTCGGCAAAACGACATGGATAATTAACGTGAAAAGTGATATGACGTTTGGCGCAATTTCATCTTGAAAGAGGCTGAAAGAAAAGACATACTTTGTGAGAAGAGAAGCTGATTTTAGCCTGTTCGTTTTCCAGCCATACAGATAAAAAAGCAGAAATAGAGATAGGCTATATACCTCTAATGAAAATAAAAACTTGATCAGATTATTTTTTTTACCTTGTTGGTTATTTCAAAACCACAAAATTTAGATGACCGACTGTTGACGGATTTACAACAACATTTTTTCTTTGAACGATTGATTCAGGGAAGCAGTACACATGACTATAATAAAGGTGTGGTTTAAATTACGGCAAACACCAACCTATCAATTGGTCTTCTCTTGCATGGAACCACGTGACATGAAACCAACACTCTTGCTCCTGAAAGCGTTGTTATTATTAGGCGATTATTCCACAAACATGAGTTCATTGAGTCTTACTGAAATCATCTCAAATCAAACAAGCGCGAATAAAAAAAATAATCAAAAACGACCACAAACTATTAAACCGTAAATTTGCTTATTTCATTTTAGGACATAAGGAAAACGGAATAATGCCGTACAATTGAATAACTGTTTCGTCACGATACAACGCCCAATATTCCATACATAATAATATACATGAAAAAATTACTCAGTTCTGATTGGTTAAGATAAATGCAGTTTTCAGGTAATTCAGTGCAGAAGAGGGTTAATTCAGTGCAAAGAAAGAAACAAATCAGACATTCTGATTGGTCAATAATCAAAGAAACTCACAAATAGCCAATCAAATGCGAGCCTTGGATGTCGCAACAAAATTTGAAAATTTGCGAGCGAAACAATGGCCGGCGTTTTAAGTAGGTTTTTTTTCGCCACCGCAGCTGAAAAACAGCTTAAACAACGAAAACACTATAAAAAGCAATGCTTTTTGGTTGTCAGTTTGGAAAAAGTGGTGTTTAGAGAAGGGAATTGCCAGGGAAATCGAAAATTACGAGCCGACCCAGCTTAACACTTTGCTCAAGCGATCCAACGCCGAAATTAAAAAGTCATAGTTAAACCTCGGGAACGACGATTCCATTTCATCGAAAGTGCTTCGGACACAGACTGAACTATTCCTTGAACTGTTTAGTCGAACTTTAAACTTTCTTACACCTTAAAGATCTGAAGATATCATTGCCTATTATTGTTTTGATCCTACGCGGTTGTTTTGTTGAACGCACGGTTTGAATAAATTATTTTTTGCACTTGATGCGCGCGCTTTGCTTATGTTTAATTATGATAAGCCATTTCGTATTTATCTATGTATATTATTAACACGTAATCACATGATTTTTCTCGTGCAATTTGGAATAAACAAGCACTTGTTAATTTTTTCAAAGACCACAAATTGCACTCGCCCTACGGGCTGGTGCAATTTTGTTAGTCTTTAAAAAAATTTACTCGTGCTTATTTATTCCAAATTGCACTCGAAATCATGTGATTACCTATACGAATAAAAAATTCAAAATTGTCGAATGGTAACGATCCAGTTTTCGATAACCATGCTAAATCATTTGTTTCACTCTTCCCAATTACGAACGAGCCGATGAGCATAAACCTGATTGTTCAGAATATTCAGCTAAAAGGTGAATGCTTAAGTATCATTGTGTTTCAACTAGCCCCCATCAATCACGACAGCACAACAAACAAACAAAGGTTAGACTGAAAATGCTTCGTGCTCTACTCGTCATGAGGTTCTTTAACCGTTCCCCCGCCCTATCCCTAGCCCTAACCCTAACCCTAATGCTAACCTTCCCCTGGGAACGAGGTTAGGCCTGAGAGAAAGCCCAAGGATTATGAGTCCTAAGGCGAGAGGGGAACCCAACCCATCTTCTTTCACCCGTCAACCCATTCTTAGATTTCATGCAAAGAAGACTCATTCTTTTCAGTTATTTAAAGACCTCGTGTATTAATCTGATCTAGGGCTGGAACTCTCTACCATCCGAATTAACCAAGAATCGAAGCCGAGTAGGATGAAATTTGACAAAGGGGTTGGAGATTTGGGACTGACTGTAACATGTTCTTATGTTAAATTAGTTATCTTTTTTTCAGAAAACTTACCTTTTTCGCCCTGACGTCGTTTTGTTCTCGCGCTTCCTAAGACTCAAAATCAATTCAACTTGTACGGCTTTTCTAAAAACAGAAACAGAAGTTTTACAAATTACCTACTGAACTTTGCGCCGTAGGTTTGTTCTTCTTACGGTACAACGATGCTTACTAAGCGTGAAGTGCATGGTTAATTATTGTTACTCTTCAGTACTGATCAAGATGGATGAACAGGGAGAAATGGTTTGATACCGACTTTGTGTCCCAATGATCATTAAGGCAAAAACACGACCTCACAATTGCGAGGAATTGACTCGAATTCTTGGATAGTACAGACCAACAATTACAGGTAGCAGATGGCTACATGCTCGTGTAAATCAGGGCAAAACACCAATCTTTCTTTGTACAAGAACTGGACATTGTGTGGTCCTGAATCTGTGCTTCCCACTCTTAAGTTGGAATTCATATTATAAAAATACATGATCTACAGCAATTCGTTATATGGAAAGTCAGTCTTTCGTTACAGGAAGTGGCCGGTCTCAATTTCCACAAGGTAGTTGTAAACACTGACGTACTCCTCAACTGATGTTTTCATTCTACAGAGTTCTTCCACCTGGTTTCGCAGTTCGTCGCGTTCACATTCCAAATGTTTGCTGCAAAGACATTTAGTAACGTCATGACTTGCGGTGGGAACAATTTTTGACATTTGAAATCAACGTGTAAGGTCAAAGAACAGATAAACACAAAAATTCAATGGAAAGGGAAAAAAAAAAACCTTTTGACTTCCAATGCAACCTTCTGAGCTGTTAACTGCTTGACCTCCGTATCAAGTTTGGAGTTTGCACCTAAACAACGGGAAGAGAAAAGACCAGAAAGGCTAAGTTCATCCATGAAAATAGGGATTATTCGTTTGTTTAGTTCAGAGAAAGGCTCCCTTAAAAGACACATACACAAAGACAAAAACGCCCCAGTAAGCCCATAAAGGTTACAATACTTTAGTTTTGTAAGCATCTTCAACTTTGCAAGCATTTAACTTACCAAATAACTGATCGTCATCTTCATTATGCACCTGAGTGAGGCATCAGGATGAGCAATGGTTATAAATTTATCAACAAGTTGTCGCCGTTGTGTTTGCGAAATCTATCGTGGTTTGCGTGTCTAGACGGAATCTATGAAACACTAACGTATTGAAGGAATCTTGCGAGCAAGTATACGGATATCAAACGATTACAGAACGAATTTTGCAAAGACAACTTTTCTTAATGAAAAAGGGCGGATAAGAACGAATGAACATACCACAGCGTAATTTGATTGAAAGGTGTTAATCGTAGAATCGAGGGGAGCTGAAAATTAAAATCAAATAAAAATTACAGAAACCTGAAAAAGTTTTTCCTTTTCAGACTTGGTGCTCTCTTGCTGCAGATGTCTTCCTATCTCCTCTTCATACGCTTCTCTCAGTTGCTAAAAATAATCAACAAGCTTTTTTTTCAGGTCAGTTAATATTCAAAGGTGTTAAGTTAGGATATCGTGCGTCATTTGGAAACTACCTTAAAATACTGGAAATAGTAAGATGAACTCTATAAAGATAACAAAACATCACAAATGAACGAGGACACTCAACGATGGTGACGATTAAGACACATTCCATTGGATACACAAAGCGTGAAGTAGCTCCCTGAACCCTACTAATAAACAATTGAACGTATGCTACCTGCATGCCATGAAGCAGGTCCTGAGAATTCTGCAGCGCTGAATCTCTATCAGCTGTAAGATCCTCTACTCGTTTGCTTAGATAGTAGTCTTTGGCTGCAAACATTTTAACGCCCATACAATCCGCGAGACAATTTTCTGCTGAGAGGCAGCATGGACCACAACTTCTATGACGTAAGAAAACACGCTACTGTCCAGCCTGCAGTCAACCATGCAGTCATAAATAGTAAGCAATAAGTGCCTAACGCGGATACGGAACGCTTCCAAAAAGGCCATGTAGTCAAGAATATATATGTACACCGGCACTTGTCATTATGACATTAAAAACAGGCAAAACCCTGACCTAATAGCAAATTTTGTAAACTGTACTTCTGACCACAAGACTGACAAAAATGTCTAAACGTTCCAATCTCCATCGTAAGTGACTACACCGTGACTGCACTTACTTTTTAATGTCACCATCAGATCTTCTTCTGGTTAACTGGTGGCTTTTGGCAAGCCCCGCTGACGTCTCCACCGAGTTACTTCTCTAAATTAAAATAAATCAAATTATTAACTTGAACTGAACAGTCTTCTCAAACTTGATCAAATATACAATCTTGCATTCAATAATCCGCCTCATCTGAAAATACTACGACATAGAGTTTTAGCAAAAGAGGGCGAGGGAGAAACTTACACGCTGCTTATACATCCACACTTAAGGAAATCACTGAAATGGTGCCCGCGGTAACGTACAAGCACCGCCGCCACAAATGAACGTGAATACTATATCTTACTCGAAAAGCAAATAAGTTCTCCAGTTCTGTTTTAGAGTTCAGTATCACCTGCTGAGTTGAGGATGAAAGTGCAGACTCTAGCTCTATGATCTCCAAGCATCTTTGAGCTAACTCGTCTCTTAAAGTACAAATCATTTGGCTCCTGAAAGACAGTGAGAGGATATCAGGTTATTACATTGTGAAGTCGATGATGTGGTATTTTAAAATTGTTTCCGCGTTACCTATGCAAAAACTAATTTGGGTTAATTCTGACCTGCTTGATGTGATAGCTGCAAGGTCGGCATAGTCTTTTCGTAATTGCGTCAGCTTTTCAGCCCATTTCTGTGACTGAAATTGAAGCAAGAATACTTTAATTGGTCACCAGGAAACAAAAAGGGTGTGTCTAATAATTGTTTTGATAGCATGGGCAGCAATATTTTCCGTTCCCAATTTGCCAGACTCCTGCTTAACTCGTGCGTGTATCAGCTTGGTCAAAAAGGAAACGGAATTGACCAGTCCGCTGTTTACTGTATTGGCCAGTGGTAAAGACCGGGTATCTTGACAATACAAACAAAAACAGAAACTTACAGGTTAATGTAATGTGTAATGCTCAAAGAACGTGCCCTGGGTTGCATCCAATTTAAACTGCTCTCGTTCAATAGTTTAAGCAATATTTGGCATTCGAACCTGTATTAAACGGCACCGTATTAAGCAGTCACCCTGAAGTAAGCAGTCAGTTGTCAAAGTTCTGAATTTCTTTCCCCTTATCATTGTAATTTTCACTCATTACTAAGTCCCAACGGCCTGTTTTTATTGTCCTCCACCTGTATTGAACGGTCGCTGAAAGCAAGACCACTCAAATAAAACTACTAATTATCTTTCAAGTAATTTTTAATCAATGTTTCTTTTCCAAAATCAAAGTAAGTCGGATTAAGTGGTAAATTATGGCATAAAGTGGCGTTGTTTATCGTTTATTATAATACCCCTATCGTTTATTATAATACCACTAATAAAATCCCGCCATTCCCCGTCAGTGATCTGTTAATACAGGTTCGACTGTAAACCCTTTTGTCGTCGCCTTAATTTAAGACCGTCGCATAACATAAACTAGAAAACGTTTAAAGTTTTCCTTATGTAGCACGTTAATCAAATGAACGATTAGATTGAAGCATTAAGCTGCTGTAGCTCTTTTTTATTTTAAGGTTCCGCCGATCTACGGCATTGTCAGGGAATGTAACGAAAATATTCCAGTATGCGCGACATAAAAGCGATGTAGGTGATACGAATGACCAGAATATACATTGATGTATAGTAACCAGTCATATCCCCTACATCGCTTTTATGCCACGCATAGTGGATATTTTCGTTACATTCCCTGACGATGCCGTCGATCGGTGAAAGCTTGGAATAAAAGAGAAACACAGTAGCTCGAGGCCTTAATCGAATTGCCCATTTTAAAATGAGAAGATTTAACTCAAAATTCAAATATTGCTTGAAGTTAGGCTTTTGAATGATATACTACGACTTTAAAATTCACCACAGTCTTAGTTGCATCAGTTGAAGCTTTGCGTCTGTTGATAGTTTGCGTTTAATTGTCATCGATGGTAGCAAGGAAAGCGTTTATTGGTTACAAAGTATTAGTTTAAAAGCCAGCCCAACTATTTGAACAAATTCTTTCCAGTGTGTTTTACAGCTCAGACTTCTTGATAACAGTTTAAGCAAATCAAACCGAAAGTGAAAGTTATATATCAAATTAGTGTTTACGTCTTCAATTTAATTTATGTTTATAGTATTTCACCTTTAGTAATAAAGTCGGTTACTTTCTTTATCAGCGCGTCATTCATACCGTTATTCTCTTGGGTCAAAACCTTTCAACAACAAGTAAAAGAACAAAAGAAAAAAATGGCACAAATTGAATACTTATCACAAAAGAAGTAATTTGGGGTAACAAATCCGATCCTACCGACGAAAATTTCTTGGCTTATTAGCCTAATAAAAATTTGATAAAAGTTTTCCTCCTATAAAAGATTAGAATAGATGATTGATAGAGAAACAGTGCTATTTTGCATTAAAAGAAACAAAAGATCTAGTGATGTAGTGTTAATGAGAGAACCGGGCTTGATCATCTCTTGGTACTGAATAAATCCGACACTATGCAACCGTCTACAAGCAGTTACCTAGTTGACTTAACTGTCAAACCCATTTACATCCTATGATTTTAAGTATCTTTGAAAACCCATAAAATCGTTAATTACGTCAAATTGATTCATACAATACAGGGAAATAAACCAACGAATAAACAAAGGCTCCACAAGGAAACACCGGTCAGACTGTCCAAACGGGTATCTCCAACGTCACCCTATTGGAGGCGACCGCTATTTGGTTACGCTTTGTATGTAATTTTATAGGATTAAAACTGTATCTTTACTTTCATTTCAACTGACTCCTCTTACTAAATTTTTTGGAGGCTCTGTCACCTGCCCTTCTTAGGATAACCTCAAATCTACTCCCCTACCCCCTTCCACTGTTTTCGTTTCACACTCGCGAGAGCGTCTTCTTGGTTTACATATCTGTTAGATAGAGCTACGATCGTGTGACTTCACTAAAGTACCTGTTGATGTTCATATTCCAACTCCTGTGACTGTTCCCCAAACTGCTTATCCTAGGTGAGACAAAAAGTCACGGCACTAAGTTTTACACCAGGTCTCTATTAAAATATCTGGAGAGATCAAATTCTGTCTCATACAGAGTAGTATGGATACCACATTTAAAGCAATAAAATGAATAACCGGGTTGCTCTTTGTGGTAGCAAACTTTTACAACGAGGAAAAAGGAATGCAAAAAAACTCTGTAAGTACATGTAAAAAAAATTACCTTAATTTCAAGCATTTCCCGCACTTTACTGAGTTCTGACTTCACAGTCTTCAATTCAAGACAAACTTCATCAAAAGACACCTTTTGGAATTGTATATCATAACATAAAATGGGCTCATCACAATTAAGTTTTCTGATTGGATGACAAAGTAAACAGATATTAAAGACTGTTCACTGTTTGATATAATAATGTAATAAAACACAATTTCAAGCACGTTACTTTGTCAAAATTGCATACTACACAACCATTAAAAATGAATATTACAAGTGATCAGTATATGTGTGTTGTGAAGCATTACTTCTGATTGGTAATAGATTTGTCAAGGAGATGTGCCTACTTTCATTTCCTCTTTGGCCTTGTTTACTGCCTCCTCCTTTTCAAGTTCAAGATCTCTTCTGACATTGAATATCCCATTCACAGCAGGCTACAAGAATATATATTTCACAGGATCACTTTAGTAGACTTGAGAATCTCACTGGATGAGAAGCTGACAGAGTTATGAATCTAAAAAATTAGACATTAACAGTACCCTTTTTTTCAATTGATCTCTGAGTTGGCTATTTTCTGCACTAAGTTCGGCCAGTGTCATTCTAAGTTCACTCCTTTGAATTGACCATGCTTGTTGCTCTTCTTGCAACTTGTGAATCTCCTTTATCAGCTCAGTTTTTTCAGATTCTAGCCTTTGGGAGAAGAGTGAATCTTAAGTAAGTAACAAAGACATAATGCCAATAAGCACAGTTCAAGTGCAACCCAAGTGATTATACAGATGATTCTGCCAGGTAATTGTACCATGATTGAATCATGAACCAATGAAATGAGGGGTAGTATAAACAAGCAACTATGTCAAGTTACCTAGTGTATATTTAGTGTTAAGTAGAATCATGTTTTTTTTCTCCTGCAAAATGTATAGAGAGAAAAGTAATCCCACTAACTGACCAAACATAATATGGCTTAATCAAAACCTCAATGAAGTGAAGAAATAATCCTCACAGATAAACTGCAATTTTTAGTAAAAAACAAGTCGGAAAAAAATTTAGGCTTCCTTAGGATTCAAAGCTGTGCCTCCCACATAAAGTTGGGTATCATTACCAACTGAACTACGAAGCCCTGTGTTGGGAGCTAGACACATTTTAGTAGGTTCTTCATTCCATTTTAGGAATGTGATACCAACTAAATAGAATTAATCATATGCTGACCAAGGGATGAGATTCAAGGAAAAATTACCCTTACAGATGAGTTGAAATCAAACTGTAATTCAAGCCATTCAGTTGGTGATCCAATTGGCTAATTTACAATTATTGCTGATGAGTCAATCTCTCAATTGTCAAGGAGTATATGAAGCAAATGTTTAGATGGGAATAGTCTCAATTGTGTGCTGACCATTATTTTCAGGGACATCTTTTGTTCATCCATGCTAATGATGTTCCTTAACAGACATTCTCTAAACTGTTGTTTGATTGATCATAGCCACAATAAGCTATCAAAAGTCAGACAAGTTGGTTAAAGATAAGGAGAAAAATCACCTTGTTATGTTTTCTTTGATTTTGTCCACCTCCTCTTCCAAGAAGGGAATACAACAATTTTTGTCACTGCAAACGGGAGAGAAATAATTCAATATGTTGGAATTTTTAAATTATGTAGACTGAGATCTTCCAGCACAACATTTAAAGACACTTATGTAAAGCTAAAAGGAAACACCAAAAAAGTCAGTCTCCTTGTGCTGAACCTTACCATACATTTTGTACAGAAATGGCATATTAAGGCACCATTGCTTTTCGGACCTAGGAATCCCATAAGCTCAGATTCAAGTGATAGAAACACCAAAAGACGACTGGAAATGGAAACTGGTTTATTATTCTTACATGCTGATATGGCAAATTTACAAGTTCTTTCAAAAAAAAATTAATTAGTTAACAATGAGGTGTATATCCCACCTTTCACTTGTTGAAACTGACTCTTTGGGTGAATTCTGAAGGAAGGAAAATCAGTTTTGTCAAGTTTACAAGAAGGTGATAAACAATTATGGTCAATATTATTATTAGCTAAACTAAAAGAAAACCCTTTAACTAAATAGTGTTCCTGAAATTTTTTCCAGGGGGTCACCTTAATTGGAAGGCATACAGCAACTTTAGAACAGCTTTTGTTACTTGTACATCAAGGCTTTCATCGCTTGTTTTATTTCAATTTATTTTCAAACACTCAGCTTAATTCATCCCACTCTGTATATATCAATTCAAACTAACGAAAAGATACCTTCAACACATCAAAATCATTTTTCCAATATTCCAGTTGCTTTTGAAGTTCATCATTTGCTTTCCTATTTCAAAGCAAAAGTTAGCAATTTCAATCCATTATAATAACTAATACAGTTACATACACAATATAACCCTGCTGAAACAGGGCAGAGCCATCCATTGTGCAATTTCTGAACAATAGGATTAAGAATGTTTTAACAATAGGTTTTGGACTATTTGCATTTTTTTCTAAGAGTCATTTGTCATTCATAATAACTCAATCAATTCTGACTGTGAATATAAGAAAATCATATATGATTTAATTTTTTAAAAAGACCTAACTGCCTTAGACATGAACAAAATTTTTCCTATTATTAGTTTGATAAATCACCCATTATTTTCTAAACAAGCAAGAAGTTTGTATTTAATGAACTATGCTTTACACATTTTCAGAAAATTCATACAGAAAAACACAGAAAAAGAGAAAAAATACAAGGAATACCTGACCACACAGACACTGCATTGAAGTTTTTCATTTTCTTCTTTTAGCTCTTTAAACTTAGATGCTTGCTACAAAATGAAAAAAGGAAAGAAGTAGAAATATTTAGTCATCATAAACTTTTAAGCATATCTTAACCAACACTGTCTCTCTCTATTAGGAGACCCTAAAGAGTGATCTGTTCCCACCATGTATAATAAGGGGATAATTTTTTTACAAAGAAGGACTGACTAGTATGAAAGGAGTACCATTAACAATTTAGGTTATGTGTATTTTTTATGTACTATTTGGGTAATTAGGTAATAAAATGATATCATGTGCCATTTGGTGTATGCACAAGTACATTTTTCAAAGACAACAAAACTGCATGAGCCAATAGGGCAACTGCAATTTTTACAAGAGAAATCATGGTATTGCTTATGAACAATTTACATGAAAAAAGCATCACAGAAAGTCAAGACAGACAAAATTTTGACAGCACAAGCACTATTTGTAATTTGCACTTGTGTTACAACTTTGCATCTGTGTTACATGGAAAATGCACTTGTTTTCAGCCAGTCAAAAGCATGTTATTTTTTACATGTATTACGAACATGACATAGCTGGTGCACAAAATATATTTCCAAACTATCAAAGGAGGGGTGGGTCATTTTAGAGGGGGAAAGGCTCACAAATTTTAGCATTTGTGCTGTGGGGTATGGCCCAGAAGAAAGGGAGGGCAAGACAACAATGTATAGTTTAGTCAATATCTTGGTTAAAATATTTATAAAGCGGATATGGTCCTGAAAGCTTGCTTGAAAAATATTTTTCATATTGATAGCAATTCTCATAGAATATAAGAACTCCATACTAACTGAGCATGAGGACTGCACTAAGGAACATTAGCCTGTGATCGTTTTAGTTAATGGACCTTGCTGAGAGGTCTGTACAAAAACAACTGAGGGCATCAGAAAACTTAGATTGACCTCAGGAATAACTTGCCATATTACTATAATATTGGTTACTGAATCTATTTTAGAGCACAATTCTTGAATTCTCACACCTGTTTTGTAATAGTCTCTTGGCACATTTTCATTAATTGCAGCTGCCTCTCTTTTTCTTCCTTTTCCTTCTTCAGCATAATATTTCTTTCCTTCAGAGATGAAATTTGGCTGCAAGTGAAAAGATTTTCTTGACAAAGGCAGGATCTTTGCTTTTCCCTTTCCTACAACTTAACTTGCTGGCACGCATAGCTTTCCACAGCCCTTGTTTTGGCACAGAAATGTTTAAGAAATTGTATCAGAGATCAGTAATTCTTTCCAGGAAATTCAATGGAGAAAGGTAGAAGTGAAGAGTAGTAAGGTAATCTTTCAGCTCAAAGTTTTCAGTCATCACAATCAATCTTATAGATAGAGTAGATCCTCTCCTCTAAATAAAATTTGCATATATGGGTGTTTCAAGTGTAATCAGGTCATCAATGTTGCATAAAGCAGAAGAAAAACATACTTTTCTAATTCTTCCCAATGACTCTTGGCACTTGCAATCTTTAGCAAAAATTCCTCATTAAGCTGTTTCTCATTTATCTTGTTTGACAAAACAGAACAGAATAAAAAACCAAAATCACTGCTGTTAGTGATCATACAATACCATACATGTATATAACATGGTACTGTACAATATGATATATATATATGTTATTTGCCGGCTGGGAGGTCCGTATGGTGAAAAACTGTGACTGAGGTCTTGAAAATACTGCCCAAGGCCATAGGCCGAGGGCAGCATTTCAAGACCGAGACCTATGATAATATACCAAGACCTATGATAATATAGTAAGAACATCATTCAGTGTCGTATATACTAGGTTAGCCCTTGTGTGCTCCTTTTTTGTTCTCCCCGCATTTTGCCTTCACCTGTGATCTATTACTGAACATGCAATTCATGTACAACATTTGTAAACCTTGTTTTAAATAAAGCAGAAATTTAGGATGAAATTATAGATTACACTAGGAATTTAACACACATTCCAATCTGGCAAAAGTTAGTTTTCAACAAAGATTTCCAACATTTAAACTGATCTTGCTTGAAAACCTCCCTTAACAGAGTATATGGTTGAATATGAAAAGTAATTATCCTGACAATTATTGATTTACAGACTTAGCAATAAATAGCTTTACAGTATCCTCTTTACTATTTGGGATTGGTATGAAAAACAAAATTTTATAACAAATTTTTCAAGGTTCAAGGGCACAAAATAGTCTTACTTCAGGAACACCATTACCTGTTTACACTATACCCAACTGAGGTGAAATTATCAACACCACTAACATTGCACATCAACATCTTATTTCAAAAACTGGTAAATTTTAATGCCTTCTTCCACATTACCTCTTCTGTATTATTTTTCAGGTTCTCCTGTCTGCATTGCTCCAGTTCTAAACTCATGCTTTTTGAACTCTGCTCCAAAGAGTTAACAAACCCTTCAAGTTTCTGAAACGCATCTTTCACAATTGATGATTCCTCTTTAAGAAGATCATTGACCTAAAACCCAAAATGAATAGGCCATTATAAGCCTCCAAACAAGTATATTTGGAAGTGCATGTTGTGAAAATATAAATAAATAACCAAACAAATAAATAACTTTGTAACATATTGTAATAAACATTAAATCGAGGCTTCCACATTTCATGATTATTCTTAATTCTCTTCACAAATTTGTCAATTTTGTTTACTTTAGTTAGCAATTATGTCATAAGCTTTAACACGTATACATATACATAGATGTTGTTACCAGCCTTCTTTCAGTAGTTCTAGTTTTTAGCTTTAGTAGAGCTACCATACCTGTTTTTGGTAGAATTAAGTTTAAGTCACCCTTGGCTATTAAGAGTGCAAGTATAGACTGTTTCTACCCCTAATTCTGAAGTACTGAAAGTTTGAACTAATAGCCTTTATTCCCTAAAGTCACTTTTCAACCAACTAAATCAAAGGTACCCAAACAAGTCAAGTAGGTAGCTCCAAGTGGAAGCGCCCAGTTTTTCAAAGGACCCATTTAGTTTTTCTATAGCCTGTTATCTCCAGCAATTTTATGGCCTCAAGGATTTTATAACTGTGTTCATTTATATTATTGATATTGCTTTAGAACAATGAGAAGTAAAGTAACATATTCTCTCACTATTATTGATTCCCTATGTCTTTAAAGATCAGCTAGAAACATTTGTTATACTGCAATTATGATCGGAATGTTCTCCATTATTGATTCGTGATTTGCATTATCTTGTAATCAGTTGTCATTTGGTAATAAGTTGATTCACTGCAATATATTTCAGTTTACTTTCAATTATGGTCAATAAATCATCATTAATCACAGCTGATTTTCTGTTATCTCTGGTCTTATTTGATCAGTAAGCATTTCCCACACACAGAGTTCAGCACGACAAGTTGTTGACAAGTGACCTTTGGCTCTTCAAAAGTCTTCATGAACCTGGTGTTACATACATCTCTAAATTAGTTTGTAAATAATGATTAGTAAATTTGGCAGGTCCCATTTCCCTGTGTCTGGCCTGCTGAATTCAAAAATTGTTTTGAACTGAAATCTTTCCCATCTATTTGACCCCAAGAATGTAATAAATATGTTACTAACCTTGTTATCTTGGAGCAAACTAAAAGCTACTGAACCTTGTTTTTCCCTTTTGCCTTTGAAAAATTTACTTGTGCTGATTTATACCAAATAGGCCATTTTACAGTTGTGTACTTAGTTGCCAAGCCTTTGATTTGGAGTGAGGCTGAAGGTGACCTTGTTGTGTTAGAGACCAGAATCTAGTTAGCATGATAACAAATTAATTTGCATTTCAAAAGCAGCAAGGTTTGTAACATAACAAGGTCACCCTTAGCCTCACTCCTGTTCAAAGGCTTGGCAACCAAGCACACAACTGTAAAATGGACTATTGCACTCAAAATCATGTGATAATTTACACTTAACAGTTACCCTTTACCATTTTCAAGCAAAGTCTATCATGAATTTCCCTTTGAATTTTCTGGTCCTGCTCTGCTTTATCTTTCATCAGTCTTTCCTGTTCCTTAATCATGTTGTTATGGTTTTGCTGCTGATTTAGGATCTCCTCCTCAAGAATACTCACTTTTCCACATTGTAAGTCTCTTTCCTTCAAATAGCATACACATAAAAGCATTTTAGTAGTACAACATTTAAACAAATTAACAAACTATTTTGTATATCAGGGCTAGAGACTGAAATGAGTGATCCAAAGCCTTAAGAATTTTAGAATTCCAGCCCAACATGCGTTGGGCTGGAATTCTAAAATTCTAAAACACAAATTCTTAGTGACACCATTTCTGCCATTTGGCCATGTAAGGGTAAAAAGTTGTAACATATTAATTGATCTTAAAAACTTTATAACATAGTAGCTTCAAACAAATTATAATATGTTCATGGGCACATTTATTATCCTGGTATGAAAATATACTGAAAAAAACTCAACACTGATGGGAGTGGAGCATTGTCTGCAGGGTGAAGAGGTGTTAAATTTAGCTGTTGACACCTCACGATGCCAGCCATTAAAGAAAACTTGAGCAAGCATATGTCTGCATATCCAGGAACACACATCATCACACTTTTGAGTGTAACTTAATTTATTATTATAAAAAGTTTTGCTCTATGACTAGCAGGTCTTATTAGACTACCCTGACCTAGTCAACAATGCAGTAAAACTAACCAAAAAGAAAAAACCACCAAATATATTTACCATTCTCAGCTGTATAATTTCCTGTTTGAGTTGATGCTGTTTGTTCTTTGCCTCTCTGGCATTTTTAATTCTTTCTGACAATTGAAGTTTAATGGATGCATGTTCTTGTAAAAGTTTTTTATAATCCTACAAAAATTAAATCATATAATTCTTACACTTAACTTATGTAAAAAATATTACATAATTATACCTATGACTACTATGTTGAGTACACTTTAAATTTACATTTATAAATGAGATTACACTGTATCTATCTCAAAGATACAGCATACATGTATTAATTAATTCATGTTTAAAAGACTATACATCACAGTATCACGTGGTTCTACTCACATATAATGTCCCACAGAAAGTTTTTTTATATATATACCATTAGTAACAAAGCTCAGTTACAGCTGCTATTACTACACATTAACCGTCAATAATCGTTCAATTGCAATGAAGCTGAGACTTGGTTTGAATGACCTTGAAATGATCAATCATAAGTTTTCCATAATGATGTAAGTATAGGTTTTGAATGGCTGAATGTTTTAATGTTGTAAAAGAATTTTCCCAGTTTTGATAGAGAAGTTTTATTCTAAGCAAATCCAATTGAAAATTGACTTTGATTGAGAATGTATTTTCCTTCGCTTTGATCCAGCGCAAATATTGTTGCCTAAGTCAACTAGACTCTCCTGCCAAGTTTTATGGCTGTACCTTCAATTCCACTCAAACTACCTTCCCTCAGCCACCAATCAGATTGTAAGAATAATTATTACTCATTTGACAGCCCTTCACAGCAAAAACTTTTACATATAACTACTAGATGTTAAAAATGTTAATATTAATTACTAAATATCAATTGACAGACACAGACAGAGAGATAGACATACACTAACAAAAGAGAAAGACAGAGAGGATGGGTGCACCTTTTGGAGTTTGTCATTTTCTTCCTTTAAGGTAGCATAACTATTTGCTTTCTGTAAACCAGTTCCTTTCTTTTTAGCCTCATCTTGCAAGGTTTTGTGAGTTGCAGTCAAAACATTCAATTCCCTCTCTAAATCATTCACTCTGGGGTGGTATGAAAGAATAAGACAAAATGTTTGTCAATATCAGAATTACTTCCAGCAAATCCTTCTCATCATGAGCTAACTTGGCAAAAGATGTCCATACTTTTCCAACAAAAATCACAGGAGAGGATTGAAAGTATTTTCCATTTTCAATGTTAGTGACTGTATATTTAATGAAGCAACCAAAATAAGCAACTTTCTCAAGACTTCACTTGCAATTTCTTTTAATTTAAACAGCTTTGCACACTTGAAACATGGACTACATGTATTTTTTGTAAACACTATTTGGTTATGAGTAGTACAAACCTTATCAGAAATGCCTCATGATTTTTTAAGCTCTCTGATTTGAAAAACTCAAGGGTCTTCTTTTCCATGGTTAAACAATCTATCTCTTCCTGCAGTCCCTGGGAAAGTTAACAGAGAAAAGGACTCTTGTCTGTTACGACATAATGTAGAGATACTGACCCATTGTCAACCTAAGTCTAGCAGGAGGGGCTATACTCCTCTTCTCTGTCTTAATCTGCACATTTGAAAGAATTTATATCTGGTTTCCTCAAGGTACCTAATGTATAAGGGATTGCAGCTTGTGAAAGAATTTTCCAAATAAGCGCAATAATAGGGTTGCAAGACCTACTGATTTTTGGGTTGCACTTATTAACTTTGCTGTTCCAAATACAACCTTAATTAAGGGAGTTGGTTATTCTGGGGCAGCCATTTTTCCAGGAAGTACACCATACCCACCATTCACAACTCACAGAGATTTGCGACTACCTGTGAGAAATCCACATGATATATAATACCTGGCCTTACTGGTTGGGAAAACCACAAAGGGACTGTAAGAGCAACAGAATAATTGAAATGCATTTGAGAATAAAAAACCATACTAGTTGAATGTTACAGAGTAACATGAAGTCACACCTCCTGTTGAATTGCTATGCTTTTAAGCTGACCACGTAAAAGGCAGATCTCACTTTCTGTTCCTGCCAGTTTTTCTGCTTGGGTCTATTAATGAGAACAAAGTTATTGACTTTACATCAATAAAAATTGACCTACAGTTGTACAAAGTAATGTAGTTAAAATGTTTAAGAAGCTCTGCATTAAAAAATTTTTAACACATCTCAGCCTTGAATAGGGTGTGTGAATCTAAGTTTACATGACTGTGTGAAAATGAAATTACTGGTAAAAGTGATATTCTAAGATTTCTGTGTAATAACGCTATTGTGTTAATAGTAATAAGCTGAAAGCCTTGAAAAAACCTCTTACTTTTTCAAGATAAAACTGCCTGAGACAACAGGCTGAAATGATAGTTACTCGTCAAACATCATTGGGTGATCACTCTTTTTTTTGCTTTTAAATGAGGGGATATTGCAGTGTTTCAGTTTAAATAAGCAAATATCCTGGGCTCATAGAAAACTACTCATTACGAGTACATTTAAACTACTAACAAGGGAGACAAAAATGGGCAAGAACCATACTTATGGTTTGGCATGCACATTATACACATTTATTCATTAAAATGGTATACACAGCAACTACCTAGAAAAATCCTCAGCTTCCCAGTAACTTTCCTTTGCAATACATATAGTAATGATTGAGATGGCATTTACCTGAATTGTAAGGTGAGCTTCCCTGAGCTTTTCCAATAACAAAATTCTCTTTGTCTCACTATCATCCAGTGAACTCTTCAAGCTTTTTTCAAACAAGTTGTTGGAATTCAGGTGATGTCCCCTAGAGTCAAACCGGTGAGTCTTTGTGTTCAAGCTTTTTTCAAACAAGTTGGTGGAATTCAGGTGATGCCCCCTACAGTCAAAGTGGTCAGTATTTGAGTTAATTTTTGAGTCACAAAAGTTTTCCAAACAGAAAGTAGCTGGACCTTGAGCTCCACTAATTTTATCACTAGAGGATAAAACACTTTGTGTTAGATCTTCATTGCCTTGACCATCAGCCTTTGATGAGTACCCACTATCTGTTAAGAACACCTGACAAGTTCTATTTTGGTTACTCCAGAGATTTGTAGTCAGAGTGCTGGTTTTAGACAGAGTATCTGAAGGAAAATTGAGAGCCTTCTGCAAATTCCTGATTTCGATACCCATGTTACTATATGAAGGACAAAATGGGTCCTGCAAAAGTAAATCAGAGAAAAGATCAGTACCCACTTCATTGTTGCAATGCAAAACGGTTAATTTTTTTTATCTGCGAGATAAGAAGACTATAATGTTATCTACGTCAGCAGAGTTTTGTAGGTCTAATTTTGTGAATAAAATTTAAAAAGCTTCAGCACCTGAACAAATTCAAATTTACTTTCCTCGGCTAGGGCTGCAAAAAGAAAGATACTCACCACAAACTTTGAATTAGTGAAGCTGTGAGAATTGTTTCCGCTATTGTTTACAGACTGCGGTGGCCTTGCCTTGGAAGTCAACAAATGATGCACTCGAGAATATGAGAACTCATTGTCTTCTATGTTATCTGTACTTGATGTTAGTAGTTGGGCAATGTTCATTATTCATTCCTATTATAACCAATTGGTCTTGGGTTAGTCTGAATTTATACGGCGTATTTGCCAATGCTGCAGCCTACTGAGAAACTGACGAGTTTGCCAAGACAAATCAACTTTACGTAGTCATGCTTTAAAGTCCCCTGATTATGGTTTTTGCCTTTTTGAACCGTTCTGATACACCAAAGTGAGGAAAAATGCTTGCACAAGTCGCCAAGAAAGAAATCGTGTCCAAAGCTATGCAATTTTAGGCCTCAAGACAGACGTAAACAACAGAAGAAGGCAAGAAGGCAATCACCTCATGACAGTCGACCGCAGACCAGACCCCAGGGAACAGAGCGAGAATCCTCTCCCATCCTCCCTACCCTTAGTAGTAATATTTGTTATGCGCGCGAATTGATCTATGCTGAAAATATTGCGTTTTATAATTTTTCAACAACAAACGACTTAAAATGGCAATAGTTTGTCGTTGTGTTATGAAATAGCAACCTTTTCTGTCCGTGGAGGGATTAATTTTTATAGTTCTGAGAGTGAACTTATGCTCGTCGTCTAAAGAAAACTACCTTTGATCGCACTTCCGAATTGGGAATCACCGGGAGACCGAGTTCATCTTTTGGCAAACATATTTTACGCTTAGTCAGCTATGAATCTTTCGTGCGCTTAATTTAGTAGGGTCACTATGCCTACTTCTGTAAGGATCGGAGAAGAGCAGCTCAACTATTTGGCTTCACTGGCTCGACTTGACTACTCAATAAGCGGTCGTGTGTATATGAAAAACCACGAAAACGCTGGCAAATGGCTTCAGCGGTGGTTTGCTTTGTACCAAAATTTGTTGTTTTATTTCGAGAGCGAGGATTCTACAAAACTTTGTGGAGTTATATACTTGGAGCATTGCAGTTGTGAGAGATTGTGCTTGACCAACTTAAAGGACACCGAAAATCAGGTATGACTGTCGAATGTTTTTAAATCTTTGAGTTCTGCTTGACCTCCTTCTTGTTGTTGTATTGTGTAAATGTTCCTCCCCTTTGGGGTACGTGGTCAAAGTGTTTTTTTTCTCCCCATCGGTTCGTGCCTCGCGTGTGGTTATGATTTGGATCCATTTCTCAAACTTCGGGCTTCAGAATAGAAAGCATGAAAAGTTGTGTCTGAGACCGTATTGGTGCCTTTAAAAAAAGAGAGCCTTTCATCCAAGTGGTTTAATTTCCACCTTGCCATAAAGTGAGCTCCGGATCAGCTTAGACTTAAGCCTTTTCACGATCCAAGGAAAGGCAATCGTCGACGATTTTCGTTTGCTGTCAAAATATTTCCCCCTCATACCCGCTTTTGATATTGCAGGAAACACAAAAGTCAAGTATTGTGTGGGCGATGCATGAGATATGATGCGCACTTTTAGCTTCTCGCTAAATTTGTCAACAAAATACAGAGAAGCACCCAAAATCAATTTAAAAACATCCCTTCCATGAATATATTTATCTTTTTCCGTGCCTATTTTTGTGGTCCTTAATTTTCATTGAGTACTTAGGGTGCTTTCTATTTTTTCGCTTAGAGTAGTTTTGTTTTTTTCTTCGTTCAACCGTTTTCTCAAAAGTTCGGTTTGACAATTTTCTGTTGACATTTGCAAATGGCATGAAAACAAGAACAGAGATAATTGCAATCGATTATTTATTATTCATACATAAAATGAACAAATATGCTTTTTATTTTGCCCAGGAAGCATTTGAGGTTGAATACATTTTGTTGTGGCTTTATTGCGGTCCAGAAATTTGAATAAGAATCTTATACTTGGAGAAGTGGTGCTTTTTTGTAGTTTACTATGAAAGTTTTATCTAGAAGAAGAACAATCAGGAAGTTCATTGACGCAACTAACATTTTTAGCTCTACAAAGTACATATTTAGTTTTAATTTTACAACCTATTTTTACTGTGAATATTAATCTCTAATAATATGAATCTAGACATCGATAACCGAGCGGCCTGGGATGGGTACACATAGGGTGGAAATTAGTATTTTCCCTTTTCTTTAAGATTGAGCAATTTGTTCAGCATACAAGTCATAAGACTTGGGTATAGCCAATCGCCATTCACCACGTCAATGTGTTTTAATTGCAAAATTACTTTAGTATTACCGCTTAGGTATCTGTGCACAAGTTTTTAGTAATCTAGCAAGCAAGAAAGCAACAAGTTTTTTTCTAGCTTTAAAAAAGTTTTAGTTTCCCTCCCACCCACACCATCAACAGTTTTGATTGTATCTTAATCTCATTCGTGTTTGTAATTTATTCTTAATTACTGGATTGTTGGTTTAGTGTATTCGTCTAATATCTTTGTTATGTAATAGTCTAGTGTGTTATTCATTTGACTGTACCTGCAAATCACTTGCATTGCCTGGGTGCTATTGAACCACTGATAATGGCTACCCCTTTAAAAATGGCCATACATGTACATTCAAGAATCTGTATTGACCTCATCAAATGGATACATCTCCAAATCAGTAACAACGACTAAATTATGTCATATCTGCTAAATGAAATTGGCCTACAGAAAATGGCCAGGTATTGACCAAGTTGTGAACGGGATATAAAATTATCTATGCCTTGCACATGTTTGCATCTAGTGTTGACCTGATTTAGTTATATTTCTAAATGAAGGCCACCAGCCTACAACGACATAAGTGCAGACTTGGGTTGACTTTTTTTTCGACAGCCACTCCTCTCCATCTACAACAACTACTGAAGCATGTTGAATCTGTAAATTGAAAAGTACCCCAGGGAAAATGGGTAGTTAATCATAGCACAACGATCAGGGCACAAATCATGCAAAGCTCATTCAAACAAACAATGCTTGACCGCTATTTTATGACTTTCTGTTATTTAAACAAGTGCAAATGTAGTACAATGCGATATAATTACTGTACATTGTTTAATCGTACTCTTCTGTATATAACTTGTTATATATGCTAAATTAAGGATTTTTACTAAATGAACTTTTTACCCTTTGGAAAATGAAAACAGGTGGCATTTTAAATATGTCCTTCCTTCCCACCGTGGCCACCTGTCAACAGGAAACACTCTCTGGTGTCCCTTTTGGTGGCACTGTGGAGAGTTTCAAGTCTTTTACTTAATTAAGTTTTTTTTTTCTGGGGTAAGTTTTACAAACAAACTTACTTTGGGAGAGTAGTTTCATTCATTTCTGTGCAAAGAGAATCCAGGAAAAGGGTTATGCAGAAGAACCAAAGGTATCATGGAGAGACAAGAGGGCAAAATTCACTAATAGCTGGTCATAAATGGTTAGGTTAGTTTAACTTGTCTGTTCTCTTTGAATTTAGAACTGCTTTTGTATCAGCATACCAACTGTTGATGGGCAGCAGCAGTTTGTTCTCAGAGTCAATAGTGGCCAGGAATGCACCACATGGATTGAAGCGGTCACAAAATCTAGGTAAGTTGAGCAACTACAAGTAGTAACTTCTTTCCACATGCAATTCTCTGTAATGTTTTCACAGTGCTAGATACCCCAGATCACATCATATCTTACACCCCCTTTAAATCATTACTATCAACAATTCCTTTCTGCATGTAGTTTTGCTGAAGTTCAATCAGAGAAACAAGAATTGGAGAAGAAGTACATTCATGTGATGCAGATTCTGGATAGTGAAAAAACAGCCAAGTGGCAGTTGCTTCAGCAGTGTGAGGAGCAGGGTCAGTTAGTGTCAAACCTGAAAATTGAGGTATGTCATCTTTTCCTTTCTTTGCATTGTGTGATTTGTTTATTTGTATTGACACACCTGGGTTGGTTGCCTAAGTGTACTGCAGAGATAACCCCAGTCAAACATTTTATTTGTAAAGCAAAAGCTTTAAATGGAGAGTACCACCTGATAAAAATGTTTGGCCACTATGTCTCTTGCAAGTTTTTTTCAATAGCACAGCATTAAACTGTGGTTAACACAACATTTCCATCTTGTGTAAGAAGAGTCTGCATGTGAATGGCATCAGTGTGGTTAATTCTCTGAAGAAATGTACAGTTTTTATAACCTGGCAAAATATAACGTAAACCCTTTTTGGGGTTAAAAAATTCAAAATTTTTGCATTCATCTAACACATTTATAAAAGACACTAAATATTTGAGGTTTGATTTATGCAGAGTATTTAGAAACTTCCACTTGGAATACTGGAAATAATGTGTCTTCCCTAATAGGACTGTGTCCTTTCAAATCTTCATTTTGTGTGAACATTTCACTGATTTAACAAGATGCTAACCTTGCAAGTCAGTGACCTCCTGTTACAAATTGAAAACTGAGCAATTTTACATATTTCACCAGACCTTCCACAGAAGGCATTGAGAAAAGGTGGGCAAAATTGAAATGAACAGTCTTTGTGCTCCCTGTGAATTGTCAAATAGAGTTAGTCTCAGTAGTGAAAGTTCATAGTGTTCCAAAAACAACGATGTGCCAGAAATGCTGCAACTGAAATCATGCTTGTCAGCAAAGATGTTGTTTTAAAATTATAGTTAGGAAGTGAATCAGAATTGGAAAACCAAAGATTATGGTCAACAAAATATGGTGCTTTTAAAAATCCTTCTACCAAGCTACTTAAAAAGAAATCATGGGAAACTATATATCACTGAAAAGTACAGATTCTGAAAATAACAAAAATTTTAAGAGATTCTGTCCTGGTAGGTATGTATAAGCCTCTTATTACTCCTATAACTCAACGCTTGGCAAAATTTTTACAGAAATTCCTTCCAAACTCCTGGGCAAAGGGCTGCAAAAAATGCCAGTACACCTGACTGCTGGAGGCCTTTTTGATTATGGCAATGATTATGACACCTTTTTCTACTTGTTACCATTTCCCCTAAATAACCCTTTCAGTGGTATCTCACCCTCTTTTTAATATTTTGTAATTAAAAAAAAAAAAACCGGAAAAGGACTAAACTTACACGAGGACTATGTGCTTTCTCTGACTGAGGGGCAAAAAAATGAAATTTTATAAATTGTGACCAGATTTTGTTCACAGTAGCCTTAAGGTGATTCCTGAGAGAAAAAAATTTCAAACAATTTATTTTAAACATTCTCTAAATGTTCCCTGCTCATGTCTGTTCCAAAAATTAAAATAAAAAGGTAGGTCACCATGCTTGTTTAGGAGATACGACAAGCCAATTTTACCTCATTTATGCCTGTACTGAGCATTATTTCACTGGTTCACTCAGTGTACATTTTGTGGTAGCTAAAAGGAGGGATTTTTAAAGTAACAATTTAAAAAAACTAGATCAGTGGAAAGTCTTGAGAGTGTAAAACAATTTGATATATAACTCAAAGAAAACTCATACAGTTTTATATGACACCAACTCTAAATGTTCCTCTAGTTTTTGATTTCAAGGTTATGATTTTCATCATCAAGTGACAGGCTTTGTGATTTCTTAAAGCTTTATCTTTTTTCCCCTCATTAGCTTTTTTTGTACACCAAAATTATGCAATAAAAAAATGTAAGTCACTGTGCTGGTTTAAGAGCTAAAGGCCATCAAACCTCTTTGCCTGCTCCATTGATTGAAAAGCAGTATCTTGTTCTCAGAATGACACTTGCTTATTCACCTGATTACATGATTTTCATGTGCAGTACAGGATGCACAGTGCAATTCTGAGGAATCACCTTTATTGTAGTTACCAGATATTTGAATATTCAGTGGACAGGTTGACTTGCCAATCAAAAGACAACAAGAACATGAGAGTACAAATTAATATAATTATTATCTATGTTGTTTTATTTTGCATTAAACATTAAAAGAAATTCTATTGAATAGAGGAGAGAGTTAACAGAAAAAATCAAGATGACACATTGATGTTGGGACATCATGTTTAATCATAATGTGAAATTGATTAGACACTTGCCAGATGAGTTTGTGCAGTGTTCCATGACCAAATGTTACTTGACCTCAAACAGTTGAAAATTGAGGGAGAGTTTTGGATAAGTGTAAGAGTTGGGACTAGGCTAGGACCTTTGCAGGCTTGCTTTCACAACCATTTGTTTGTAGGCTTGCTTCCACAACCATTTCTTTTCATGTCACTTATACATACCTTAAGCATACTTTTTCTAATGGATATCAGCCTTTAATTATTAAATCTCAAAAGAATCTTTAAGATGTTGTTGATAAAATCCAAGTAAGAACCATTCATGGAACTGACATCTCATCATGAAATGACATTTTACAGGTTGCTAGCCTTAGAAAGCAAAGGACAACTGAGGCAAGAGAGGAAGAAAGTGAAGAAATAAAGCATATAAAAAAGGTAGTTAGTGTTCTTACATGCACACCAAAAAAGTTAATGATTATACTTATATCCACTGAAACTGGCTGAAGCTTGTTAGGCTCACAACCATTTTGAAAACTTTCGAGAAATAATGAGGTGAGCAGCAAAATGGGTGACAAGTTACTCCTTGATTTTGCTGGGAAATTTTAGTGGTAATTGTTAGATAGTGATAATTATTGATTTTTAATAATGCATTTAATTTGCTATGAGTAGCTTCTATATATATCAGCATAATCCTTGTGAAAGAGTTGCTTACTTGGTTGTTTATGCTCTTATACAAAAAAAGTAGAGGTAAACCTCAAAAACCTTCTAAGGAATGAACTGCAGTACTAAAACTTGAAACACCTGATACTTAACATTCATCACATAAAAGCAAAGTTTTAAATAAGTGCAATTCGTTCGTTATCAATTTAATGTTGATGTTGAGATTGAGTTGAAACACAAATACTTTTCAAAAGCTTTTTCTATCTATGGTTGATAAATTGAACTGTATATTTGACTGAAAAATTCTGTTGATTCATCTGCTAGTGACTATATGCATGGATAACAAGTGTTTGATGAAAAAGCATAGCACCAAGAATTATTGTATTCTACAAGTAATTTTGTAAGGGTGTTGATTTGTGCTTTACAATTTTTTTCTGTGATTAAAAGTATTATATAATGTGCAATGATTAAACTCACTTATTAACAGGTACAGAGCCTCATTAGAGGCTGGCTTTGTCGTCGCCGTTGGCACAATATTGTTCAAAATTACATCCGTTCACCTCATGCAGAAAGCATGCGTCAGAGGAACTCAATTTGCTTTCAGCTTGTGGAGACTGAGAGTGAATATATGCACAACATGTCCACACTTGTGTCATGTTTCTTCAGACCTTTTAAAATGGCTGCAAGCTCAAAGAGGCCCCCATTAAGCCATGAGGAAGTCAATTGTATCTTTCTAAATAGGTATTGTGCTAAATTTAAAATCAGTGAGATTTAAAAAGTAACCATGAGTCTAACTAGTGGTAAATCTTAAATTCAGAAGAAGAGTTAGAAAGAATTAAATACCCTATTGCTTACATTTTAACCAAATACTAATGTTAACTCGATGTATGTAAAGCATACATTACCATTGTCTTCATGAATTAAAAAAAATTATATTTTAAAGTAATTCACTGAAAACTGGACTTTTGTTTAAAGTTTTGAATCATTTTAAAATTGATTAACATATTTAAATAGCCTTCTGCTAATTTTGGAGAGTGACTGGTTAAAATTGAATAAAATGAACATAAGAAGGAATTGATAAATTGAAAATAAACTCTGAGGTAAAACATACAGTCTTGAGAAAACATTTCTGTGTTTAAGAAACCAATCTAAATCTGTAATTGTGTAGCAAGATTGTTTGTTTCAAAATATTGTACGTTCTTGAGGATTGGTTATAAGAAAATATAACTCACATGCTTGAAAAACAACTCCTAAGGTTTTACAGAACTTTGCTGTTACAGCACATGATAGGGGCTAATTTCCATCTTTACTGAATGCACCTGAGAAAGGGTGTAAGTAAAGGCCAGAGAGAGCGTGATGTAAATGCTTATCTTTTTCTCTATATTTTGATTGCAGTGAGACAATTCTTTTCTTGCATCAAATCTTTCTAAAAGGTCTTCAAACGCGGATGGAAAGTTGGCCAACACTGATCTTAGGTGTGTGTAGAGCTCGTTACTGCTTGTGTCTGAAGAAACTTTTGCTTTAATTAGTTAGTTCTTGTTCCGTTGAGCTGCAGTATGTTGTTATTATGAGTACATAGATATCTGCAGTGTGTTGTCATTGTCAGGATATGGACAGCACAACAAATAAAAATCGATTTAGCTGAAGAAACCTCAACCATACTGGATGTGATATATCAGAGTTATATGTTGATTAAACATCCACCAAACTTTCCGACAATTTACCTCATGTGCTCAACAATCATCATTTCATCGGGGATCAACTTGTAACATCAGGCCTTGTCCTCTTTTAAAAGATGGTTTAACTAACAAATTGGCCGAGCACTTTGAGCCCACCGCTAGAAACGTTTCCTTCATTTTGGTTAGCTAGCGTTGGCTAGATAGTCGAGTTTTATTGACTGATGCTCGAAATAGTCCCATTTGGCCTGTCCGGACAGATACAATCCGACAGTTATAACTAGAAACATTTTTTAAGAGCTGTCAAGAACCACACGTACTCGAGCATTTTTTAATTGATACAATAAAAGGTGATTTAGGCTGTTAATCAGAATTTTGGTGACAAAAGAAAAAGTCTCCAATGCCACGATCTGATTGGTGTAGACAATAACGCACTATCTGATTGGAGCGATTAACAAGCCTCAGTGAATGAGCAACAGACCCCTATCCCGTATTCTGATTAGTTGTGAATGACGACTGCCAATGCCCCAACAACAAAGCTAACATCATTTGGCTGAGTGGAAAATTTATCAAAGTTTTTGGGGCAGATTTTACAGCAGTAAGTTGGAGCCACTACAGCTGCTCTAATATTACCCAATCAAACATATATATCTTCGGAAACTATTGCCGGTTATACTGTGAATGTGAGCGCTAGATATTCGATATTTATTGCAAAACACATGTAAAAGACGGCGGTGCATATTTGTTAACAATGCGGAAGGTTGTGTATACAGGGTGATCTCTGACGTATCTATCATTTTTGTTCACATACAGGTGACTTATTTGATATGCTACTACCCATGTTAAACATTTACCAAGAGTACGTTCGCAATCATCATTATTCTCTACAAGTAAGTCCTCAGCGGACGGTCTCTCAGTTAGTTTAACTAATACTTGATTTGGTCATCCGTTTTTTACTCAATGCTGACATCTATCAACTCGCCTATGGCCATTTTCTTTTCTAATTTTTGTTTTAGTTTATTTTTCCAATTTCTTTCCAGCTGGCTATTATTAATCGAAGAGCACCAAGATCAGTATCACTCTCCTTTCGTTCCGCAGCAATCGTCGCTTAAAGATTTCTTGGATTAGATTTTTTACTATTATATGTGTAAGCCATTGGCAGAGAGATGTCGGCTGCCAAACAGGACCGTCCCACACCAGCTGTTTTTGTTTTTGTTTTCTTTTGTTCTTTACGGCTGCCTATTGAAAGTATATTGTTTCTTTTTTCCTAGACTTTGGCTGAGTGTAAACAGCGGCCAGCATTCAGTCGTCTTCTTAAGCTGTATGAAGAAAAAGCAATTTGTGGCGGAAGGACGCTGGAATATTTCCTAACTGCTCCAATGTATAGGGTGAGTAACGGATACGTTACAAAGGTTGGATTGAATAGGACCAAATCTTGCGATGGGGATTAGGTATTACCATAGCTAAATATCTTAACCAGTCATGGCACTTAAGCACTGATTGTGAAAATTTTTAAGTTACACTATGTAAAACTGAACTTCGCAATTACACGGTGAAAAAGAAAATGGCAATCTGGGTGTCGGAGCCTTCTTGTTTTAATTTCTAGCATTTTTTTCTCATTTGTAGTCGGGTGAACAGATTTTGGCTTTTACACAAATACCACCAGTTCTTGTGGCTCGAACCCAAAGATTCCGATTTAAGAGATTAAGGCCATATTCACATGTTATTGGACAAAGTTTCGACCGGTTAAACGTAGTAACGAATCATCCTGAAGGCGTCACTTTGGATTTGATAGCGGGGGGCTGTGTGCATAGGCATTTGGGAAAACCACAGACAAACGTTAAGAAGCCATTTGCTGGTCAGTTGCACCTTTTTACGGGTGATATTGTTGACCAGTGAACATGATCAAAAAAAAATTGTAGGAAAGTATGGAAAAAGAATAATTGAGAGCGCGATTATCGTTGTAAATTGATTGATGATATACATGAGAATATTACAAGTGTGAAGTTTTAACACGAGTGTGCATTTAAAGCCAAAATTTCGTCGGTCTTGACTTAATGTGATGCGTTTTTCATGTAAGTAACAACATGATTTCTCGTGCAATTTGGTGTAAATAAGCCACGTTTCTATTTTCTTGCGGGAGATCTAGTAATGCCTATTCTTTAAGGGAATGGCTAAGTATCACTAAGTAACCTGGTAACTGCATTAGACAGTTAATGTCGTTTGTAATCTTGTATACTTACTGTGCCTTTTCTGAGTAAATAATCATGTTGATGCAACGCAGATTTGATTTCCTGAGGAATGTCTCATATCAAAGAGAAATAAAAATTAAGGAGAACAAACTCCGAGCCATTTCTAAATGAAATGACGGGAGGTGTTTACTTCGAGAAAATACTAAAATTTTCGTGTCAAATTTAATTTAATCTTTATCTTAAGCCCTAAGAGTGACTAGCATCAAATTTCTCCTTACAATGGTCATGGTCATGAGAATAAAGGAAATGATCAACAATGAAAGTAGCTTTTTGATTGCTAAACAATTTTCCTTGCCAGCACCTTAGGATATGTATAAAGAACGGTGTGGAGAATATATACACTGATATTAGGGTGTAAAGGGTTAAACATATACCCATCAACACAAGATGGCTGATCATAGGAGATAATTCTGTAATGGGCGTGTTGAAGCTCTAACATCTATTAGTACATCATTCAATGTAAGTCAAAAGAATGTATTTTACATACGCTATGCCTTCATTCTTTTGCTTTCACCTCTCACCTCTTTCATGTATATTCACTGTGTTTGTGTCTTTGGATTGTCGTCTATTTTCTTCTACGTCCTGCACACCTTTACTTTGAATAAAAGCCACCATACACTGTCAACAACGTCCTTGTCTTCCTGTACATTGATTGCAGTTCTTTTTGTTCCCCACATCAATGCCTGCATTATACCTGAAAAGCGACACACATGACCTTTTGATAGCTGTGATAATATTCTCGGCTTCGAGCTTCTGAAATATTCAGCTTCAACTTTATTCTTCTTCTCTTGTGATTGGAAGTACAGATTGTACATATGGCCGCAGTTGCTTGTCAAACATTTCAATTAATGTCTTTCTGACAGATTGAGGTTTCTACCAATGATTGGCTGCTGTCTTGGCATGCGTTTAACTTTAAATATTCGGTGCTTTTACAAAAATTATTTTTATCATTGTTACTAATGTTATTATTATTATTATTATTATTATTATTATTGTTGTTGTTATTATTATTTTATTATTATTATTATTATTGTTATTATTATTATTAGGGATTCGTTGCCATTCGTATGTAAGATTAACGTACTCACAAAAGCCTATTAAAAGCTTTCAAAACCCATTGTAATCTGAAATATGTTTCCATTTTTCATAAATTCTTAGCACAGTTGTAGAAGACGCAGGCACTAGCAGTCTTTACCCTTGTGATCTTCAAATTGAGCCCTTTGCATTGTCTTAGCGACCATATTTAGAAGAACGACGACAGCCGCAGCCCACAAACTTTTAATAATGAGAGTCGGTTGCAATGACAATACATATTTTTTGACCATGCAGTTTGATGCTTAGCGCAGTTTTTGCATGTTTTGGTCTGCGCACGAGGTGATTTGATTTGAGTCAAATTGATCGTCGATGGATTATTAACTTGGATAGCTATCTTATAGTTTCAGTGATCGATTATGGAGCTCTACAGGAAATGCTTTTTTCTGACCGCTAGCCAACCAGGATATTTGGTGTTTTTGTCCTAGAATTATTCAGAAGGTGGCAAAAATGATTTGTAGGCTTAAATGTTTCCTTGCGGGGCTATTGTTCATCTTAAGTGCTTTCTCTCGCGCCATTAAGTATGTCTGGAACAACTCCGCTGGGAGTCCGGTTTTATTACAACCCTTATTGGTACAGGATTGACGAATATAATCAAAGAATTAATTTTGTTTATGTACCCATGATTCTGTATGCAGTTGTGACAGTGTTAGCGTTAATATAAGAGAGGTTATAAGGTATTTTTTTCATCGATTTTCATGATATTTCAATAATGCATTTATTGAGGTACTGCGTACGCGCTTACGCTATTCGTCGGTTGTAAAAAGGAACTCTCATCGTTTCTTTTTCGATTTACTCTCGTAACAACAGATGCTCTCTTTGTTCCTAACTCATCAATTTTATATTTTGCTTTGTTATTTCAGTTATGACCGCGGCTGATTTTTCAAGCCAAACTTACACAAGCGCAGGCATTGACTTGTGTCTATGTCGTGGTTCAGATTTCGGATTTGCTTTATTATAATTTTTTTATTGACTTTTTTTTCTTCCTTGTCTACCTTTACGCGCCAGTATTTTTCGTGCAGTTAGTCTCCATATTAATCAGTATCCAAACAAAGTCCACTCTTATGCTCTGCCTATTTTCGCACGCCTATTAGTAATGCTCGTTATAAGCTTTTCGTTGCATTCGATTTTTGAAAAGCATGTTTTTGAAGGGATAAATTCTATTATAATTTGGTTGTGCTAAATGATAGTGGCGAGGCAACTGACTAAAGACTGATAGCCAATATCTATCTGTCTTTCGCATTGTCTCGACAACGCTATCCGCGCCTAAAACATATTTAAATGCATCAAGTCAACGCGTAACCAGCACGGAAATTTGATTCTTGTTGTTAAAGTCTTAATTGAACGGATTTGTCTCCCCACTGAGACCACTTTGTATCTTAAGATTACGTGGTTCAGGAAAACTACGTTTTTTCCGTAAAGCATGATGTTGATATTATCCGTTTAGGTGTTTTGCTTGTAATTTTGAGTGACATTGAAGCTTCTGTCGCATGTTGTTATCCGTTAATTTTTCCAAATTGGCTTCTGAAACAAGGCGTGAACGCTCAGGTGTCACTGGGAGGTGTGAAGATTGGCTGAACTCATGGGCAGACAGTGTGACAACTCCGTTTTCATGTGTATATAACGAAATGGGCAGTGACTTTGTCCTAACATTGGTGTAATTCTAAGGTTGGGTTTCGTTATTAAGTCATTTCTTTTGATCTGCATGATCGTTATTCTTGCATAACGCGTTTGTTTGTGTTGTTTTTTCTTTTTCAATTTTTGGCAAACTGTATAACCCATGATTTTTTCCAATTTGTACCAATTTGTTGTAGCTAGATGTTATACTTCCTACGGTAATCATACAGCTTGTGTCTTTGGTATAATTGTTTAAGTAAATGGCCGCCTGTTTAACCTAAGTGGTTATGACAAACCTGCTTTCTTATTAAAAGGAAGGTCAGCTAGAACTGGTTTAAGAAGCTTTCACAAACCCTGTCCGGGTTTGACTCGGTCCATTATTTTCCCCTCGTGATTTGCGGTGAGTACAGTTGCAATGCAAGTCGTAGAGAGGAATTTTTAGCTGATACAGTAAAAGTTTTTCTAAGTGTATTGGAGCTGGTCAATGAGAAGGCCATGCCAGTTCTGTACCGTTCTTTGCAGGATTCGATTCAGTTGCTTATATTACGTTGATAGTTTGTGGAAAGCTTAAGAACAACTTACAATCGAAAGACCGCGAAACATTCAGTTTCACTGCTGTTCAAGTAGTGGTCATTGCTTCGAAGATCACTCTCATCTTCGTTTATTAATCCGCAGTACAAATATATAACATTCATTTATTCACAGTCGTTCATTCATTACTCATAATCGCGGGTTGATTACGAACTAACAAAAAGACCCGCTCTAAGTTGGCTTATTGGCTCAGTTGATAGAGCTCTGCAACGGTATCGCAGAAGTCATGGGTTCAATTCCCTAACTGGCTGAATTTATTTCAGGCTTTATTCTCACTGCTGCTTTAATAGTGTTCATTACTGTGAAAATCACCCACTTCTTTATTTGGTAATCTTCAGTTCAGGCATATTATATTCATATATATGCCCAGTCTTTCAGACCTCGAAACATGTTGGGGAAATGGGAAGTGAGTCTTTCCGCCCATCTGGAAAAAATAAACCGACTTTCATATTAAAATTTAAATGTGCATTAACGCGCTTGTCTTCTTTGGACTTTGCTGTATTAGGCCAAGTAATGCAACTGTTTGCCAGTCTTTGCGTTCTCTTCCAGACCTTTGCTCTCAAAATTCCCTTCTTACGTTCTTTCGCTCATTATCTCTCGCTGAGAGCCTGCTACAGGCTTTTACAGGTCGTTTACAGGTCGTTTTTGACGATATTTGCAATTGATGTTTGTTCATTGATTGTTGGGATATCACTCCGGGTACTAATTTGTAACGCAAATTCCTCCCAATTCCTCATGTTATTTTCTCAGTCTTAAATAAAAGCTGTGCCGTAGCAATACGAGAACAAAGACTTTCGTAAGTTGGAGCCAATGCGACGTTTACACAAGCATCGCTGCAAGCATCGCCGTCACTGTGCAGCTTGTTTATCCAAATAATCAAATACATTCGTGCTCTACTAGTACATGTAATGATTACCGTCCTCATGTAAGTAAAACAAACATTAAAGTCTTTACTATCCTTTATCAAGGTCAAAAAGTATGGAATTCACTTCTCTAGGAAGTAATATGCTCTGATACCCTCCTTGTTTTACAGGAAAAAAAAATTTAAAAACAAACTTATTGAGTACATTGTAAATGAGGAGTCCTCCTTGGTATAAGCCTGCTTATTTCTGAAGGCCTCCTCTATATTATTATAATGATTACTACCTTTTCGTTTTCTAAGGCGAACTGAATGAATGAATAAACAAATAAATAAATAGTTTAATTTTCTTTTGTATTTTTTTCAAACAGGTGCCGGCCTACATTATAACTTTGCATGACTTGCTGGCTCTCACTCCTCATGATCACGTGGAGAGAAATACTTTACAGTATGCGCAAAGCGTCTTGGAAGATCTTTCCACGGTAAGCCACAAGAGCTGCAACCAAACTTCAGCAGGAATGGTAAACTGGTAGCCCTAATTATTAGGCTAACCCTAAACTGGATAATCCTATTACTAAAGCATATTTTTTCTAATAATAGCGCTGAGTGCGTGTTTCCCGCTTTGAGCTAGATTCATCGTACTACCTTCAGCAATTGTACACATAAGAGCATAACTTGTATTCGGCTTATTTTTTTCTCTCCCGGTAAATTTAAGAACGCCATATTTCGCAAGTAGGAATACGAAATATTTTATGTCGAATTTGAAAAAGTTAACCCTCAGACAAGTACTACAAAACCTGAATAATGATGAATGGCGTTTCCGGTGGAAACAGACCCTACCCCCATCGCAAAAGAAAATGAATAGATAAATTGATAAACCAACAAACAAAAAAGCAAAAACAAACAACTAAGGAATAAACAAACGATCACAACCAAGAGATAGCGAACCTTTTTTTCAGACTAATATTTTACAGAACTTTCAAACTGAAGTTTATATGAACTATTGTCTGTCAGTGGCTTTGAATGAGACACCCATGCGACCATTGGCTAAATACTGATCTCCCTTCAATCGCCATTTCTGCCACATTTTGTATTTTGTTTGTCAGGTAATGCACGACGAAGTCAGTGAGACAGAGAACATTCGTAAAAATCTGTCCATAGAGCGTCAGATTGTGGAAGGCTGTGATATGCTTTTGGATGTCAATCAGATTTTCATAAGGCAAGGTAACGTAATTTTTCACGTAAAGTTTCCGTTGCTTGTCTTGTTCACCTATCAGCTGTGAACGTAACGCAAAGAGATTTCATCAGTTTATCTTTTCATTTTGTTTTTCATTTATGGCTTTAATTGTTTGTTTCTCACAAAAAGAAACGTCTAACTTGAGTGCGTATTTTGTCTTAGGAAATTTAATTCAGGTTACAGAAAATCGTAAGGGTAAAACGTTTGGTGGATTGTCGCTGAAGTCTTCGGAAGGAAGGAAAGAGACTGTTCGTCAATGCTTTCTGTTCTCAGGCTTCCTGCTGCTGACCACTAGATCATCAAGCGGACGCCTTCACCTTACTAAGGTACAACTCACCGCACCAATGGGTTAGCTTCAATATGAGGTGGCCCCAGTTGCTGATTTGCCTTAAGCAAAGTCTTACAAAAAATTCCATCAACACATCTACGCTTTGCGAACCTGTAGCAAAGATTTAGTAATGACCTGGAATGTAAATAAATTATATAGGATATGCAACATTTAATCAAACAAATTCATTCAGAAACTTCGTCGCTACTTCGAATGTCACCACTTCGATTATGGCTGGGGCGCCATTGCTAACCCGTGATATTTCCGTGTCGTGGTTTAACCCTTTCACTCCCAGCGGTTCAAAGAATGAATATCTTATTAAAATATCCATGTATTTTCAAACAGAGAGGCGGCGGGAAAGAAGGAAAACATCAACTATGTATATCGTTTGATTTCTCACGAAATTCTCAGATCTAATATCATGAAATTTTTGGCAGACAATGTGGAGAATGTTGTTTAGAGTTTGAGTAAATTGTTTTTTTAAGAACGTGCAGGGGAACGTTTTGATTGAATAATTCAGTCGAACTCGCAAACTTTTTCTCAGTGTGGTTCTCTTGGTTTGTCGTAGAATGGTGCTAACATTTCTCTCGCTGATGCTACTTTAGTCGAGGACTATTTTGAAGACGGTAAGTCACCTAGGCTGTTTTAAACGTCAGTAGAAAGACTAAGAAAAAGTTTTTCTGTCGTCTTTTAAGTTCGAAGAATGATGTCCGATATGAAGTTGGAAAATTAGCAGATCGGCTTTAGTTCATTGGGCCGTCACAACAGAAATTGCACCTGGTATTGAATTGGTTGATGATAAAGTTTTTGGAAGGAGGAGGGGGGGTTCGTAAGGAGTCATCTGGCGGAACGGGTTGGTCGCGATTTGTCCACTGTTGGGCGACTTTTTTTTCCCGATTTAACCTGGGTGTCAACACAAGTATCCTTGTATCGCAGGGGATGTCGAAAGCCTCGGTGGCCGAGGATACCAGGAATTTGACTTAGACGATCTGACATTTAAATTGATTGTACGATCACGTGATAAGCCTGAGCCAGGACCTCCCTACACTGTAACTTTAATGGCTCCGTCGGCACAAGAGAAGGCTGCTTGGACTTCTGATATAAGCCAGGTACACTAACCAGATCATCACCAGCACTGGCCTTACTTATTAACTCAACTAATGATTGTCACGAGATGTAACCAGGATGTTTAACAGAGGGAAAATGTTTTTCTAAACCAGCCCCTCGCTCTGCCACGGCAAGTCGGCTAAGAACAACCGCAATCGGATCTTATTACAATCAAGACAAATTAACCTTATGTTTGCCTTTACTACGTTTAAACGTTTTGTATTTTTGTCAGGTTTAGGCACCTATCTCTAAGACTCGACTCTTCGAATTCAACAGGAAATCAAAATGATCACCTTCAATAGTTATCCCATATAACCTGACAGTGGACGATAAAACTTGTACAAGTACATTGGAAAATCTCAAAGACGGTGTTTGCGTGACGCTACCTTTCGTTTTGTCATTCGAATCTTTTCCTTTGTGACCTTTGTCATTTGCTTCATCTACTTGATAATTTCCATATTTTCTTTCCGTTTTCTTTATGTTCCATAAGGTGAATCTGTTGGTTTTCTTTAACAAAATTCACCTTCATGTTGCAGCTTCAACGTGGTCTTGCATTTGGCCTGTTAAGAATTTATTTAAAGATTTTTACGGCCTCTGAATAAAATTTTGAGACCGTTGTAGTGGGCGCACGGCATTTTCTGATCCGGGTGGGCGGCTCTATGTCCGTAAGTTCTTTATACTCACCACGTTTAAAAGCTTTCTTAGTGTCTTTTGCTCAACCAACGCCGGCTAATGAACGTTTATGGAATCTTGAAAGAGAAATATTACCTGAGTTCATGCTTGGAAGTTTCTTATTTCTATTTACGAAAACATTCTGTTTTTGCTTCTTGTACGATATGATTCAGAACTTGAACTACTTACTAGGAATATTATTTATATGTAGCTATTAAAAAGCAAAATAAAACAGTCATATTTTATTCTAAATGATACGGAGAGATTGGCTGTTTAAAACAATTTCCGCCGACCAGTGTACACTTCCGCCCACCATCTAAATATGGCTACGAATCTCTCGGGACGAGATGTGTTCATTAATAAAAGTCTCTCTCAGAATCCAAAGAATTTTACGAGGCCAGTTTTTTGGAGGCTTTTACCACATGATCACGATTTTATCTTAGCTAATAAGGAAACAGTTTAGTCATTGGACTCTATGGCTTACGTTACCAAGAGAAACTTCCGCTGTGGCAGGTGTAGTCAGCTGGTTTCAATTTGTAAATGCATCAGTTAAAAACGTGGGTTTAGTTTACCGGAATAAATTAGCTTCTCTCAACCAGTTGTGTTTAAGCTTAAATAAAACAGGAAGTCGACTTTTATCGTCACTCACCGCACTGTAAAATGCTTATTGCAGTATCTTTGTCTAGTTTGGTGTTATAATTGTTAAGGTAGGCACCTAAATTGCTGAAAAACTTCGCTTTAACTATTTCCTATTTATTCTGTCAGTGTTAACGTGACATGAATATTGTTTTTGCTCTTTAAATAGTATTGTTATTCTTAAATAGTGTAGTTTTTTTAATCGTGAATTAAGCTGTTTTGCATTAGTTAGGCAAATTACTGGTTGCTGCCAAAATCTTCACAAAATATTTTTTGCCGTAAAAACCGGCTTTTTTTTGTGGGAGTTATACTGGCGTCCTTGGTGCCTAATCATCTTATAACCTTATGAGGCTTGCCTTTCAGTGTATCGAGAACCTTGCAGTGATGGCTGAAGAAGACAATATCTCAGTTGCCTCAAGACGTAGCTCAACCAGTGTTAGGTCAGGTTTTTTTTCTTGTTTTCCCAAATTTTAGAGGAATTTAAAACTTGTTGAGTTTGCTTGGTTTAATTTTCTTAATTCCAACTAAACATGACTTCCAAAAACGTATCTCGTACAACATTCGTGTGTGAAGTAATTTTATTTAATTTCAGGACATACAAGCATAAAGGCTACTTTCCTTACACTTGCCCATAGGATGTCTGATAGTTCTAAAAGCGTTTGAGTCAATCCGATCAACTCACTATTTCCCATGTAATCGTCTCTGTCTTTGGATGCACGTGCTTACCGGAAGAGCGCTTCTTTCGAATAACTTCCGCTATCGATTGAGCGCCTCACTCAAAAGTAACATTATTTGTGTCTACTGTTACTATGTTTTTCGGTTACACTCGTTTTTACGTGCAAATGGCGCATCATCATCGATTTATCAAATTCATTGTTTCGGGGATGCAGACCGGGACGATGCGGTGAGATCAAAGGTTGTCTTAATTTGGTTTTTATCGCCCCTTCTATCCCCGCTTTCTGCGCGGTGTTTTTACGATTTGTCTCGTTGAATATTCCTTGTGTGTCGTTTCCGGTAAGAATAGTTATTTGTTTTGTTTGATTGTTTATGTTTAATTGTATTTATAAACGGTTATTTCTATTTTAAATGTAGATCGGACCCGAAACTCTTTACCGATGATGTTGATATAAAATACTGCAAAGCACTCAACTGCTGCAAGCTACCGAAGGTTAGCGCTCAGTTTCTCTCTAATCTCATTAATTTCAGATGCTATAAAATTTGGAAAACTGTTATTTCCCATTTAACTTAAAGTGTTGTCAAATAATTCTGTTGAGGGCATTATTTTAGGATACTTCTAACAGGCCACAGTTGACGTTTGCCACTGTTGTGATGAACTCATTAACCAAATATGAAAGATGGTAACTAACTAAATACGCGAGCGTGGGTCCTGACTTACTAAGCCTAACAATCCTCAGAGCCTTCCCTTAAACAATTATCGAGTTTGATCTATTAGTAAATTTAAAAGAGGCAAATTTTACGCTTAAGGAACCTTGTGTACATTTATTTTGTTTGAAAAACTGCGACGAACTGGAACGATCCTGCGCAGAGTACCTCTGAAACGTATCTGTGTTAATTAACATGAAGCTGTCGACAGTGCTGATCCAAGCAGTATGCAGGACGTGTGTCATATGAACTTCGTAATAGACCTCACTCACCGTAGACTCTCTACGGCTCAGTGGTAGAACATCGGAGCGCGGAATCCGAAGGTCTGAGGTTCAATTCCTCTTGGGGACTCAGAATTTTCTCTTTGACCCACGCTCGTGACAAGACGAAAAACATATTTCTGTATTTCTTTACCGGGCTCAGAACTTACCATATCTCTTATTCTATTTACTTGCCTTGTTTTAAATCGTTCTCTCGCAAGCGACATATAGTCGAACCAGTATTTAGCGGTCACCTACGGGGAATGGTGGGGCGAACGCCATTCTTTGCCATAATTGGCCGTTTAATGTACAAAAAGTCGCCTAGAACTACAATCAACAGTGATTTCAGTTGGTAAACATGAATTAAATTTTGCTTGAAAGATAATTCTTAGTTTAATTCGAGTGTTTCCGCTTGAAGTGATCGTTCAATACAGGTGGGGCATAATAGAAACAGGCAGTCGGAACTTAACTAAAGGGTGACCGCCATCGCTTAATAGAGGTGACCGCTTTTGATATAGGTGAAAATAAAAGTAACTGAGGGAAACAAATTTCGGGACTTTGACAACCGACAGCTTAAAACAGAGTGGCCGTTTGGTACGGTACCGCTTAAAACAGAATCGTATGGTCGCTAAGGACCACTAGTGGCATTCATTTCAAACCTTTTGGAAATGTTTAATGTGTATGATTTGTTTTGTTTGTCGCTCTAGATACGTCATGCTAGCTTGGAACGTCTTTTGGAACGCCTTTTAGATACTCGTTTCCTCAGTGCGGACTTCTTAAACACGTTCCTTATCACGTATCGCGTGTTTACAACAGCTTCCAACCTCCTTGATACCTTGCTGCAGTTTTACTACGCTAATAATGCAAAGGACTACCCACTGTACTCGGCCACAGACGTGTTTTCCCCAATAAGCCGTAAAGTCCGATCCGTATCGCTTCCCAGTGAGGCACTGAGTCCCCGTCAAGATAAGAAGAAAGGTAATAATTAGACTTCATAACCAAATAGATCTGACTTAAGGTATTTACTCGAAAATGGATTTTTATGCGTATTAAGTTTCCTAATTAGTCAATAGGCGCTTGTTCAGAGCGCTAACGTTTTATTGAGTTATAGTACTGCGGAGTAAAACTGAACGTTATAAAACATAGCCAGCAAGATTATCTGCGAAACTAACTAATTAAACTGAAGAAAAAAATTTACGGTTAGCCTGGATTGGGATAATGGGCTTGAACACCCTGATACAGGCCTGCAAAAGCCATGTGCTGATATTTCAGATATGTGTAAGAAACGTTTGGGTAAACTTTGAACAGTACCCAAGTGACCTGTTTATTTGTGAAGAGTTTGTTCCTTTATGCAAGTGTTTGTATTTATGATTTCTGTGTAATCTTTGATAGATTGGCGTGAAGTTAGTTCGGTGATCCTCATCAGCGTCTTTCGTGTGCCTTCGCTTTTCTTCCTTGTAATCTTAGAGGTGCAAAATTCCGCGACACGTTGAAAAGTTGAGAACCTGTACAAACTGATTTCATGTAATTGACAGAGAGACGCATGTGCATACCTTTCATATTGCTCTTTAAACCCCTATTTAGCTTCTATCGTCAACAATCCTGAAATGAACGGAGCTCTGGGAATAATCGATTCCCAGTGTAGTGCAGCTCCGTGATATTGCCATGTTTTATGTCTCACAAACTATATATGATGTGTGATAAATTCAGTTGTAGTACCCGCGTCGAAAGCTCGTTTTGTGTCTACCTATTAGCCAATCGAGGTCAATTACCTCAATTTGTAAATGCGAACGTCGTTTCTCGATATCATTATTGAGCTTACTAAGGTGATTTTTTTTATTTACACTGAGGATGTCTATTTCTTCCTCACGGAAATGTAGAAACAAAACTGGTAATTGTCTTTTAACTCGTACACACTGGCGTACTTGACAACGGTAGTAGAATTTCAGTTTTAACTTTTTCGAGCATCCGTTTGTTAACAAACTGCTTTTGGTTAAAGTTACTTTCATACTTATTATAAACTTAATTTAGACTGCTTGATAACTCCCCGTTCAGTTATTGGCACTTTGCACTCCTTTACTTTGGGCCACGTGTAAATTTGTCCGTTTAAGTTGAATTTGTTTACTTCCTAGTCAATTTTGTTTTCCGCGTCGTTGCTTTGGCAAATTTCATTTTCCGCCGTGTTCGTGCGCCAAACCTGCTCCCTTATTTTAGAAAATGTATTTAAAACATAGATGATTCCTGATCTTGAGTAAAACTTTACCTTTTTGTTCCCTATCAAGGACGGAATAAGTTCTTTGGTGAACAGAATCAACAGTCTCCTTCGCAGTCCATCTCAATTACTGTTTCTGGTGTAAAAATGCCGTCGGATAACGAGCAGGTGGAGAATAAACATCAAGAAGCAGAAATGGAGTCCAGGACGCCAGACCGGTTGTGCCCAAGTAACTACCACTCCTACAGGCGACACTCGTCACCTTCCGCCCTTGGCGAGACCGCTGCGTTCGAGTTTCCTGAATCCTCTGACGATCCACCTCAGTCACCAGAGGAAGACTCGCCGACACCTATTCGACATGGAGGGCCTCAGAACTACAGTTCACCGTTCTTATCACGCGGGAACAACACTCGCACCCGTGCCCAGAGCAGTTCATCGGATTTTATGTCCGGAGGGAATGGTAAAGACAGCTCACTGTTATCTTCTTCCCAGGAAGATGACATTTTTGAATTAAAATTTGAGCTACAGGCCCCACCGAAACCGCGTAGTAAAAGATCTCGTCCGTCTTCATCAAGTGGAACTGCTGTTGAGTCACTGGAGAGTAGCTTTCAAACATCCTCCCCCCCTTTTCGAGCATCTTTAAACACGGTATCTAAACAAGTTCAGTCAACACTTAATTCAAATCATGAGGGAATGGAGAAAACAAGGAAAAGACTCACTAATGCCGTCGAGAACTATGATATAAGTTTGGATAGTGGGGAATTTTCTCAGGCACCCAGTGTGATAAATCGGCGACGGTCTTCTCCTGCTGTGTCGCGCGAACGGTTGGTAGAGCCTCCAATCACTTGTCTTGGAATAACTGTGGACAGTAGTTCAGAATCACCCCTGAACAAACATTCATCGAGAGGACCAAGTTCACCATGTCGGCTCTATAAGATCGTCAAAGAGGCAGAGGAAAGAGTGCTAAATCTCAAGTCACAAAGGCGTCCCAATTCTCCGAAGCTATCGTCTCATCCGCCTAAGTCGCCTGTCTCCCCTATAAGTTCACCGCGTTCTCCTCTTTCACCATCGGCTACTAGCGTTAGTGCCGGAGTTGTGGTGACATCATCAAGACCTTCCCGGCGCAGGTCCAGTATATCATCTGCAGCTTCGGCTTTTGCCGCTGCAACCGCAGGCGCATCTCCTTCTTATGCGGCTAACTCATCTCCTACCACAAAATTCCGTTTTGGTTTGTAGAAAATTGCATTTAATTGTCTCCTGGTTTACAGTTTTTGTTTGGTTTAACTATTCTTTTTTCTCTGATCTACTGTCAGTTTGTGTCTTGCCAGGTCACACAATCAGAGAACTGCTATCCTCAAACACCGAGAAGGCCACGATGAGGGTTTTGACCATCTTGCGTCACTGGGTAACCAAACACCCTGAGGTAAGAATTGTTGTGGATATGTTTTGAATATGTTTGCTGCAGTTACCTGCTGTTTTTCTTAGTTTTCCTTTCTTTGCCTTCTGTTTACAATTTGTTTTTTATTCTTTCATTCTCAGGACTTCGAAGGAGACCCAGCTTTGAAAGAGCAATTGATCTCATCAATGAGTCATATTCTCGCTTATGATGGATCAACGAATTTAGAGCAAAAATTTGCGACGGCAATTATAAAGTAAGTCACATGAGATGACATTGTCGTGGAAAAGCACCTTTTGTTCTGTAACATGTTAAGTTGATGGTGGACAACAACTCGAACTCAAACTCAAACGGCACCCCGTAAAAAAATGCACCATTTCGTCTTTTCAGTATAGAATGGTGAAATGTGTGGGTGTTTCCGTTTCATAAATGAGATCCGTTCCGTTTAGTTTACCTACTAGAATTACAACAAGCGTCGTCGAATATAAGTACGACTTGGAGAAAAAAGGTATTGTAAGGGTATTAACCTGGAAATTTAGCTTTCCGTTTCTATGAAAAAAAGTCAAAATTTCCTACTGGTCCGGTTTTCTCCTTAGGACGCTGGAGCGAAAGCATAAGGAATTAGAAACTCTACTCTCATTTGAAACAAGCTGTCTTGCCATGGTAAGTTCCCTTCAGTCTGTCCACGGTCTTTTCGGTCGAGTCCTTCCTCCTGTCTCCTGTATTTTGTGCTTTTAGTTTAACAGCTATGGATCTCTCCTCTCTCCTCTCTCCTCTCTTCCTCTTTAATGCCGTGCCCTTCTCTTAATAAAAGTGATATTACGATGAAGAAAATTGACTTTAGTCCCCTCTCGATTTCAGCGTTACTTTTTGCCAGTCTTACTGGCCTTGATAGAGAGAGAGAGAGAGAGAGGGTGGATGGATGGGTGTGTGTGCGCGTGTGTGTGACGTCATGTACATTTCAGTTTGATTTTCCACTGTATCAGCCCCTATAATTTTTCAGGTGGAAGAGCAACTAGCTTCTAAAACAAGAAAGTGTTGTACAGCTTACTACACAAATTAGGTTTACATGTTGCAAAATTAAACTCAGTTATACATGGCGTCATATTCTTTCTCGGTCAAGCTCTCTTAATGTAACTGGACTGGGCATAATATAATAATGGCAGAAGGTTAAACGAGAAATCGTATTTTTACAAAAATTTTGATTAATTTTTGAAAACTGAAGTGCTATTGTTAATAAGTTGTAAAATGATAAGAAAATCGGAATCTAAAGAGAAGGGGAACGAGGAAAAAAATGCATTGCTGTAGCACTGTAAGGGTAAACCGAGCTTTCATCTGACTTTTAGATGTTATGTGTCCTCATAAACTCTATCGATTATGCGCAGGGTTCAGGGCAGACGACAAACCCAGACAACTTGGCTACGTTCGACAAAATCTCAGCCACTCAGCTAGCCGAGCAACTCACATTCGTCGAACATGTTTTATTTTCCAACATTCCTTCACAGTAAGTCTTTCGTGAAGCTTTCATCTTAATTTTGAGGGTAATGAAATGTTCGTCCTTTTATCTAATTGCGTCACCCTTTTGTTATTTCAGCGAGTTTCTCAACCTTTCCTGGATGAAGCCGGATAAAAACGCTCGGGCTCCCGGTATTCTCCGCGTGACAAAACGATTCAACGAAGTACGTGTGTCTGCACTAGAAACTCACAAAGGGTTGAATTGTGTAACTTGCAGGTTTCGATTGATGCTCTTAAATATCTTTTAACTTTAGTACCGTATCGAGGCAGTGATCATCCGTTCTCATTTGTGTAACTGTTACACTGTTCTAACGCACTTTGTAATAATTATTTTCTTTGTAATAAATTTGTCGCACTTTGTATCTATCTGATTATTATCAATACTATTATCGTTATAATTATCATTATTATTATTATTGTTATTATTATTATATCATTAAATGTTTATTACTGTTTTCGTTATTGACAGGGATGATAGTTATTATTGGGCTTTCTCGCCCTCGGACCATCTTTACCAAGTCAATTACAAAGTTTCGACAGCTTACTTGTTACAAAGTGCGACAGCTTACTTATTACAAAGTACGATGGATGTTACAGTGTATAAAGTGCAATGATTATTATAAAGTCAGAACATGTGCCACAGAACATGCACGCGCACCCATTAAAACTGATTTGCATGGAATCGCTAACTAACAGTTGACCTCTTCTGTGCGACCTCATTAAGTTTGGTACTGAAGAACACAAACATTCCCTAAACATAAACTTGGACCGTTAAGGCCTAAATTTATCGAATTCCAAGCAAAACGGAGGATACTGGGTGTTTTCTTGTTACCAAGTTTGATAATTAGGCCCAAGTCACACAACAGCCCAAACCAAAAATTAGGCAGCCAAAAAATTTTCCAAAAGTTGAAACCGCAACCGGTAGTACTGAAAAATGTGACACAATTTTTGGGTCGCACTACCGAAATACAAGAATAGGTAAAAATAAATACAGTTGATCAGATTTCATTTCTGGCGCGTATTGTGCGGTAATACACATGAACCCAAATCAGGCATTTTGCTTTGCTATTGTCATTTTACTTCAACTAATTATCGACATGCAACAGCAGCAAATGTTTGCCTTTTTCATACTGTATCAGAGATGGGTAAATGAATACATGCAAATCCTGAATATCGCTTTTCTAAGAAGACAGCGGCATTTTGTACCGCTCGATGAAATAATTAATCTTCTTTTTACATTTATCACCAGTGCGTTTGGTTCCAAACTTGCGATTTAACTCACGCGCAACTTCTTCCCACGTTTTCCGTGCGTCTTGCTCTCTACTAGCTCATGACGTTCTGCCCATAGGCTTGCTAGAGCCCTTTGCTCTTCTAGCGACCATTTGTCATATTATTTTTTGTCTTTTTCTGCCAAACCTTCAGGTGACGCGGATCTGTCGGGCTATCGTTCTCACTTACCACACTTGCAAGACTATCGGACCGATTAAGCAAAATTCCGCTAGGTCCCGCTGGATCTGAGATCGGTCCAGCCAATGTAGGGTGGAAATGACAAAAATTTTGGCTTGGGAATGATCCTGGCGCATAATGAAAAGGAAAACGTCCATCCATGCCGAAAGTTGGCGGGTGAATATTAAAATTCCCGCCGATTGAGTAGTTTAACTGCATGTCATATCTGGGTCAAGTGACTGGCATTGACAGCTCTGGAAGCGCTGTCTTTTGTTTTTTTCGATTTTTCCAAAATCTGCCTGCCCCACCCAAACATTTCGGTGTCTCTGAAGTTTCTGCGGACTTTCCGAAATTTTAGAAATTTGTGAAACACCGGTCGCATAAGGAAACGCGTTGTGATGACAGACAATAATCTTTTTTTGGACGGATTATTGATCAAAACTTACTTAGTGCGACCAGGGCCTTAGAAAAGTACATACAAACGAAAGAGCGATCTGGAAAATTTTCTAACTACTAAAAGTAGAACTTAGTGATTTGCTGCAACCTGAATTTTTTTCGCTAAAAAATAGAAGTAGCTACATCAGCATTTGTGTGTGGAATGTGACAACAAACGTTTAAGGTGAATTGTTTGTAAAAGAGTGCCGCCAATTTGAAGAACTCCTGAATATATATTTCAGTACCATAAACTTGACCGCGGCGGAAACTGTTTTATCTTAGTACCTATCTTTTCCCAGATGACAGAAATATGTGATTTTGTGTTCAACTAGTCTGCTGGAGTTTCCCTTTATAGATTTAACACGAGGCAAGAGAAATAGGAAGCATAACGGTTTGCTCATTTCAGAAAGGAAGCGATGAAGGCTGCATTCGAGTGTACGATTAAAAATGAAAGTTCCTAAACTGCACATTAACTATCTGTACTGAGACTTTCAACACCCTGAAGCAAAACCACGTGAAAGCTAATCTTTGATTTTTTTTTTTTTTTAATTTTTTAGACGTTATATTCGCTATCATCCTGGGGCCATGTATGATTTAGCTAGCTTTTGTCCTAAATTCGCTTTCAAGTATTGGATGATGGACTTTGATAACAATTTGTTTCTTCATGGGTTAACTTTACTGGCCTAGTTTCTTGTCTTAAAGCAACGTTATGAAGCAGGTTGTTTTGTAATTGTCAGTTACGAAGGCAGTAGTTACAAATGGTTCTCATCGTAAAAGAACGACGCAGTGCGCGAGGCTCTTGTTATTAGCTACCCCTCGAACAACAATTTAACAAATGATAACTTACCACATTAGTAATGGTAACAGGACCGAGTAGAGTCCAATTCGGTCTGTAATCATTCGAGTGATTGACAAAATCGGACGACCGCGAAGTTATGGTAATTGTGATCAATTCTGTGATTGGTGGATTTAGCTGTCCGATTACACTGTCCGCTTACAACTGTGCAGAATGATTAGAGAAATATAAAGCAGCTGATGCACCAGTCACATTTGAGGAAGTTTTAATGGTTATGATTAATAACCGAAATAGGTTTTGGTAACCCTTAAAGTTGGACGATATGCCTCGAAAACATACGTGCCACGTTCTTAATTGCACGAGCATAGATGATGAATATTCATGAACGCCTAAACTCAATTTAGAGGTTTCAACCCTTTATACGTTTCTATCGACAGTGCGAATTTAAGCATAACGTTTACGGCAACAGCAGACCACAAAAATGAACAATGACTTTACTTACTATTCCCGCATCTTTGCTATTTTGCTGCTAGGATGATTTGAAAGGTTACGGTAACCCTTCAAATCAACCTAGCAGCAAAATAGCAAAGATGCCCTTGTCCACGTCTAATGTTTTAGCGCACATAGGGCCTAAAGCAGACAACCTTTAAATGAATTTTTGCCTTTTGCCGTAAATGTCATGCTGAACCTCTCTGGTATTTCGTCATAGATGATGTGTTTGTGGTGTCCCAGAAAACTTTTTGGGTTGGTATTACAAATTGATTTTAAAAGAGGTCGTTAGTCGATTATTGTGCAATTTTAAACCGTGTAAGGACTTAGGCCATCGAGATAATACATCCATTCATGAGTTAGCTTATCCCTATAATATTCTTTTGCAGACAAGTTGCCTGGTGGCTTCAGAGATTCTTAAGCACCAGACTCCATCAGCACGCGCCACAGTAATAGAAAAGTGGGCAGCTGTGGCGGAGGTTTGTCGTAACCTCCATAATTTTAACTCCGTTTTGGAAATAACGTCTGCGTTTATGAGCAGTTCGATCTACAGGCTGAGAAAGACCTGGGAAAAAGTATCAAAACAGGTGGGTGGTAAAATGAATAGCTAGGGGTTTTCCCTGATGAAATGAATGGTGCTCTAAGTCTTGGGAATTATTGGTTGGTTTGAGAGAATTCACCAAGAGCAAATTTCATGATGAGTAAGCTACAGAGGCAAAGAGAAATAGACTGGTGTCCTAAAGTTACTTAAGTGCCATGTTTGGGCTTGATTCAGAGTAAACGGAACGCTTGGCATAGTACCACCGGGGATATACGAGGCAAAAGGAAACGAGTGGAAAAGAAGACCACAATATTTACTCTGTGATACAAATAGCCTAAATCTCGTGCACATCAATATGTTATTTACATCTTTTTTATCCCCATAATATCAGTTCGAACATGCATTAGTAGTTTACATCTCTTTTTTTTTATAATAGTTTCCAAAGTGAGCGAAAGATAAAGGAAACTACTCGGTGGAGGACCTTGGGTCCTCGTGACCTCCCTTTGAAAAAATTCAAGCCACATCCATGTCGAGAACTACAATGCATTTTGAATATTTTCTAAGTTCTGATTGTAGACCCAGGGGAAGACAAAGACAAACTCTGAAGACTTGCATCAATGTTAAATTTATGCATGCACTGTTAGAATAGGTTGTGGACTTGGCAGTAACTCTGCTCTATTAAAAAAAGACGAAAGATAAATATCTCGGGATTTAAGGGTCTTTGTTCTCATCAAATTTTGTCCAGTAGAGGTCATGCCTGTCAATATTCTCCCAAGGGCTTCTGAGTCGATTTTTTTCCAGTACGTTTGAACATACCCAATCGAGTACAAAACAATTGAAACCATAAAAGGAACATTGTGTGACGTGAAAATCATGAGAAAGAAAGAGGGATCATCCAAATGAATAACAAGGGCTGCTCATTGACTCTGACGACGTAAAGTGAATCAGATTGTTATATTGTGGGCCTAATGGCAAGTCAGACCGTGTAATTGACGCCATACTATGTCGTTTGACCCTTCCGCAGACACGCACACTGATCGATCGTCTGCAGAAGCTGGTCAGTTCTGATGGTCGCTTTAAGAACATGAGAGATGCCTTAAGATGGTAGGGTTTTAATTTTCATACGTTACTAAATCTGTAAGGTCCACTTTCCATCATATTGCAACTAGGGCAATAGCCGGTTTCGACCTAGAGGTTACATGTGATCGTGTTGGGTGAGGATAGTCCTTTAAAAGACTGTTGTCGACAGTAGTGTCTGACGTTTTGACAATCATGGCGGAGGTCATCCTCAGAGTAAGGCTCTCGTACATTCGTTAACCGTAGTCGTAGGTAAAACCCACCTGAAAGAGGCTCGCTCATTGTTTATTGTGTCTGGCTGGTTACGATTGGTGACAAGTCAATGCTCAATATTATCTTTTCGCTTAGGTGTAACTTGCATGAAATTACTTTTGTGGAATTTGCAGTTCTGATCCTCCTTGCATACCGTATCTTGGTTTTTACCTGACGGATCTGGCGTTCATTGAGGATGGCACACCCAACAATAATGAGAACGGACTCATAAATTTCTCAAAAATGAGAATGGTGAGGATTTGCTTTTATGAATCACATGCATGGCCCGTCGCCTAGATTAAAATTAGATTTACCAAACATTCATTGCCCTCTTTTTGTACTTAATCTGTTGTTCGTGTACTAAATTTGTTGATGCTAAATGTTAGTTGCTTTCTTGTTTCAGATCGCTCAAGTAATTGAAGAAATTCATCATTATCAACAAAACAAATACTCCTTGGAACCGGACAAGAAGGTAAATCAGCAGTCCCTTTTTGTTTCTTGCTTCTACTTTTTATATCGCTACAACTTTGCCGTGGCCAGTCTACAAGTGGCCAGCGTGATGGTGCGCTGCAAGGTGTATAATACATGAGATCAGCTATACAATACAATAAGGTTTATTTACCTCACTTATGTTCTTCTTATTATTTGATGTAGTGTATCTGCGACAACTAGAGGGTTTCTCTGTGTAGTATTCTATCTATGATATTCCCCTCAGAGTTTCCTTTTCGATGAGAGTAGAAAGCCTAGCAGCGCCACCCTCGTTTATAGCATATTTCTACTATTTTATTTATTACTGATTTATTTAAAATTTTTGTCAGATGGTCTATTCATTCTAAATTAGAGCTAAAATATGTATCACTGTTTCAGATAATCAAATACCTAATGTCCAAAGACAACCTCACCGATGAAGACAAACTGTACCAAACATCTCTCACTTTGGAACCCAGGAAGCGAGTATCTTCTAAAGTGAAACAACCGGTAGAAACTGAAATATAACTATGCATTGAGCTGACTTTCGCGATGGAAGTACCTTAGATTTCGCCAGCATTAGAAGAAACATTTTATTCTCACTTTTTTTAATTCTCCCATCGTGAAATGTTTTGTTTCCGATCGCGTTTGTAAGAAATAATTATCATCGTTTATTGAAGATCTTAACTGCCTGTAACAAAGTGCTTTTGAAATGGAATAGCTGCCAATAAATTTGTCTTTTGAAAGTGCTGCAACCGTTCTAAGAAATAATCTAATCTATGAACCAAAAAGTTTGAAAGATAAAGCCACTTACTGAAGGATTTACTTGATATTCAATACTTTTTATTTATTTTCGTCTGTTTTTAACTGTTGGTAAAACTCACACACTTCAAGTAACAATTTGCTAGAATAGACTAAGAAAGATGGTATGTTTTTAGCCCGAAACTGACTGAAATTAAGAAAGATGCTTTTTGTCTCGAGCGTGGGTCAAAGAAAAAATTTTCGACCTTGCCGATCTTAACATGTCACGTAGGAATTTGGTAATGACCTTGGTTGCCGTAGAGTCGTCTGTAACATCGAAGTGCGAAATGGTTTGATACTCGATTCCTCATGAGAACATGAAGAAGATTGGATAAATGCGTCATATAAAGCATAAGTGTGTATTATTCAAAAGGTTTTTACCACGTTTACATTACGTTCCAGCTTACATGAATATTAAAATGAGAAATTAGCAGAGGAATGTTAGGAATGCGTAACCACGTCGATAAGTAATCGTAATCACCACTCGTGACGACAATCGACCTTTTGAGGTTGAGAAAAGAACCTTTTGGGATAATCGGAACCAATTGAACGCGAGGGCGAAATATTACGACGAAACCGTGAGCTTTCGGCCATTAGCTTTGACTTTTTGATTCGGAAAGCTGCGTGGAAACAGTGATAGAACAGAGAAGAAATTTGGTGAGTAAACTTTCTCTTTTGTTCGAACTTAATAAGGAATTTCTTTGAAACAAGTTTTTCAGTATGTCACAGTTTTCGAAGGTGGAGTCAATTTGGCCAAAATTGTGTCTAGTGCGCAGCATGTAGACACTGGAGAACTGAAAGAAAATTGGATGAATAAGTGATAAAGAGCAAAAAATTTATGTATCACTCCAAAGGTTTTTACTTAAGTTTTTTTTCTGTTGAACGAAAAGGCTAAGAAAATAAATATTTTTCATAGACTAATTTATACTATAACTTTCCCTTATACCATGAAAACATACATTTCAATATTTTCTCATATCTTTTTAAAATACTCGGGGATTATAACAAACTTAAGCTTCATATCTTAACATTATCTCAACAGGTGCGATATGGACAAAATAGCTTCACAAATAAGAAACACAGTAGCCTGGATGATAAGAGTAAGGCAGGCGCCTTGTCAAGCCACACACTTTCAAAACTTAACACCTTCATGGGTCAAAGACAGTGGACAGTTGTTATGGACAACAAAGTTTAAATTCTTAATGCTGAAGTACATTCTACCAAACCAAAAACAGAAACGAACAACATTGCCTCACCATTTGCAGAACACCACAATGAACTTTTCTGTATAAGAGGAAAAACCAATCATACTTGTGGCACTAAAAAGGTAAACATAGCCAACAATGTGAAGGAAAAAGCTGACTGCTACATAAGTGACCGTAATGGATCAATAAAAGTGACAATGTGGGGGAATTTCAGGATAGCAAAAATATACACATTTCCAATGTCAGAGTTCTAAAAGAGTACAAGGCGGGAAGATTGATGTTGGGTACATTCCTCCCCGACTGTAACGTGTTAGAATCACCAGAATTTGCCCAACTTGTAGCCAAACCTCTTGAACTGCCAGATTATTTCACAACCACATAGGCAAAGGTACACCGTAGACATTATTGGTGTTGCTCGGTTTGGAAAATACATCTGCTCTTTACAGTGCATCAGGAGAGTAGCTGGTGAATCTTGTGTTTCATCATCCTGAGGTGTCATGACGGCAGTCTTAGCCAGAAAAGGAACGAATTCAAAGGAAAGAGCAATATCCAAGCAAAAGTGTCACAAGATGATAGTCAGTTTGTAATCATATTTTTCCGTGAAAAAACATTTAACATCCTATGCCATGAAATGTCACGAGACGAGGCAGTCATCACAGTAAGTCTGTTGGATTCTCCAAAATTAAATGTCACATTTTGAAAACAACTCTAAAACAGAATAAAAGGGTCCCTCTCCATGTTTAAGACATGGGATGACCTCATTAGACCTTGAGCAATGTTGGAGGGGGGTTGCTTAAGATAGAGGATTTTAAATCGAAAATTACCATTTAAAAACAACAATGGTGTTCTGTTAACATGCTAGTACACTGTACTGTTAAGGACTACAATTCTTGTCTTAGTCGTTGTATCACTGTGTATCTTTAAAAAAAAAATCTATAAAGGAATTGTCGTCCACTTGTATTGGACGGTTCCTTAAAGCGGAACCACTCAAATAAAACTAAGAATAATCTATCAAGTCAAATTTTTTCCATTTTTATCTTCCGAAACCTGTGTTAGCACTTTGAGTTCAAATGTCCGCAATGCATATCAGATTCTCTTTCTCCTTTAATCTGTTAAGACAACTATTACGCCCGAACATCAAGCAAGACGTTTGCGGATCAATCTGTATTTAAAGGTCACCCCACCATTCCCTATGGGTGACCGCTGAATATAGGTGCGACTGCTCTCGTATACATAAAACTTTCGAAAACTTATTTCCTCTGATTGTACAGCCACGGATATTTGACATCAATGTTTGCATCACTGGCACAACCTTGGAAAGTGTTGGTACTTTGACCTGTTGAAGGATTAGCCCCATTCATCATCCAAAGAGTGGAATATGTAGCAGTTAGTTTGTTGAGATTTTTCTTTTCAATCTTTTTTTTTTGTCATACCAGTTTCGCTGTGAAATTGTTCCTATTTTAAATTTGGAACAATATTTTTAAAGTCGTTTGGTGTTTTGTCTGCCTATTTAGGCAAGAGAGAATGAGGTAAGAGAACATATCCCAATGACCAATGATGAGGGTTTTTTGCTGTAAAGTTATTTTCATTTCAAGCTCACACGACAGCTCGGCGAATGATCAGGATATCCGGCGTTCAGATTTTAAATTTTTAATATAATCATTCTTCCGATTCCGGATACCGAGCCGTATTGACCTACGGGTACACATCACATCAATCAACAAAAGGTTTGTATTAATAAATTCATTTCAACAAATTATCTACCAATTTATTAAAGTAGTACACCCTAAAGCTAATCGAATTTAGAGGTTACACGGTACATAAAAGCTCGAAGTTGGAAATCTTTGTTTCGGCAGTTAGATCGTGCCGACCTTTTTATGAATTTTATTTACTTCCTTGCAACACAACTGAATGTTTTGAATTGATAAAATTGATTCCTTCTTAGACGTACGGAACATCGTTCAAATACAAAGCCTTATAAATTTATCGCCAAACAGATCTGTAAACGAATAAAAAGCGCGCCCATCTTTCGCTCAGACTGCCTAGCCATCGGTCAGTTTGTAGTTATTTATTCAATTTCTCTCAGCACAGAAGCTTAAGTTAATGTATTTTTTTTATGCTGATCTCTCGATTCCTTGGCTTTCAAAAGGGAGTATTCATAAATGATGTCGTAGCGAATCAAACAAACTTTGAGGGAACATTTTGAGTCGATGTCTTAAAATTACGTGATTTTTCCATAAATTACATATTGCATTGTTCCATACACTCGAGACCGTCTACCAATCAAGTATTTTTGTAACTTTTACTTAAAAAGCCCTCGCTTCCAGCCACTGCAAAATGTACCGTGAGCCGTTGAAATCACGCGCCTGATTAGTACCAGCACAGACATAAATGGGGTAAGGTCTGCCCATCGTTTCTCTTTAGGCAAGCACGGTGAACTATCCTTTCTTGTGGTTTTCAAATAGACATTGATAAGAGACATTATAGGAAAAGTTAAAAAAAATTGTTTGCAAATCTTTTTTTTTTCTGAGGAATCGCCCTATGATGGTACTGATTACGACGTCTGCTTTGTTCCTTATCGTTACCATTCGTATCGCTCCTACTCAAGTAATAACACAGAAATTTTTGTAGGTGTTCCTTCATTTCCAGGTGTAATCAGGTTACCTAAGAACTAGGTTACCTGAGAACTCCTTTATTTGCCGTGCTTGAAAATGATGTAAATGACACTAACTCTCGCGATCATCGATCGGATGAGCTTTCATTCTCACTGATCTTATCTCAAATCTACCATTCAATATTGAGGATAGGTTTATTTAATGAAAATAAGTATTACATTCTATTGTAAAAAAGGTTTATTTCAAAATTGTTCATTCCCAGTGTAATGTAAACAGCATATAGTATCAGAAACATCAGCCGTTCAGGCCATATTAATAATGATAATAAAAATATAACTTTGTTTGAACACGATGAATATTTAAAGCCAGAGGCTTGTGGTGTCGTGTTTCAACAAAATTAATGTAACTTAAATAATATTGATAAGTATAATACTATATATAAATTTATCTAAAAAAAATTTAAAAATATATACAACTTCTTTGAAATAATAAAGCAATAGATATCTCAGACACTGCTGAGCAATCACTCCGAATCCAACGAACGCCAACAAAAACCAATAGTTTACTGATATCTATTGATATTCATCGACCTCAGAACGACCGTCCAACAGTGTCAGATGGTTAAGTCAATCAATCCCAATACGATATTTAAATTTATAATAAAGTTCGGATATAACGCGCGCTGTCATTGGTTGAAAGAGCGTGCTCTATGAGAGTATAGAGCATAGAGCTGGGCTAAAGCTGTCACGCCATCTGCCATATTGTAGCATGTTCGACCTTTTCCGGGACTTCTTTTTAGCTTTTTTCCGATAATTGAAGATGAAATTTCGGAACAAGCGAGCCGGCAAGTAGCAACAGAAGAACCAAACAAACGTTTGTAAACATACCAGGCGCCGTGATTTACGTTATTAAAACGTGAGCAGATACGAAAATCCTCAAAGGAAAAACAAAATAGACATTCCGAGTTTAAAGATTTTCACGCTCAGTTAGATTGCAAGCTTACGTACGGTAATAAAAATCAAACACAGCTAACACTCGTATAGTATATAAAGTTCAGTGTTCAAAAACAAAACAGAAAAAAACAGAAATGATGAAAAATATAACCAAACAGGCATAATTGTTAAAATTCACACTAATCATGACGGTGTCTGAGCGAATATGATCATGCTGAAGTTCATCGCGGCTCGCT